TTCTTTTTATGGCTGCGGGGATTTTCTCAACGACATCATAGCCTTGTCACCTTGAAATTACAAGCTACCACTGAGGTAAGTCTCCTTCCGTTTCTCGTTATCGTCCGCCTGACCATGGCCGATACGACCAGACCCCGAATAGAAAGTATTATGTAGCATCGTGGCCATAAAAGACGCTCGTGTAAGGCACCACACTCGTCGTGTTATCCAATTTCTTGTGAAGGAACCTCTAAAAAGTGAGCGGGAAGGAGCGGGTCCCCTGTCCATCTAATTATGTGAGTGCTTCAAAGCTCATCCCTGAGATCAGGGCATAACAAGAGTCGGAAACATCGAGATAACTATTCATCGGTTCAAGGACGTTGCTGGCCAACTTCTACTGGTCGGCACGAGATGGCTTCGGGCTTCAGGGCCAGTGGCGTCTGGACGAGCTAAATTAGCATGGGCCTTGCGCTTCAAAAGGACCTTCCCTCCACGTCACAGACATGTGGAAAACGACGAATGGCATGGTTCGAACCTGGCTTCTAGAGACTGAGATTAAGGTGTAGGCTGGCTAGCCACTCTGCTTTGAGGGTGCCAGCATGGGTCTGCCTGAGGAGCCTGCGCTAGTGTGGTTCCTACCAGCATGGTGTAGGACAATAGGGAAGCACGGTTGGCGTGATACGCAAGGTACTCAAAGGTACACATTCACGCAATGTGTACAAGTACTTCATACCAACCAGGCATCTGCCGTATTAATCGTATTTCCTGCTTTGGAAATCTCAATGCTCCCCAGAGTTCATCGTCATGGCAAAACCGTGATGTACCGGACCAGCTGTTGCACTCCGAGGCTGGTCCCAAGAAACGCATAAAATGTGGGTCGCTGACCGCGCTTTACCTTCCGTCTCCGAAGAATGAGGTCGGGGGCAAAAGAGTCGAGTGAATGTGATGCCAATCCTTCCAGGAGGCAGGAGGCTTCACAACCCAGCAGCCCAGATAACTCAAGGCTAGCGCAAACCAAAGCACCCCCATCCGAGCTAAACTGGTGCTTGAGTGAAGATTGGCCGGTGGTTTGCACGCTAGAACAAGTCAAGAAGTGCCACGGAAAGCAGAGGGACTTTTGGTATTCTGCCTACCGGGTTTCTCGTGCCTCGTCTCCCTGCATTTACGAGCCCAGGGCCCAAATGATGCAGGCTTGCAGCTCTGATGCAAGCCTCGTCTGGGTTTGTGGATGGATGATTCGCCTTGGCCCAGCTGGGCGACAGCATTATCCCCCAGATGGGTGTCGTATTTGTAACCTGCGTGAGCCAAGCAAGCACCTCAATCCCTCACCTTGCTCCTGTCATGCACGGCGTCGGATATTGCGCTCGAAGCTCTGTGGAGGGGGGTGTGCGCATGTACAAGCAAGTACACTGAGACATTGGATTTCCTTAATCGGTCCCGGAATTGTCAACCCATGGACGTGGAGGCAGGGACCGATCGGAGCCGACAAGTAATCAGACAAATCGATTGTCAAGAAGAGGTCACCTTCGCGTTGTCTGTGTAAATGCAGCCTTTCCATGTGGGATCTGCATGAAAGACTGAGGTAGTTTTTCCACTTTCCTTCCCAGTATCCACTCCACTGAAGGATTTACCTTTGCTACAATAGGGCTGCTGTCGGGGGCCAAACCTTTACCCCATTCTACATCCCCAATGGATCAATGATAATCGATCAATATCAGATCGAGTCTTGCTGTTAATCCTAGCTCCCTAGAATACTGAACCAGTAGGGAAGGTTCCCGCGACCTACCAAGACCTTCTAGCCGCTGAAGCTGGCGAACCCAAGGCTTAGGCGCATCCTTGTGGGACGACAATGGGACGCTCTCCATCTTCCATGTTGACTAAAAGCTTACACACACGCCAAAGCTACATCTTACACCACTATCTTCGCCCTTCACCATCAGACTTGGCCCCCTATCCGTCCATCCGCTGTCATCCCAAGCATCAGATTGGAACTTAGTTCCCAGTTCGATGGATCGAGCAATTGTTCCGCTGCGGGACGATGAGCCTAAAACAAGCCACTCCCGAGATTTCTTGCGCTTCCCTGATCTCAGCTGACGTCTTAGGTTGACTCGGCGAGGCTATCGACGTTGAGCTGAAGATAATACTTAAGCGCCCGCTTAGGACTGGACGACACGACACCACCATCAATCATGTCGATCCGATGTGCCTAGCCTAATTTTTCGGGTCTCATCAGGCGTTGCGCGACCCTCCAGGTTCTCTCACACTTTAGTGGTGGGCCGCTTCGACTACAATCTCCACGGTCCTGCCGCTCTCCGCCTGTGTGCTGTTTATTCCTGGGCATAATAAACACACGCAACCTGCTCTCTGGCCGGCTGTCGTTATCGGGTCGCTGGGAAAAGGGGTGTCGCGTCATCCGACTCGACTCAAGCGAGCCCAAGGCACCCGAAAAAATACGATATCTTCACCGTCTCATGCTACCCCTCCTGGCTCCGGGGGCTCGCGACGTCTTTCATCTCCTTCGTCAAGGTGTCATCACATCGTCAATTCTTTGCTTTATGCATTGACGACTCTTTTAATAGAACCATGATCATTAAGACTTCGGCAGTCGGTAGCAACGCGCCTGTTGGTCCTTTAAACTTGTCTCACGGCGTAAGCAACGTCGAACATTCCTCCGAACCGCTTCGTCTCCCGCACCACTCTCCAGGGTAACTCTGGAAAGGGAAACGTCGAGTGTCCATCACCGTCAGTTTGCCAATTCGAATGAAAAGACGGGCCACATCTGCTACCATAGACCCACGCCCTCTCTCAGCTCCGCCATCGCATTCCATACCATTTTGGATGTTTTTAGGAACCCAGCATACTTTTGCGCCTGCAGCCCTACAGGTACGCCCTTACTTTGTTCGAAGTGGCAGACGGGTAAGGTGGGATAAGCGTGGCTATCGCTATTTTTGCGACACATCCGCCACGTTTCGAGGTTGCATGATGTTCTATTTCGACCCCTACTGCTTAGACAGGCCTGGTGAATAAAGGGATGGAGTCGAATTCTCCTTGCCCTCGCCTTCACTTCGTCGCCAACCTCGTAGGCATATCCGCAACTGGATGGCGTTGATCTATCTCTGTGGAGCATAGCCTGTCCATTCTTAGATGAAGCTAAGTCGGCCCCGCCGTCCGGGTCAGAAACTGGAGATACTACTAAAAAAGGGGTTCGCGGGTGCCTGGAGGCTATTCATGGAACTTCGACTGAGGACGAAACCAATCCATCCTAAGATTGGAAATCGAGAGATATTTCTTGCATCATCTATCGACCAAGAGAGAAGAGGGCCGGAAAATGGGGGTCTAACATGGAGGGTTTACAGATTAACACCTTATCCCTCTCGGCTATGAGCTCAGACTCGAAGCTAATAATAATAGTAATTTACACGGGACGTTGAGAGGATCTAAATCGATCGTCGTGGACTATTGTACAGGCAGAACTGGTGATCAAGGCCTCCCGGTGGCTATTCAAAAAAACACAGCACATCATGAGTTCTCCTTAGTGACCTTGCTGCGCCTCTCGAGCGGCCTTGCGCTCGGCCACACGCCTCTTGAAGCGGACCTCTGCCTTCCTCCTCTCTCCTCCGTCAACCTTCTGTCCGCGGCGGAACTCCCACATGCCCTCGACTATCGTGACTTGAGATAGGCCATTGCCAACGGGTGTCGCATAAGGTCCCGAAATCTTGTTTGCTCCCCTGACCCTGTAGTCTTCCACCTTGGCCTTCTGCTCCGTCGATACATCTGACAGGCTGCTTCCGGCAGGGACGTTGACGACGGTCTTCTTATCCGTCTTCAAGTCGTGGTGGACACCGAGGAACGCCTTCCCATCCTCGACATACTTGAAGTCTCCGCCGGGTCCAAACTTGCCCTCGCGATACCTCCTAAGCCAGTGGAGGAGGTATCTCCGCGTCCGGGCGGGCTCGATGCCAAGTTCCTTCAGTTGTGGTGAGGTGAGGGTGAACAGAGCTTCCCAGGACGGGAACTTGTCGGAGTACTGGCTGAGACTTCGACCGATTATGCGTAGGAAGGACTCGGGGTTCGGTACGATGGGGATGGGAGGCGGAATCGGTCGAGGAACAGACATTTTGGAGCTGTGGAGGCATCGCACTTGCCCTCCGCGGGGGAGAAGCGGCGCATTGGGCCTGAAAAGGCTAAGGGAAGAGAGGATTTGCCTTGGTCGCATGGTCATAATGAACTATGGATCAAAGGTTAGCTGTCTTGTTGGGCATAGTATTCAAAACGGATGTTGAGAGGCTTAGCTTACACCATGAATCTATACTTCTTCTATGGTCTCAATGTTTGAGGAGAGTAACTTGTAGAGCGACAGAAAGTGCTCTCTCGGTCTGTCCAGGCAAGCACTCAATCGAATCACCTTCAATTGGTGACATGAAATCTTGAAGCTTGAGATCGCGATTCCCTCCAATTTTTCCATGATTCAGCCATTGGCCGATTCCCTCGAGTAAAGTGGGACTTGGCAGTTAATTCACGTGACCACGCATGTTCGGCCATGGATTACCGATTTGACCGATGGTGGGGGCCACGTCCAGTCGCGTCACACAATACACCGTGCAAAGTGGCAAGGCTCGTCAGCCTCTCCTTCCCCTCCAGATGGAACCCTCAACTCAGCAACACAAGTGTTGCATATTTATTTCTCATTCCCTCCGATGCCACCTTGAATTTTCCATCCATCTTCATCCCACAGAGGCCTCTTCGAGCGGTTACCAAGCTCGACTGGCTCCTTATCTTCCAGACTCATCGCTGCGCCCTCCATCCCTTGCCCCTCGCCCCTCCATATGCACCCAGCCCCAGCTCAATGACTGGATACAGCGGGCAAACATCTTGAAGTTACAATGCCGGGTTTACCTCGAAGGCGGGGAAGGGGAGGACTCGCTATGAGAATACAGAATGGAACTTATTTTAAAATTGGAATTGATGGTACGCATGGCCGAGTCTGATATTGATGCTCAATCTACCGTTACTTACTCTCAATGATAGATTCATTCCCAATCGGCCTCATCGATCATCTCAACTCCCTGCCCCTTGAAGCCGATCGCGACGATCGGCCGTCCAAAAAGCCGCGACTCGACATTCCCGCCGTAGAGCCTCTCGTCATTGGCCGCGGAGACTTGACCGTATCGAGGAAGCAGCCAGACGCCGAAGACGCCAACCTCGACAACTTCTCACGATTCAATGTTGGTGAATACCTGACAGTGTCATTGTTTCCAGAGTCTAGATATCCGAAGGACGTGGTTTTCCTCGGATTGGCCTCTCGACCGAGATCGCCAGCAGGGTTCTTGGATGCGGGACTGGCTCTATCCAGCAGTTCCATCGGCCCCCAGGTTACGACGATTATCCGGGCAGCAGGCAACAATGGATTGAAGCGTTGCCAGGAAGCTGGATTCTCATCAGTCATCAACATCATAGTTTCGCGCTGTGATGACGTCCTCGATATTCATTTCTCGTTCGAGCTCCATTGGCAGCCGAGGAGTCAGTATCATGACCAATTGGGCCACCAGTCGTACCAGCTGATTCGGAACGTGATCAACACATTCTTTCCTCCAGATGGAGAATCTTCCACAGATAGTGAGGAATGGTCACCATTGGACTTCTACGAAGCTGCATATGTCCCTTCTAAAGATGATCCTATCTCGGACTCTATCACTATTCCTGGAATGACATCCACCCTTTACCCCTTCCAAAGAAGGACGTTGCAATGGCTTCTGAGACGAGAGGGCATTGAATGGATAAAGACAGGTGATGATGCTTCAGGTATTGTGCAAGAGATTGATGAGGAATCACCTGGCTGCCTCCCTCTCTCGTTCCGGGAGGTGCATGATCTGAAAGGCACACCATGCTATCTTAGCAAGGTCTTCCACCTAATTTCCACTGATTTAGCCCAGTTCCGTGCTTCAGAGCAGCTTCTGAAAGGAGGCATCCTTGCAGAAGAGATGGGTCTCGGGAAAACTCTGGAGATGATTGGGCTTATACTACTTCATCCTCGGCCTGAAGGCGGTCCTGAGCCTAACTTCCTCGACCCAAACAACGTCAGCCCGATTAACGCGACGTTGATTGTGACTCCCGCGTCCCTTCGTAGACAATGGATGGACGAGCTCTCCCGACATGCACCCCATCTTCGGGTTATGCATTATTCTGGGTGTAAGACCAAGACCCGGGAGGAAGAAGTTGACCTTATCTGCGAGCTATCCGAGCAGGATATTGTAATCACTACATATTCTGTTCTCGCGACTGAACTCAACTATGTCTTGGAGCCTCCCGCCCGAGCCATGCGTCACGAGAGGAAGTATTACCGCACAAAATCTCCCCTGATGCAACTTTTGTGGTGGCGGGTTTGCTTGGATGAAGCACAGATGATAGAAAGCGGAGTCAGTCGCGCAGCGGAGGTCGCTAAACTTATCCCCCGAGTCAATGCCTGGGGTATAACAGGTACTCCTGTGAAGAACGCCGTCCAGGATCTACGAGGGTTGTTGATCTTCTTGCGCTACGAGCCGTTCAACTTCCTAACGGAATCATGGAAAGACCTCACTACAAGATATAAGCCCATCTTCCGACAGCTTTTCAACACACTGGCGCTCCGACATACGAAAGCTATGGTTCGGGACGAGATTAGGCTCCCTCGGCAGAACCGATATGTTATCACCATGCCCTTTGCGGCAGTGGAAGAGCAGCATTATCAATCCATGTTCAAGAAGATGATTGAGGAATGCCACCTTGATACGCAGGGTACGCCTCTAGTCCCAGAGTGGAAGTCAGAGGATTACCACGAGAAAATGAGCAGCTGGCTCAACAGACTCAGACAAGCGGCACTTCACCCGGAAGTTCTAATCCGGCGCCTATATGGTGGCACAAAGAATCGGCCCATGAGAACGGTTGACGAAGTCTTGGATGCCATGATAGAGCAGAACGAGAAAACTATCCTATCAGAGCAAAGGTCTTATCTCATGTCAATGCTTACCCGAGGCCAGCTGCTTGAGAATGGACCGCGCGTCAAAGAAGCGCTCGCCATTTGGGAGAAGGTGAGAGACGAGATAGGTCTCATGGTTGACGAGGCTCAAAAGAAACTTGATAACGCCGTTCGTGAAGCTACTAATGGCCGCGTGTCGGTGGACGGCGCCGATGGTTATGAATTGGAGAATGAAAGTTATAGGTACGATATACCTGCATCTGTGCCACTCACACTATCAAGGAACTATCCACTGACATCATTACAGCCAGGAGCATCAGAGCAACATATCCGAGCTGCGGCGGAGATTACGATCGGTCCTCGAGGTCCAGCACCGAGCAGTCTTCTTCTGCGCTGATGCGTATTTCCAGATTAAGGAGAATAAAGATTTTACCCAGCCTGACTCGGAAGAATATAAGAGGCTTCAACGTCTCGAGGACGAAGGCTACGAACAGGCTAAGTCAATTCGTAGAAAGATTTTGACTGAGGTGAGTAGACCTGGCTGCGTTTCACTCGTCGCAATTCTGTATATCTAACTTTCAAGCAGAGTTATCGGAAAACCGAAGCTTTGAGGAACCGCCTCTCCAACCGAGCGTCGGACCAATCCTTCACGACAATTCCGGAATTGGTCGTGAAAAGTGAGCGCGGTTTAGAGTCACGACCCTTGCTAGAACAGCTCGAGGAATTGTATGAGATGCTCAACCGGCAAGCCGACCAGCTGGACGAGTGGAGGGAGGAGGTGATCCAAATTTTGCTCCAGCCTTTGGTTGACGAAGAGTCTGAAGGCCCCGCTGAGCAAACCGGAGAGGAATTTGCAGATTCGACGAAGTTACAGGATAAGCTAGTAGCCTATGTCTCTGTCCTACGAGCAGCCATTGCGGATCGACAAGATGCGATTACGGGTCAAACCAACGAGCGTGTCCGTCATGAGATGCAAATGGAGACCGCAAACGCCCTAGACGGCACCGTATCACACGGGCCATTGTTCCTTCAGCTGCGGGAGATTCGTGATCGGCTCAAGCCGGACCCCGCTGTTGCGTCAATGCGCGGCATAATCAGCGCCCTACGCCAGGTCAAAAATCGGTATTTCAAAGATGACGCGAATGAACGGCAAGCCATGGAGGCCAAGATTGTGAATCTCCACATGCAGGCCATCCAGAAAGACTCAATGGCGCAAACTAAAGTCGCGACCAGTCTGGAATCGGAGTTGGAACTATTCACATCAACGATGAATGCTCGGGTGGAATACTATCGCCAACTTCAGGCGGTATCTGATAGTGTTATTCCGTATGAGGGCGAGAAGGATGAAGAGACTATGCGTAAGATGCGCGCCGCAGAAGAAAAACTTCAGCAGAAACTCGCCGCAGCCGAGTCGAAGCATAGATACCGTAAGTCCATTTTTTTCCCCCTCTCAACCACAAAACCCCTTTCACCCGGGCCCAGGGAACTAACGCGCGTTGGGATAAAGTCATTAATCTCAAGGAGACGGGCTCGAAGTCGAGCGAGCCTAGAATTTGCGTGATCTGCCAGACACCGTTCGTCGCCGGTGTACTAACGATTTGTGGTCACCAGTTCTGCAAGGAATGCATGATGCTCTGGTTCCGGGCACATAGAAACTGCCCGGTGTGCAAGCAACACCTCAAGCCTTCTAATCTTCACGACATTGTTTTGAAGCCACAGCAATTGCGGATCCACGCTGAAGATCTTGGCGGCAGAAGCGGCGAGGCTGGAAGTAGTAACTCAGGGTCAGGCAGCTCAAGGCATGGTGGGCAACCGTCGCAGTCGGTGATATACACCCAGTTCAGCCCAGAAAAATTGGATGCGATCAGGAACATTGACCTGGATGGACCATCCTTTACGACCAAAGTCGACAATCTAGTTCGGCATCTACTCTGGCTCCGACAGGTTGATCCGGGCTCCAAGTCAATCATCTATTCCTCGTAGGTCTAACAAGATGAAGAAGATCTCAGAAGTACTGATGCTAATGGCCGGTTACAGATTTTCCTATTTCCTCATCATTCTAGAGAACGCCTTCAAGCAACATCGGATCGGCTACACCTCAATCACAAAGCCGAATGGCATCAAGACATTCAAGGAAGATCCGAGCATCGAGGCGTTCGTTCTTTATGCGCGATCTCATTCGAGTGGATTGAATCTCGTCAACGCAAATCACGTTTTCCTGTGTGAGCCGCTGCTTAACACCGCCCTGGAACTCCAGGCTATTGCCCGAATCGATCGGATCGGTCAACAACAGGAGACGACGGTCTGGCTTTATCTCATCGATGGCACAGTTGAAGAGTCCATCTACAATCTGTCGCTGAGGCGCCGCATCGAACATCTCGGTCGCGTGACGAAAGGAAAGTCGCAAGAGACGACGGCAGAGCAGCTTGACATGGCAAACGCGCTGGAGATGGAACAGGCGCCGCAGTTGTCGCGCCTCATCCGCAAGGATGGCATCGGTGGTGAAGTGATTGACAAGCGTGATGTTTGGCAGTGCCTCTTTGGGCAGAACCCCGAGCCGTCACAGAGTGGTCCATCAACTCAAGGTGTGTGGTCTTCTACGTCCGGGGAGGTTGAGGAGAGTTAGGTAGCACAAGTGTGTTTGCGCTGCGATAAAGGGAATGGGATCTCTCTCCATAAGACGTGGAAACGTGCATACGTGCTATTCGTTTACAAGCACGGAGTGGTTATGACTGTGATGACTGTCAGTTGTTTATATAAAAGATACCATTTTCAAAACGTTTTCTGTCGGATGATGTATATATGAAATAAAGATGTCAAGGCTTATCATGAATGGTGTTATTGAACTTTGGACTTTGAGCCCCTCAAGCCCCAAATCACGACTTGACCAAGAATGCTGCGATACAAGAATCCTATCATTTGTACCGCTTCCGCTCTTTCCACTAACCATCGCCTCACAACTACTTCCCCGGGCAGGCATTAGCTGAATTAATAGCTTGGAAATGTCCGAAATTAACTGAATGCACATAGTTGACTGTGTATGACCAAAGAGACGACTTCAAATGTAGTACATCTGGGACTATAATATCGGCAAGACATGGCGAGGGTTGGCCAAGTTCATCATCTCCCATTGTTTCTATGTTTATTAGGGGAAACGGGGGCTTTTCCGCTGGCATTGTGACGGATTGTTGATCGAGGTGTTTTCTACTTCGTTGAAGAAGTTTCCCTCTCGACTATAAATTGTCTTTCAATAATTTGTTGAGGTAGGTCAAGTCGCTGTGGATTTGAAGATTGAGGCTGATTTTAAGAGTTCAATTGACTTGCCGAAAGTGGCTCTGGGCGGCGCCTTCTGGGTGCATCAATTTATGGGCGTCATCTCGAGAATGCTCTTTAGCAGCAACAACAACAACGAAAATAGCTATCATCCTCACATTCCCCTGTTCTCCACCATACTTTGCTCCGGCTGCCTCATCCTATGATGGCGCATGATAGTGTATCACCACAAACCTTTTCCGAAGAACGAACCTAGCCTAGTCACAGCTCTGTCACAAGATAGCCTAGCATCCGCAGATCTTAGCTTCAGCCTTACCTCTCATCTCGCCCTCTTCTCCATCGACTCTCCGGCCTCGACGAATTGTTGTGGCAAACCTGTTCCCGCGACCTCGACATACTTCTTCCCGCGATGTCGAGGTCCTTTATCTAGCCATTAATTCATACACGTTACCATAGCGCACTACAATTTCACCGTCGAGCCGTGCCACGTGTTCTGGAACCGAAGCCATGGCGAGCCGCGATCTCGTCCTCCGAGTTCAGCTCGCCTCGATGAAGGAATGGGGCGACTTTCTCGACAAATGCCTCTTTAAGCGCCTAAGCATTTCGAAATTTGAGTCCTTCGTACCCCATCTCCGATCCAAACACCCTCTCCCCCCCGACGCCATCGCCGACCTCCTCCTCCGCCCCCGCGCCGGCAACAACGACTGCCTCGATCCCCGAATTCCCCTCTATATCCAAGCCGTCCTCGAGCTTGAATATATCGACGCTCCGGCCATCCTAAAGGCCCTATACCGCTACTCCACATCTCATACACAATCACATAGCGACGTCCAGGACCTACCGCCCGTCCGATGGCGGAGTTCCTACTCCGCCGAGGAGGTCATGTTCTACCGTCTGACCAAGGCCGTGGTGCATGGCACCGGGATTAGGACGCCGAGCGACGCGCTGCGCATGATGGATATCGTGGCCAAGTGGATGGCGCTCTTCACGGCCGCCTTTGCGACCTTCGCTGCCGATGTCATGGGTCAACTAGAAAATGCCGGTCCGAGGGAGGAGATGGAGTCGGCGCGGGCGGCGTTCGTGGCGCTGCTTCTGAGCGTGTGCGAGAATCCCGTGTTGTTAAGGACAGTGGGTAGACCGATTGCAAAGAGTAAGTCTTTTGAAGACCGGTCATCTTCTAGCTTGCCGGGGTAGGCTGGTCGGACTGGAGAATAGGCCGCTAATCCTGTGTGTTCACAGAGGCGCGGAAAGCTATGCTAGACAGCCTTGTCAACTTCGTACCAACTCTGCAGATTGCGTCCATCGCTGAACGTTTGGAGCTCTTCCGATCGACGCTAGCTAGCTTTGAGCCCGCCGAGAAGCCAAAGGATGGGGGTCTAGAAGAGATGTTAGATTCCAGTGTTGGTTTGGACAGCGTCATACTACCAGAGCTACCTATCTCCAATTCTCGGGCGGGGCTATACATTTATCTCAACGCATGTGTAAGTGCGGAGGTCCTTGACGTCTCTTGTGAGGTACCGAGAGAGACTTACGTGCGTTTCGTTTCTAGTTTGTTGGGAGGCCGCTGCTCGATGACCACGCTTTATTTGCGTATCTTCATAACCGTTACCAGGGAGATGTACAAACTACAGCCGTCGACCTGATCCTAGCCTCCTTCGACGTGCTCGCGAACGCAGTCTTTAGAAACGATGGGCACAAAACAGCCCACCTCCTACGATCCTACCTAATCAACAAGCTCCCTCTTCTCCTAGTCGCTCTCGGCCATTCCCTGTTCCCGCCCACCACGCCTGAGTTCTGCATCACCGAAGCGCTGAGCCAGGTTGATACCAACACTTTTCCCACCCTATCATCCATGTTCGACGATAGCCGCAACAACAACCCGCTCACGGATAATGTGCGGGAGGAGTTTTGTTTCGCTTGTTGTCTGCATAACCTCATGCCCCAGTCTCATATTGAAACCCTTCTGGGGGAGAACAGTTATCAGACGTTACCCTCGGGTGGTCGCTATGTGAAGGATGATTTGGTGCGGGACTGTGCCGCGGATCCAGAGAAGATCCAGAGCTTGATAGGGGAGCTGGACAATATGGATGGAAATGTGGGCGCTGTGTGCCAGGCGTTAACAGAGGTAAGACCCCTTTTATTCACCCTCTAAGCTATCCATTTATTTTTTTTTCTTCATTACTCACAATGCTATGTGGATAGGTGCTCGGACGTCTTTGCGCAAATAAGGAGACTATGTCCTTGAAGACGCTCTGCAGCCAACTAGCTAGGAAGCCTCAGAGTCTAGATGTCATGCTTCTCTTTGCGAAACCTGCAACTATTCTCCAGCCCATCTGCGATCTTCTAGACAATTGGCGGTACGAAGAGGACCAAGGCGAATACCAGCCAGTCTATGAAGAATTCGGCTCCATCTTGCTTCTACTTCTCGCGTTCGCCTACAGATATAATCTGACGCCGGCCGATATCGGTATCAGGTCCCGAGACTCCTTTGTTGCGAAGCTCCTCACCCAGGGCCACCTTAGCAGGCCGTTGGGCGACCTCACGGAGCAGGAGAAGGGCCATCTCGATGGCTGGATTCACGGGCTCTTCGATACCGACGCGGGTGGTCTGGGAGACGAGCTCATGTCTTCCTGCCCACCCCAGGACTTTTACCTCCTCATACCTACGCTGTTCCTGAACATTGCGCTTGCCTTCGGGTCCGGGCGCCTTACCGAAGAGACCCTCAAGGGCGGTCTCGAGTGTAAGTGTCTACATTCGCGGCTAGAGAGTTGTTAGACTTCCGACTAACTTAGGAAATAGATCTCGTTGATACTTTCCTCCTTCCTTCTCTGGTCACGGCGATCCGGTTTTTGTCGGATTACCTTTGCAATGATCGGCAGGAAGAACAGAAGGCAATTATCAAGATTTTACAGCTACTTTTAGCCCCGAACGCAATTTCGACGGAGGCCTCGACAATGCTTTCGTCGGTATTGAACCTGGTTGCGAAACCACTAGAGCACTCCCTACGGGCGTATCAACGTCGGGACCCTAATAATGCCCAGATTGAGCCGCTTCTGCGTACGTTGAAAGACAGCCTACCTCTGTCGCGTAGGACGGGAGGGGCAGAGCACAACGAGGTTGAGTCGTGGAGCAGCACCGCATCGGGAGGCCTAACCATGTCCATCAAGCATACGATGAATGGATTCGTGCAATGGAGTTTACAGCCCGCTAGTGTCAACGCCATGCCAACTTCCTACACGCACCGGCAGGTACTCTGCGGCCTACAGATGCTCGGGGCCTCGCGGATGCTACGCATCATCCTCGACGAAGTCCAACAGCAGTCCGAAGCCGGCAACGCGAGCATCGTGTACGACGTAGCCACGGCGCTCATATGCGCGCCAGACGTCAGCAACGACCCTCCCCCGCCACCCAACATGCAAACGCTCGACGAGTCGGGCAACGTGCCCCCCGTGCCGCAGCGGCAGCTCAGCCTCCGTGAGGCCCTCAAGACCGAGGCCGAGAACTTTAGAAAGCTGCACAAGAAGGACCCGGCACTCGCTGAGATCGTCGTGCGGCTTCATCGGAAGGTCGAGGCCCAGATGACGCCTTCGCAAGCGCAGATACTGCAGGCTGATCTCGGTGCCTCTATAGATACTTCGGACGTCGTGCATCAGGCAGCTGCTAATGCCGCTGCTGCGGCCGCCGTGGCCGCGACGGGCGCGGGTGATCCCATGCAGATGGATTCCGTGGGGCTGGATATGATGGCAGGCGTCACGGGGAGCGATTTTGGTATGGGTGGATCGGGGAATGGGGGATCGCTAGATTTGAGCGAAGATATCTTCGGTCTTGATTCCGGGATGGACACGTTTGATATGTGGGGGGACATGATGGAGACGAGTTGAGGGCGGTGGAAGGAGCGAGCACGGGTCTGGGGAGGGTTTCGCTATTTGGAGGGTAAAACAGGACAACTGGGTGCCTTCTAGCGTCTCTGGGTTGTTTAGGGAGTTGAAGAGCGTTGCAATTACAATCGTAGAGAATCGATTAGTGCATTATTAGTAGAAGCGAAACCTAAATTAAAGAAAGCGGGATTTCGAATATGATCTGGTCTGTCCACCATCCTCTGTTGAAACGAGGAGGAGCAAACTAGATCGACTGGCTTCGACGGTGATTTAACAGTCCGTTTCCCTCCATGGAGGTATGTAGACGGAAGGGATTGTGTCATGACAGCTTTTACGAAAGGGGACTACTTTTGTTCATTTCAGAAAACAGGGTATCAATAATTGTCCTCTAAACGCCTTCCTAAACATATGCCCAGCTAGTCTTCTCACTTTTAGTTTTTCCTCTTCGTTTCCTTTGAAATGAAAACCGAAGGAATATGCCACATTCCATAACATCCTCAGCGCTGGCTGGATCTCCTTTCTATCATTGCGCATACGATTGAACGTAATACTACAAACGGAGAGTTAGTAAACACAACCTCATTCAGCATGTTAGTCCAGGGGAGCGAGCCACTCACCGTCATGACCGACTCCTCAGCCATCGTATGCTCATCAAAATGCGAGATGTAGCAATACAGAATCAAAGCATGATCGTCTATAAAGCTCCCAATCACCTTCCCCTCGAGCCTCCCAACACTCAACACCCTACTCAGATCCTTCCCGTCAACGCGCACGGTCGCCCAGCGATCGGGCCCAGCCTCGCGAAACCTCGTGCTTGGGTGCTCCTCGATAGGCATGCTCATCTGCTCTTGGTTAAGTTCGGGCGTCACGAGGCCGGACCACTCACTGCAGACGGAGCCACCGTCGGTCTGCACGCGCAGGCGCAGGCTCCCGAACATGTTTGCACTGAGCTCGAGCTTCGCGCTGGAGCGGGACGAGGAGGAGGAGGCGGCCGTGAGGCGGGTGAAGCGGTCGGCTATGGCTTTGAGTTGGAGTAAGGGGGGGAAGGTGATGTTGACGTCTGGGTCACGGGTCTTGGGCTGCATGATGCTCTCGACTGACTCCGGGTAGAGGACGCGGACGGGGATCTCGTGGGTGATGATCTTCTCGCGCTCGCGTCTCAGAGAGGTCTCTAGGTTCTCGACGGGGAAGGTGGATGTGCCGCCGTCATCATCGTCATCGTCGACACCAAAGTTAGTAGTCGGCCTAGGCGGAGGAGCCATACCGCCGTGCGCCGCCGAATTGGTCAGGGTGGTGATGGTCATGGCGAGGATGGGAACTCCATCGGTGCGGCGCTTGGCGAGCTTCATGCTGGCGGAGACGGAGTTGAGGGCGGACTTGAGAGCTCGCTGCAGAGGCGTTAGGGGGATCTCGAGGTCGATGATGTTGTCGACCTCTTTGGAGGAGATGGTGAACTCGTCGAAGATGACGTCCATGTTGAAGCTGGCCCAGACGTGGGAGCCAACGTCGGGGATGGCGGTGAAGCGGGCGACATTGTTGTCGAGGCGCACCCAGGCGATCTTTTCGAGGGATGATAGAGCTGCCGTGAGCTCTGGGGGTGTGCACGAGGTGTATTAGTTTCACAAGTTGCTTGGGGGGTGTGGCGGTTTACATACTTTGGAATGTGCTTATATTCTTCAGCTGGGCGTTGAACCTCATTTCGTCTGTGTGAGGCTCTCAGGCTTAAGCCCCCGGGGTTGGTATCAGACAAGTCCTTGGGCTCGGGGAAAACAGTCTCGTTCGAGCTTGAGGCTCGAAACGATGAAGTGCGAAGAGCTCGCAAGAGATGTGGGGCTTGTTTCTAGGCTTGGAGAATAATTGAAGTATCAATTGTTCACTTCCCGCGTTGTGAGTCGTGACGTATTACTTGGTCCCAGACTGTACAATGTACAATTGAAACACCCCGGACTGCTGTGTGCGGAATGCGGAAACAACTTCGAATTGTCAGTTTTAAAATTGAAGCTTTCGAAACATCCATAATCTTTTATCGTCATCATGCAGGGTAGTTTTTCCACTTCCAAGTCTCGTCACTGCATTGTGATGCCACCGAACAGAACCTGGTTAGACGAGGTACGAAGCAATCACACATACTTCGTACATACAGTGTATCAATTGAAAGTACTTCGGAATGAGGTACAGAAGTACAGAGGTCGTGGACTTCGTCGTGCTGATAGTGCTGACTGTGTTGGAGCCCCACTAGCTTGATCAATCGATTGCCAGCTGTGACAGCCATTGTAGATTAGTTATGCTGCATACCTTGAACGAGGACCGGAGTCTTCGAGATTGTTTTTTGGTAATTCGATCAGTTGGATCAATGGACCTGATTTGGTGCGTATACGCAACAGATATTGCCCCGTCAGCATCTAGATTATCAGGATCAATGTCTCAACTTCATTCCGCAGCGTTGTCAGACTCGAACTTCGTGCAGGCGATGAGAGCAACTTTACATAGCAGAGCGTACACAGGTACGAAGTAACTACACTATTTTGAAAGTGGTCTGCGTGTCGAGACTTGCCGTCCGCACAACCTTGTGCTCTTATCCCCGCTATCTGTGCTGTGCGCCCCTGATCTTAATCTGGCCCTACAAGGTCTGGACAGGGTACTGCCAAGCCTCCGTATCGACGATCAAAGGAAACAATACGCGAGTCATTTTCAACTGCGAAACAAGGGCGGCCCTTCCGAAGTATTGTACATTCGCACCACCACCACCACCAGTCAACCGCATTCCAGATCCTAATCTAGGTTCCCCTGTAACCTAGCCTATCGGGCTATTCGCCGCCCCTCCGCCTCCAACATACCACGTAGTTTACGATCCACTACCGCTGGCGGGAGTGTGGCGGCCTCCAAGTCTCCGACCGGGACTCGGGACTCGAGGCCTGGGTCTTTCACGTGGGCTCTGAGCACGAAGACATTAACCTGGCGGAAGCAGCTCCCTCATGCGTCACCACCGCCGCCATGAAGATAAGAGCAAACGAGCTTCATTTTACTTGTCTCTCTCCCTTTGAGCTTATGTGTATCCTCTCTGGCAGTATGGCCCCAGGAAGTGGATCGCGAGTTAGACACTTGACACTTGACACTTGACAGTCAGTCCCTCCCTCGTGAACACTGACCCCCAGGATAGCTCTGGCGATGAAGTATTGACAAAGTACATCATACTACGAAGTACACCGCCGAGCACACATTTGCTACCCCGATTAACCTGCACAGACCATCAATGTCTTCGGGCAACAATGTACGAAGTACGAAGGTAGGGAGCGACAGCAAAGGACATTCCCTTTGCAACATCCGAGGAATGTCTCCAGCGTTAAGGCAATCTGACGAGACAATTTCTTCAACCATTGATGGCTCGCTCTCAACTGCTGAATAGGGCCATACTAATACGAAACAACTCCCATCCTAAATTCGTCAAGGTTCGGCTTCCTCCTTACCCACCAGGCCCGAATGACCTTCGTCCTCGTCATCGTTATCCATGCCCCACTGTAATACCACCTACGACCCGCCTAACCCCGAACGACCCGTGTCCTTCTTTAGCGCTTAATACCACTATCGGCATAGTCTCAGACCCTCAGCTGGAGGCCTGAAGGACCACCAGACCTGTGCTCCCTCAGCAACGTTTGATTGATGGACACTGTAAGAGTTGAGTCCATCCTTGACTCGAGAGGCTTGGTATCTATCATAAGTGACGACGCCCCTCGCCGCCACACCCACCTTCTCTCCAACCTCGAATCCTTCGAACCCTGCTTCCTCCCTCTCCCATTCCAACTCCGACAGCGAACGTCGACCTGGGCGGTTTCGATGCCCACGAAACCTCGCCATTCGCCCAAAAACCCGCATCCGACCAAATCATGAGCCTCGACACTGTCGGGACTCTGCTGGCTGCCATTGCGAATCTACTCACTGAAGGTCTCCAAATCCTGGCCCAGACTGATACCCACCTGTGGGGCCCCGACGAACACGAGCAGGTGCGCGCCTTCGAGGACGCCCTCGACGAAGCGAAGAAGGACTTTCAAGAGCTATCGCCATTGGTGAAAGGCCAGCTGTACTATCAGAACGATCGTAAACGTATGTCTAGTCCCTGTTCCTCTAACTATCGAAGTCGCCGTGTAATATGGCCTCTCCCGAGCACACACAACACAATCGCTGACATTACTGGATTTTTCCTTCTTCCTAGGCGAATCACTCGACGAACTGAGAGCTTTGCGCGCGAAATTCGAGACACACATTCAAAGCTTCCGAGACTGGGGGAATGCAGGCGGTCCAATAAATCCCCTATGGCTGAATGACACGAAACTTTTACGGAGAGAATTACACCGAGCTCAGTGCAAAGCCGTCGGGAGGATATTCGCCCTCGAACAGGAATCCGAGCCCCGATGTCTCGGCGCATTCCTCGTATACCGAAAACAGCGCGCCTGGGCGAACCAACCCTGCAACCAGCTGGAGGAGTACAAGCGGCGTCAGCTCGAGGAGCTGATGACGTGTAATAGCGTCGGCAAGTTTGAGCGTTTCGGCGAACAGGACATCGCCTTCGTGTGCGACTTTTGCGACGGATACATGGTGTGGGAGGATCTCGAGAGCATGCCGTCCATACGCACCGTCGACGAGACGGTCACCGCATCCGGTACCAGGACGCCGCCGTTACCGCCTACCCTCGGAGCTGAACATTGGCAGGCCACAGGATTTGCTGTCACGACGAGGGAGGAGAAGAGTATCGTCTTCGCGCCGTTGGCCGTCGGTAACCATCTTCCGCCTGACGCGGGGGAGTGGGAGTCTCGCATCATATGCCCTGTCTGCAATGACGAGTACGTCCTTGCGCAGGGAGATGACGAGATGGAGCAAATACGGTACGACGAGAGATCCTACGCCAACCTCGCTGCTTTCCAGGCGCACATGGAGTGGCAGCACACCTCTTACCCTGTACCGACGATACCCTTGCCTGCGCTGCCATCGCCGAAAAGCAACTGTAGAATTATGTAACGGACTATGATGGTATCTTGGGTTGCTCTCTTTTTTCCCTTCCGGCGTTGGTATGCGCTTGCTTTTGTTTCTGTCGTTTTCTTTCTCTTCTTTATTTGGCATAGGCCGGATTGGGATGCGAGTCGGGTGCATGGCCAGCTCGGCGTAGGATACAGGGAACGGAGTTTTCACGGCCGACAAAAACTATGTCTCTTGGTGTTTCTTGGGGTTTTATTTATCATGACGGGATGAGGTGTTTTGCAGCTTTTTTTGTCACGGCGTTAGGTGGGCTTGATATACACTAGGAGCGTAAGTAAGGTTTCTAGAGTGCTTGCTCTCCCTCTAGATACAACAGGCAAGATGTCCTCTTTTCCTCCCTCTTCTTCTTCTTGCCCGTGGACTGCACCACGTGTAATTCAGGACAGACGGAATCGGTCGCTTTCAAGATCGAGTCTCGATAAGCTTACTAGTGTGTACTTGTGTAATATATATATACATGAGTCTCGCAGGTTCAGTAGACTCGCGCCACCCGTCATCGACACGCTCCCATCACGGTGATATCCCCTATGTAGACGTGGACTTGTTTTTCCATCTCCCCACGCTCAGTACGCAAAAGCCGTTGACATTAACCCATTTTCCATACAAGAAAAAAAAAATAAGAATAAGAAAAACAAAAACAAGGGGCAAAAAGATTGTTTGCCCAGCCCAGCATACTCTCCCCCCCCTTTTCCACGCTCAAAAGAACCTCCACCACAAAAACACCAAAATAATGAGCCCCAACGCCGCAAAAGGCCCATACTGCTTCACCAACAAATCCCAATTAATCTTGACAGCCGCCTTCCTATACTTCTTACTATCGTCCCTCAGCCTCGACGACAGCTCACCCATGCGCTCGAGGCTGTCGCCGCGGTAGAGCAGGTCCTCGATGTTCTTGGTCATGACCTTCGTGACGTCGCGCAGCTCGTCGTTGAGGCGGTCGAGGTTCTGCGAGGCGCGGGCGTCGGAGTAGGTGGCTTTCGTGCGGGCGATGAAGGTGTCGAAGTCCATGAAGGCGTAGGGGCGTAGCGTGGGGGAGTGGATCTGCGCGGGCGGGTGGGTGGTTGTGAATTCGCGGGAGAGGTCGGCGAGGTAGGTGAATGCTAGCTTGCGGGGGTAGGAGCGTTCGCAGATACAGATGAAGACGATGTCGCTCTCGATTAGGTAGCTGTTGGAAGCTTGTTAGCTCTTGCTTTTGGAATTTACTCCCCTTCTTCGGGTCTCTTCTTTGGGACTGGGGGAGAGTGTGTGAAGGGAGGACGGACTGGAGGACGAATTGGCCGGATTCGATGCTCGCTTGCGGTTCGGAGTTGCGGGTCAGTTTGCGGAGGACCTGGCGGATTTGACTCTTGACTTCGCCGACGGCGGATTGTGACTGTGGTTCCAAATCGCGTTAGGCCTTGGCTCTATGCTGAGATGATATATTTCCTATAGGTGTGGTAGTACCTGCTCGTCATCGACGGATGCGCAGAGCATCAAGCCTAGGTAATCGACTCGTGTTAGCTACGCCCATGTTCCGTTCCCCCCCTGTGGCAATGGGAGCTCGGCGTGGGGAGCAAGTACCGTCAAGACGCGCTATTTGGGTAGATCGAATCATGGTGGCTGTTGAAGAAGAAGAAGATGGATCGGGGTGTTCGTTTGCTCGTTCGTCAGGAGAAGAACAGTCGAGCGAGTGCTCCGTGTCGAGGAGAGCAGATTTCAGGAGCAAGGCCGGAGCTTTTAGGATGCGAGTGTGCCTAGACAGAGGTGGGTTCTATAGGTGACGTGGAATGTTGGCCAGTTTGGTAGATCTGGCTTCGTTGACGCGAAATACTGAAGCCTGGCTTCGGGCAAACGTTCTTGGAAGATGTGGTGGTTGTTTGCTTCGTTGCTGTTCAGAGTTGAAGTTAAGAGTGCGGTCGTTGGCAGTTGAAGCCACATGGAACAATCGATATTGTGAGGTGTTCAAATGCAGGTACTTAATTGAACGTCACCACAAGATACGTACCCAATTTGAGCTGAAATCTCACACAAGCTCCCTAACTCCCTTGCCAGCAATACTCTAAATTTTACCAGCTGGAGGCAAACTAACAAGCCATAATTGTACATCTAACCAGGCTGACAGTGACGCCTGTTGAGCTTGAAGTTCCGTCAATGTTGTCCAACTTGGCATATGACGGTCTAATTCCTACGCCCTCCTCTCAAGGCAACTTCCTATATAACCCAATCACCACTACTATACCAGGATGCAATCCAATCGCACGGAACAGTGTTGGCTGTCGACGGAAGAAGAGCAAAAAAAGAAGGGAAAGAAAGGAAAGGAAAGACCAAATCCTAATTTTATAGAAGCGCCCGAGGACTGCATTCCTAACGGTGAACAGGCAAGCGAGGGTGGGGAAACAGCCAGGAGCAGCGATCCGTAGGCAGCTCGACCGGCCACTTCTTCTTTTGTCCATCGCATAGTCTAATTGGAAATGGCCAATATAAAGGGTGAGTGGCCAATATACTGTCGCCGCTGAGGGTGCGGAAGGTTCGAATCCAAGGACGAGAAGGATTTTCACTCTTAACGCCACGCTCACAGTGATATACTTCGTGTAAGCAAGCTCAGGGGGTTGCCATGTCCTCGAGAACATGCCCTCGGCTTCTTCAAACCCGGCTAGCCCTCACCGAGCGACCTCTGCCGTGTCATTCAATTTAAAGGGGCTTAAGCATCGATCCCGTTGGCTTTGTCCCATAGCCTCCCGACAGCCCATTCAACAGGGCGACTGGCTGGAGCGATGCAGCTGGGCACATACTTCCACCAGTCCTGCATAGTACCCCGACCGGATTCATTGAAAGTGTAGAGCACCTTGCTTGCCTCGAACCATGCTGGATAGAAGCCACTTGTCTCCCAGTCAACGATTCCAGAAACCACGTACTCCTGCGCCTTCGTAGGGTCTAGGTCGACCATGATGTTACCGGGAAAGAAGTCACCATGAGTGAAGACGGCCGGTTCGTCAGGGTCGGGGTGTGGTAGGAGGCTTTTCAGGAAGGCAGCATACTCCGGACCGCAAGGCGCTTTGATGGAAAATTGAAAGTCTCTAAACACGGTGGCCGTTGTCATAACGGTTTCGGTATCTGCGTGATCAACCCAGGCATGATGATCGCTCACCCCCTCTCCTCCAAGGCCACCTAGCCGCCTATCTTTTTGCTTGAACTCTCTCAATCTCATAAAGATTTGGTTCAATTGTCTCTGGATTGAGAGTTTGTTACTGTCACTTAAGGTGGGCCATACGCTTTTCAAAGTCGTCGACGGGATGTACGACATCAGCATCAACCGGGAGTCACCCAATCCAATGAGTCCATGCGGCTTCGGTGCCGGAAAGTCCGGTGCATTCTCAGCAAGATAAAGTAAGGCAGAGTACTCGGTCTCAAAGGCTGTCGTCTCCGAAGCAGGGACGACCTTGATAGCAATGTCAGAGCCAGACCCGCCGCCGCAGCGTAAAACGCCACCGCGGCCTGAAAGCTTTGCGATGACCTCCGCGTGCCTTAGCACCCGACAGACGCCTTTATCTAGACTATCCTCATCTTCGACGCCTCCATCCTCCTCCCCAATCGCGCCGAAGATAAGTGTCTTGGCTGCATCGGAGAGAGGGTTTAAGATGACGGTTTTCTCGGGCGATCTCACGAGAACAGCGGTGAAGTTCTGCGGCTTGGGCGGCGGGGGTTTGCGTCGTTCTTGGAGGAGTTTTGCTGTTGGATGGGCAAAGTGTTTCTTCAAGGCGTCCATCGCCAGTCCGCGAATCTCACCATTCAAGTCCCAGCTTGGGTTTTCAGCTAATTTAGCCTGCACAGTCTCAAGTATTTCTCTGTTCATCACCGCGCGCCTCGCGAGGAGCTCGGGAGTCTCTTCCCTGGTATGAAGACGACGTCAGAATCAACAGATGAGCGCGTGAGGGGTTGGAAGCCTTACAGTTTCGAAAGTGACATGTTGGGACCAAATTGATCGAGACAATTGGAGTTTCCAGCCGTACTGGGTGGGTTGAGATGGTTTGAAGGAGATTTGCGAATTGATGCTAAGGGGAATGCTGTTATTTGAGTGTGGAGAGTGCTGGGCCAACCATCTAAAGTTCTACAGCAATCGAACCTTCTGCAGACAGAAATACCAGTAGAGGATAATATTGATTTGTTTACAGCAAAGGCTTCACACCAGCCAAGGCATAGCCTGGCACGCAATCCTCATATGCGGCTCCCAAGTACATGCAGCATCCTCCTGAAATCCTAGAAACGCCAGACCATCATAACTCGTTCCAGGTAAGAAAGAAAAAGCGAAACAAAACAACAATAAAAAGAAGAAAAAGGAAAGAAAGAAACATTAAAACAACGCCCATTCTCATCCTTTCTGCTCCTCCTCTCGCTTGCCCCTCGTATCCGTCGGGGTGGTCTCCTTCTCCTCCCCATCCTGGCCCCAATCGTCCTCAAACTTGCGAGCCAGGTACTCGTCGTAGTCACCCGCCTTCCTACGCTCGCTCGCCTCCCAGGCCTCAGCGAGCCACTGTTCGTCGTGCTTGCCCAGCGAGAGGTCCTCGATATACCGCGTGCAGTCGTAGCGGAAGTGGTCGTCGTTGAGAAGAGATTCGATGTTGGGTCGGGCCTCGTCAGTACCTGCGTCGAGGATGTGCTCGTCGTCCGGGAAGTGTGCGATGATTTCCTTTTGTTCCTCTGGGGAGAGGACTTCCCAAGCAGCTGGATTTCGTAAGATGGACTGTATATTTCAGGCGGTTGTTAAGTTCTTATGAATATATACATTGAGAAAGGCGTCGCAAGAACCACTTACTCTCAGGTCACACTTCGTAAGTGGCGAGCGCGAGCTGGTAAGGACTCTAGAAGCAGCCCACCGGTTGGCAGCGGTGCGCTTCTTGAAAACAATCTGAGGGCTTCGGGGCTCTTCGCGGAGATCAAATCTTGCTTGAGTATGGGCGTTGCCTTCGTTCTGGGATTCTCCTTGGGCGCGAGCCTGCTCGCCAGCCTCGAGTCGGGCAGATCGCCTCGTCCTCATCCTTTTTTTCTTATTTCCTCGGTCGGGATTCCTGAGAGTTTCGAGAGATATGGGTTATGTATTAAAGATTAAGATGTCAGTGGTGTAACTCAGAGGGTGGTAGATAAAATAATTTTCCGGAAAGACAAATATCAAGCTGTGATGATTGAGGATTTGGTGATGGCGAATGTAAAGATGAGGAGAGAAAGGATCAAATGGCATGCTGTGCTGTTGTGTCTATAAGGGGTCTGAAGTCCAGGCTTGCAAGCCGAAGAGACATGCCTGTGTGTAGAACGGAGGCATTTTTTTCATTCATTCATTGTGCTTCCCCAGGGTTTGGAGTGAAGCTATCACTACAAGAGGCTCGAGTTTGTGTTGTTGGGAGGTGATGAAAGAGGTCAATTGCTCTCAGTGATTGATCAGTGTGAGGTCGCTGCACACCGAATAAAGCCGAATTACTCACATGGATTAACTGAGAGCAGCTCTCATTCTCATTCAACACTAAACACTAAAAAAAATCAATCCTCCATCTTTCAACATTCGAGAAACAAACTCGATCATCAATATTCGGATCCAATCTCGTCCATTTCTCCTTCTCATAAATCGAACTCTCATTCCATAGTCTATTTATCATACGACGCCGTCTGGGGCGAACAGTTTGATATGGCGCCTTCAGCCACCGACCACTTGCGACAGCGCCAACTGCTGCTCTTCCAGAAACTTTTAAACCAGCGCGATGGTGCCAGCCCCCTTACTCTCGTACTCGATAGTCTCGAACAGCCTGCTGGACCTCTCGTAACCGAGTTTGCGCTTCGGGCAAAGGTGGGTTGAGTTGACGTTTGGGCCTTTTCGAGGCGGGGCTATCGGCGCCCCTCCTGTCGTCCTTCTCCTGCATCTCAGAGAGGCTTAAAAGTGCTGACGGACAAATTTTTGTATAGAAAGCGGCCAAAGCCAAGGTCATCTATCTCGGTTTTTCTACTCTCAAGAGGAATCCGCATGCGGATGTATATCTGAGTGCTAGGGGCAAGACCCCAGCTGCCGTGAGGACAGAGCTCTTGAAGCACTATCCTGCTGTTGACTCGGGGGCCGCAAAACAAGGCACACGGCCTCAGAGTGAGTGCACACTCCCCATCCCCAGTCCTTTGTGTCCTTTTATTCTTACAAGATATACAGGGGCTATTGTCATCCTCGACTCTCTAAACCCTTTCATCTCCACACACTCAGAACAACTCACCGCATTCCTCTCAAATATCATCACCCCCACCGTCTCCCTCATCGCCATCTACCACACTGACGTCCCCTGCGTCCTTCCCAAAACCTACAGCGAATACGCGCCCCACCCATTCACTGTCATTACTCACCTCGCAACCGCCATCCTATCTCTTTCCAGTTTGGACCATGAGATCGAGCGCCAAAAGGCCCGAAACCGCAGCGTGCCAGAACCAGAGTTCGGTCTCAACGAGGGCCGCGATGGTGTCCTCATCGGACTACAGGAGAAGAGAACACCGAAGCAAGGCCGTGGCCTCGTCGTGGACATGGAGATCAGGAGGCGTAGCGGCCGCGCTGTGACGGGCAAGTTCGTCCTCATGATTCCTCCGGATGTGGAGAGGAGAAAGGGGGCGCTGTCGAGTTTCTGTTTGCAGGAGAGCCATCCTGCCTTTAAGCCTCCCGAAGACGAAGCAGGCAGTGAGGGGCAAGAGACGGAAGGGGATGGACCAGAGAGCACATTCAATCTGGGGCTTACGGAGAAGCAGAGAAAGGATCGTGAGGGGATCGTGCTGCCTTATTTTGATGCGCAGACGGAGATTGGCGGAGGGGAGGGTGGGAGGATTCTATACGAAATGGGGAGGGAAGACGATTTTGATGATGAGGAAGATGAGATATGATGTCGACTTGATGAAAATGTTGGTTTGGATCTGAGATGCATGGCGCGATTAGAGAGAAGGTGAGATTGATCGTTGATCTTGATGCCCGTGCGATTCGAGCTGTCCCGCCTCCTATTTCTCGCCGAGGGTGCGGAATGGGACCAGAGTAAGACAGATAAATATCGATTTATGATAACGTCTCGATCTTAGAATTCAAACTACTTTGTATAACCAACCCTTCATGATCGTCTTGTCACCGAGCTCCAATGTGATGGGGGGGACCTTCCCTCTTGGTTTGGTTCGTGGTGGGAGCTTCCGCCACATTGTCCCCCACCACGCGTGGCGCAGCCAGCATCAACGCGACCACCCAAATTTCTCAACCTCACAGCCTGGCGACGCCTTCCTGTTTACTGCCCACCCTCCACCTCTTTCCATCGTCCTCAGCCCACTCCTCACCGCTTCCACCACTTCCACGACAACTACCAATCCTCTCTTCTACTAAGACCTCGTAACCGGGAACCTTCGTCTAAAGCTATTTTACTAAAGGAGAAAACAAAGATTCCTGATAAATCACAACCATGTCGGAGCCGTACTCGAGGCGTCCCCGGCGTCCAGATAGCCACCAAATGTGGGACGAATCCGACAGAAACGTACGCCAAGGTGATCGTGGTCAAGCCCGCGACCAAGACCGTGATCGCGATCGCGATCGAGATCGAAACCGAGACAGAGGCGCGCGGGATTACCGTGGACGCGGCCACGACGACAGGGATGATCGAGAGAAGGGCCAGCGAGATAGGAGGAGGTACAGATCGCGGTCGCGAGATCGTCACGATAGAGGCGGACGTCACGGGGAGAGACAGAGGTCGAGGGAACGAGAGCGACAGCCAGATCGAGGAAGGGACGATAGGCGTGGTGGCAAGCGAGATCGCAGAGAAGTCGACCGAGAGAGGGACAGGCGAAGAGCGGTTGAGGAAAAAGAAGAAGAAGAAGAAGAGCAACGCGAGGATGAGGGTCTGGAACTAAGACGCCGAGATCGGGATGGTGACAGAGGTATGCGCGAGATGCTCGTATCATTCCTCATCCCCAAGGATTCTAACACACCACCATCAGACAAGCAGCAAGACAAGCACCGTCGCCGCTCCGCCTCCCCCAGACGATCTCCCAGCCCCCCTCCCCGCCAGCACAACGAAGACGCCGACGACGACCGCCAAGACTTCCCGCTCGAGACCCTCCCCACGCGCAACAAGAGCGAGCGATCCAAACACGCCATGTCCTTCCGCGTCGGCGGCCGAGACACCGATTCCCCTCGCCCCGAGAGCGAGAGGACCGACTCACGCGGCCGGCGCAGTCGCGGTCGCTCCCGGGAGCGTGACGACACCTCCATGGACGTCGAGGAAGAGGGAGAGGAGGAAGAGGATCTCGACGTCGTTGTCGAGGACGAGGGATTCGCTGATATGCAGGCTCTCATGGGTTTTGGCGGCTTCGGCACGACGAAGAATAAGAAGGTGGCGGGGAATGATGTCGGCGCGGTCAGCAAGGAGAAGACGACCAAGTATAGGCAATACATGAACCGTCCTAAGGGGTTCAACAGACCTCTCAGCCCGTCGAGGTGAAAATGGAGAGTTTTTCTGGCGATGGAAGCGACAGTTGTTTTCGGGTTTCTCTTTTTCTTCTTCGGGGCTAGATCACTTATGGTATGTCTTCCTTCAAACTTCGTACTCAAGTCTCGTGTTACTTTTATCAAGCAATAATGCTAAATTCGAGCCCTTCGTTATTTTTGCACCTCTTAGTTTGGCTCAAACATTTACTCGTCATCCTTTTACGTGGATGTCGTACTTTCTCGGCCTGATGAAGCTAAGTCTCCCTCGCATATTCTTGCTCACAGGAACAGGTTTCTTTCCATTTGATCCTTGGTGAGTGCTTATCTCCTCCAGCGAGCTTTGTAAAATTGGAGAGTTTTACACCCTCGATCGTAGCTGCGTAGTTTTGGTAATTAGTTTCCACAACGCCACCAGCTTTTGTTTCAATGTAAATCTCGACCTTGCGTCTCTCCCCTAAGCTTCCCCAAATCACCATGTGAGAATATCCCATCACAACAAAACTTAGAAGTCGGCCATTTTCAAGAAGGCTCAATGTTTCACACAAGGGTAAAAAGCCAAAAAAGTAGTACTTGATCCCCTCAACTGATCCTGTTCTAAACCTATTCCGCACCCACTCGTGCTTCGCCACTGACCATGACTGGGCTCCGGCATTCCTATTCTCATCTGGTTCTCTCCCAGGAAACGACATAGGCTTTTCTCATGCCTCTCACGCCTCTCAGTCCTCTCTCAGGTCTTCTCTTGGGCTCTCACATCTTATGCGTACCGTACTCTCTCTAGTGTTGGTACAGCCAGCGTCCTGGCTTTTCCGGGTCGTTCTAGGATTCGAACCCATTGCCTGGCCAGGGCCAATGGAGTTCCGTTTTTATTAAAACAGTCCGACCACTAGGGCAAATCAAGCACTTGTAAACGTGTGAATTGAATCGCTTATTCTACTACTTATACCCAACTTGGACAGCTGAATGGAAAGCAACCCCTGTATTATTCTATAACTCCCAAAAACTTGTAATAAAACATAAAAGATGAATAAAGAAATAGAAAAAGACCCCGGCTTCTTGCTCTTCCCTCCCTTCTACGTGCGGTAATCGCCATTAATCGTAATGTACTCGTGACTGTAATCGCAAGTCCAGTACCTCGCCTCCTCCTTACCCGTTCCCAACCTAACCAAGATCTCCAAATCCTCCATCTCCAAAATCTCCGCCGCCCTCGCCTCGTCAACGTCCTCGGGCTCGCCATCAACGAGCAACTTCAATTCAGCCGAGCCATCGGTGGGGATGAACGAGACGTTAGTAGTCTCGGGCACGATCTCGGGGACGGGGGTGACGTCGTGGCCGGGTTCGGAGATGAGGGAGTAGCCCGTAGCACAGAGGATGCGACCCCAGTTAGCGTCCTTTCCGTAGAGGGCGGTCTTGACGAGGGGCGAGCGGGCGATGGTGCTCGCGATGCGTCGCGCGGCGTCCTCGGAGGCGGCCTCGGCGACGCGGATAGTGACGAACTTGGTGGCGCCCTCACCGTCGCGCACGACGAGCTGGGCGAGGTCGATGGCGAAGTCGGTGAGGACGTCGCGGAGAGCGATGTAGTCAGGTGAGTCGGCCTCGGCGATGTCGGAGCCGCCGGCGGCGCCGTTAGCCAGGAAGGCGACGGTGTCGTTAGTGGAGGTGTCGCCGTCGATGGTGAGGCTGTTGAAGGAGCGGTCGACGGCGTGCTTGAGAAGAGGGGCCATGAGCTCGGGGGCGACGGGGGCGTCGGTGGCGATGACGCCGAGGAGGGTCGCCATATTGGGGTGGATCATGCCAGCGCCCTTGGTCATGCCGGCGATGCGGTACTCGATGGAAGGGCCCGAGGAGGGGAGGGTGAAGGTGCGGGAGCGGAGCTTGGGGAAGGTGTCGGTGGTGCAGATGGCTCGGGCGCAGGTGAGCCAGTGGTCGTGGGAGGAGCCGAGGCGCTCGAAGGCCGTCGGGACGTTGTCTACAATCTTTTGGATAGGAAGCCTGTATGTAACGAAGAATAAAAGAGTATTAGCCGATATGAATGCTTAAGAGCACAATCGCGAGGGTTTGGGGGGAATCATTTTCCTCACCTCTGACCAATGACACCGGTACTCATAACCACAGTAGCCTCATGGCTCCCCAAGCTCTTGTCCGCCGCGCCAGCCATCAGCTTGGCATCCTCAAGCCCACCCTTTCCAGTCACGGCATTGGCGCACCCCGAATTGATCAACACGCTGCGAATGCCTGCATTGGACTTCTTCTTGAGCAGGTCCCTGCTAAAAGTAACCGGCGCGGCCTGGAACTTGTTCTTGGTGAAGACTGCCGCAGCGGAGCAGGGAAGGTGCGACGAGATGAGAGCAACGTCGGGCTTGGTGGTGTTTCCGGGCTTCACGCCCACAATGATACCGGAGGCGTCGAAGCCCTGGGGGTAGGTGCCGCAGGTGGGCACGTACTTCTTCTTAGCCGCGGGGATGGCGTTGGCGACGGGAGCCGAGTAGCGGCGGATGAAGCCAGACAGCTGGGCAGGACCTGGCCTGAAGAGCTTTGTTTGGAGGAGGACTTGGGAGGCCATGGCTGTCGGAAGCGAATTGGGCCCAGGAGATGATTCGGGTGGAGGGGGGAGGGAGAAAAGAGGGCCAGCTGGTTCTCCTGGGTTAAAAGCTTGGAGTAACAGAGATTGATACCGTGAGAGAAGCTGCTGGAGCTCCAACATCAAATAGAATTTGAGGTACCTCACTGAGTCACAGACCACCACAACAGAACATTTGAGGGGCGCCGAAACCGCAGCGATCGATAAAGGAAAAAAAAAAATTGGAACCCCTCCACGATAAGACAAGACTGACTCGACCCCGCTAAACACATGGAGAATTGTTCAGTTTCAATTGATCAATCACAACAAAGTCTCAGCTGGGCCATCCACACCGCCAGTAAATCTGCTTATGCATTGATACCCTGAAGTACTACTTCATCTACTACATGTGCGCCTAGAGACATCATTGATCGCTTTTATTGATTGTTGCCATTCATATCCCCTCCTCTCGCTCTCAGCCTTCCGCATTCCTCAAACCCACACTTACGTCCACCCTTTGCGCACTCTTTCCAGAAGACAATACCAGTCACAATGGCCTCCTCAACCCCCCGGTGGGCCGCCATCGCCCGCGACACCAACGAGACCAAGATCCAACTGGCCCTCAACCTCGACGGAGGCGCCTTCCCCCCCACAACCGACCCTCGCCTCCTCTCCACTGGCGACGACCACGCCAAACAAGCCAGCAAGAGCCAGACCATCAACATCAACACGGGCATCGGCTTCCTCGACCACATGCTCCACGCTCTCTCTAAACACGCCGGCTGGAGTCTCGCCATAGCCTGCAAAGGTGATCTTCACAGTACGTCTCCCAAGCCCCTTCTTCTGCTTTTCACCTTCCCGCCTCCTAACACACTCTTTTCTTAATAGTTGACGACCACCACACCGCCGAAGACGTCTGCATCGCCCTCGGCACAGCCTTCCACCAAGCCCTCGGCGCCCCCATCGGCCTCGCCCGCTTCGGCACCGCCTACGCCCCCCTCGACGAGGCCCTCTCCCGCGCCGTAGTCGACCTCTCTAACCGCCCCTACTCCGTTATCGACCTTGGCCTCCGCCGCGAGAAGATCGGCGACCTCAGCTGCGAGATGATCCCCCACTGCATGCAGTCCTTTGCCCAGGGCGCCCGCATCACCCTGCACGTCGATTGCCTGAGGGGCGAGAACGACCACCATAGGGCCGAGAGCGCCTTCAAGGCTTTGGCTGTTGCGTTGAGGACGGCTACGACCAAGGTTGCGGGAAGGGAAGGGGAGGTGCCGAGTACCAAGGGGACTTTGTCGGCTTAGGTGGAGGGAGAGTCGCAGGTTGATGGGGCGGAGGGGAAGGAAGGAGGTGGAAATGGAAATGAGCTGGCATATTGTCTGCACTGTGGTTTTGTTTTACTGACGAAGGAGTCCTTTTCTCCATTGGGGTTAGAGAGTGGGCTGGGGTGGTGATGGATTGCATGATAGGGAGTCTGGGTCTTGTTTCTACTTGGAAAAAGCGTGTGGTTTACTGGTTTACCGTACAAGCAAAAGGGAAAAAAAAGAAAGAGTGGTGGATGAAAAAGATTTTTGGACAGGCATAGACCCCCATCCAGACTCGTTGGATTAGCGTTCACATATATTACATTTCTATTCCTTTTCATTTCTGCCAGAAACCATTCGTTATGTTGCGCCTGACAAGAGGGAACAAAAAATGAAACCTATCAACCTTCCCTCCTTGTTTTGCTTGAGCTTGTCTGTACACCACATAATACACATGATGGAAAGAACATCCCGATAAGACCAACTCGACGGAAGAAAAGCCGCCACGATTGTTTGGCACCCGTCACAAAAGCAGAAAAGGCATTACAGTTTCCGAAGTCTTCTTTCCCGGGCACAAAACGCCGGGGTCCACCACGCTTCCTAGATCCAGCGCACGCCGAGAAAAGATACATCTTACTCAGAGCGGCCCTTCTTGGTGCGCTTGGCGGCAGGTCGAATGTGATGTTCGGGAATCCAGCTTTCGTCGTAGGCCTTGCCAGTCGAGACGCCGGTGGACTCAGAGCCGGAGACGTTAGCGTCGGGAGCGGGCTCGACCTTCTTGGTCTTGCGGGGCGCGCGGCGAGCCTGGGGGAACAGGGCCTCGATCCAGGTCTTGTAGACGAAGTAGAGAGTTCCAGCGAAGGCACCAGTGAGGAAGAGGTACAGGAAGATGCTAAAGAACGAACACAAAGGTCAGCTACTTCTATATCAGGCTCACCAACATAACTCCGCTTGGCGCAGGGTTTGGAGAAGTGAAATCTTACATTTGAGGATCAAAGATGCTGACCGGGGGATCAACAATGCTAGCGGTCGAGTTGCCAACATGAACCTGGAAAACGGCGCCCTCCGAGTTCGAAACAACGGCGAGAATCCTCAACTCGACATCCTGGGGGAACATGTCCAGCGCAAACGAGTAGGGCAAGCTGAGCTTCTCGCCGGGCGCAACCTTGGCCCCGTACGACACGGCGGTGAGGTTCTTCACGATAGCGGCCATGGGGGGCGAGTCAGGGGGGAGTTGCTTGAGGGTCGCCAGGACGCCGGTGATGAACTCGACGGAGATGTAGCCTTCCTCACGGTTGGTCACATCGATGAGGGCCTTGGTGGGCTTGCCGTTGATGAGCTTGACGCCGAAGATGTCAGCCTCGGGGAAGGTGGCTTCGAAATCGGCGAGGAGCGTGGAGGGTGCGGCGGTCGCGTCGAAGGCGATATCAGCCTCATCGACGACAGGGGGGACCTGAGAGAATGAGAAGCAAGGTTAGAGACGGAATAATGCTTCGTTGCGAGGGTTGCTCAGCGTAGAAGCGGGGAAACGGCGTTGAGTCGAAAAAAGATCATGATTGAGAGATGGTAATTCGATGGGACAATCGTACCGAAGCATCATCCTGAGCCAATGCGCCAAGAATGGGCATGGCGAGGAGCGCAAAGAGCGAGGTCGCCTTGAACTGCATGATGACCGGGGACCGTTGAGCGGAGCAAACAAGGACAGCACAGAGAGTATCTCGGGTGAAGAAAGGGCAAAGAATGTAGCGAAACACTCAATGAGATGAATTGAACATGAAGGAAATAGATTCGTGATGGGAGGAGAGGCTAATTGGGGGGGTGGGGATGGAGAAAAGGAGATCGCGTGTGGTCCCAGAAGCAGGGCGTGTTGTTAATTTGCTGTGGGATTTTTAATATGGGAAGCTCGAGCTGGATGCAATCTGGCCTTAGGTGAGCAGGAGAAGCTGGTGGAGATCAGTCTGAGGAGTGTGGGGAGAGCAGAGGGTTTGCTGCGACTGGGGAGGGCCTGGTCTGGTACAATTGGACGCTGGAACTCACTAATCCCTCACTGACAGACCATGACATTGGTCAATCGGACTGTCTCAGTCGACCGCAACTGTCAATTCAGCCAATCCGCACGGACCATCCTTCAGGGATGATCCAGCAGTCCGGAAGCTCCTTCCGACGAGACAATCCAATGAGCTTACTTAGGTTTGCGAGTCTCTGTCCTACAATTTGCAGCGCTTCTGCTTCTTGATCAACTTGGGAAGAAGACCTGAACGGTTTTTTTGAGCATCATCGACCATCGGCTCTACTTCTCACCAGCCTTACTACTGTAGACGCAGCACTAGAGCTTTGATCCTGCTTCTCACATGCACGCACACGCAAAGCCGCCTAAGGAGACAATGTGCCAACAGCTTGAGAACAATGATCTCGGTTGTTGATCGTTTCTCCGAGATACTTTTGAGACTTCGATTATTGCGCATCATCACTGTCCGATGGAGGACTAGGGCGTGGAGCTTTATGCTTCGCATGATCCGCTTGGTTTTCCCATCTCTTGTTGCCAGCAAGTGCGAGCCAGAGTTACCACCAGTTCGTCGCCCAGGATTATGTGTTTCTTCCGTTACAACTATTACAATAGATTTAAACGTACTAACCTGCATTTTCGAAGGATTGCGATGCTATAGACGTTATCTCCCCCCCTCCAGGCCTCCTTTTGGGGATCACCTCGCCGCCGCCGCCCAAGTTGCTCATGATTGGGAACACGTCGGAGACTTGGCGAATTGGAGATATAGTCCGGAAAGTATATCGCGCTGATACGGATACAGACATAATGAAGGCCAATATGAAGGCCGCAGAAACCGAAGCCAACGTATACTTAATTCTCGGTGAACACCCTCTCATCGTAAAGTGTCTTTCTACAGGCCCTGCCAAGAGCTATGTAGATCTGAAATTCTATCATCGAGGAACATTACGAGATTACGTCTCTTCGAATCGATCGCATGTCTCAGACGAGCAGCTCAAGACTTGGGCCTGCCAGCTCGTAGAGAGTGTGGCATACATCCACTCGAAGGGGATTAGACACGCAGACCTTCGACTAGATCAATGGCTCCTCGATGAAGACCTCCAGCCTCGTCTAGCTGATTTTAATGGATCCGGTTTCGACAGCCAGCCGGACCTGGGCTTGGAATATACGCCAGCTACTAGCATTGAATGCGCATCACATTGTCTCCCCCGCGATTGGGATCAAGACAGCACTGTGGGATCGGATTTATTCGCGCTAGGATCGTCGCTATACGAGCTTGTGACGGGTTCACGACCATATAACGGTGAAGAAGACGACGTTATCGAATCCAATTTCTCGAGACAAGTATTCCCCTCCGTCCAGCCTCTGCTGATGGGAAATATCATTATGGGTTGCTGGACCGGCCAGTATACCTCAGCGGAACAAATCCTAGATCGTCTGAGGCACTAGCGTTGACTCGGGAATATCATGTTCGTTGCCCCTGCTGCCTCCTATATCATGCATCAATAGATCGATCGTGATAGGGAGATGTTGGATATACCTACTATTTTTTCTGCTCATGAGTGTGCCCAGGTCGAGGTCCTTTCCGTCGACTCGAGCCAGAGTGAATCATTTTGTAACGATGGCAATGTCGAATACCCTCTGCAGGTTTATCGGGACAGTGCTCGGCTTTATATTCGATCCTGTCGCACTTGCCCATTTGGCAGCCTCCTCCACTCCACATGGTTTTCATCACATATTCAGTGCACATCTTGGATGGGCGATATGGAGCTTAATATTATTCGTCAGGAGTGGCTGGTGACTGATTTGTACAGAGCAGGGATCACAAAGACACAGTTCCTGAATGAGGCAGCCTTGCGACTTTCTAAGTCTACGTGCGCCCAGCAGGAGATTGACTACTACAAAGCAGTACTCCAATCTTGTCGAGGTATCCATGAGCTGAAGTTCCCCAAGTAGGGGTAGGACAAACGTGTCGAGCCTCCTTAAGTTCAACACCGGGTGGGCTGTTGCCTAACCCCCCTCATCCTCGAGAGATTCCTGGCCATCGATCCAACTGAATGAATGGTTACAACTGGACGGTTGCTGAGCTTTCGCCAGGCATCCGCCAGTGTAACTTGCTGTTATTCGATTCCTATAAGGCATTGAATGACAATGCCAGAGCCGTGTTGCACGCGAGAGGCTGACCGACACGCGAGGAGTTAATTGCATTGAATATCAGATTATAAATAGGCAGGCTGTAGGCAACGCGACGAGAGAATCAAGGCATCAGTAAATCTCCGGTCCGCTAAGCTTTCTCGAAATGACTCGCCATCAAGCTCTCACAAACGAAGGACATAATCCTCAAAAAGTAACGAGAGTGTTTGTAAAAGAAAACCTCGCCCAATCGCTTCGGCGGCATTATTATAATCAACCCATAAGAGGCTATACGTGATACATGTCTACATATTACACAGAGACGTCTTCATGCGCCTGCCCAAGTTTCAATCTCTAATCCTCCTCCAGAGAGATGAAAAGTCCGACGGTCCCGAAAGAATCTAAGAATAAGCGAAAAAAATAAAATGAAAAAAGAACATGAGCAAGAAAGAGAAATAGAAATAGAAAGAGAAATAAAAAAAAGAATACAAGAAAACCCGACCTAGCCATGGCACGGGGCGGTTACCAAAAAACAGCACCTCCTAAAAGAATCAACTCCCAACCCATATTATCAACTTCCTCTAAACGCCACACACACACTCTACTGACCCATCACATCGATATAACGTCCACCTTTCCGGGGCTTCTTCTGCCCAGGTTTCCTCGGCGCCGCAGCACCAATAAGATCGTCAATGCTGCTGGCATTGCTCATGCTCGTTGTCGGCCTGCTAGGAGGTCCACTAGGGGGGCCCGCTGCGCTCTGGTTCGAGACCGACCTGGCCATGGGCGGGGGGATGCTGAGGCTATCCTGACTAAGAGACTCCCCGAGAGCAGGCGCAGTACCCACTCGACGCGGTGCGCCGAGCGGTCCTCCCGGAGGCGCGGAGAAGCGACCTACGCCAGCCGTGGCGGAGCTAGGTGGAGGCGGCGTTCCCGCCATACGCGGGGGCGGCGTGGAGTTGGCCGAACGAGGGGGCCCCCTGGGCGGTGGAGGCGTAGCCTTCTTGGCCTCGGTGGTTTCCGCTCCGGCCTTCTTGTTGACCCATCGCTTGAGGTCGGGATCGTAGACGAAGCTACTTTGCTCTCCGAGATTGGCCTTGATGGGCTTGTTGGACTGCTCCGCAGGTGTCTCCTTCTTTCCGCCTCCAAACCAGCTGCCGAATCCCCAGCCCTTCTTGGTCGCTTGTTTCTCTGCTGCACGTTTCGCTGTTCCACAGTTAGCTTACTCGAAATCTGACATTGTCACCGAGGAAATCTTAGTTAGGCTTACCCTCTTCTTCAGCGACCCTCCTGATCATCTCCTCGTTCTCTCGGTCCTTCTCTGCCTTGGTCTTCTCGCGAGGCTTCAGCCCGGGAATGTCATCATCATCATCATCATCATCGTACATGATACCCTTCTTCTTAGGTCTAGGTGCTGGTCCGTCTTCTTCCTCCGCAGAAGGCTCAGACTGAGGCTCGTAAGATGGCGGCTCATATCCATATGACTGGAACGAAGGGGGCTCATATCCGCCACTCGAGGTGGTTTGTTCACCCCCAGCAGTCTCTGCTGCGGCCTCAACTGGCGTGTCCGCCGCGGCAGCCGGAGTGAAGCTAGGTGGTTGGTAGCCATAAGAAGGGGTCTGATAGCTATCCTGGATCTGACCATTGCTCATAGCATTTCCCCCGGCTGGTTCTTGGGAGGGCGTAGGGTTATAGGTTGACTCTTGGACACCTAGAGGAGCGTAGGCCGATGAGGTAGCCGCCGGAGCCTGGCCGGGATAGGACGGCGCCTCTGTCTGAGTTGGCAGGGGATAAGAAGGGCCTTGAGAGACTGTGGGTTGGGGTGCAGGCACTGTTGGAGTGGGCTGGTAGCCTTGTTGAGAGACCGGTGCTGGGTTATATTGCTGCTGCTGCGGGGGCTGCGGCTGATAACCCGTTGATGGTCGACTAGGCTCGTAATGATTGGGCTGATGGCGGGCAACTTCACTTGAGGAACGAGGTGTGTAGGATGAAGTGGGCTCATATGGGTTGGCTGGCGCCGTCGCTTGCCCTTGTTGCGGGAGCGGAGCATAGCGGGAGGCAGTTCTTGAAGCCGGTGGAGCAGGAGCCGCGGCGAAGCTAGGCGCATTCATGCCTGTAGGGGCGGGCCCCATTGGATATCCAGCCTGGCTTGTACCATAGGATTCAAAGTTAGACACAGATGGCGAGCGGCTGATGGTCGGGGTACCGCCGGCAATCTTGGCAAATGGTCCGGATTCCGCGCCCACGTCGCCGTTAGTTCCGTTGCCGGAGCCGTCGTTATCGTCGCCCGAGACAAACTTATTGAATGTGCTCCACATCGTGTCTGACACCTTGTTCATGCTTGGCTTCGGAATCCAAGAGTTCGACTCTTCCTTAGGAGCCTGCTTAAGGCGCTTGATAAAGTCTTCGACCGCTTGCTCTAGCATGGGGTGGTGATAAGGGGATCTCTTGGTCTGTGAGCCCATGGCGTTGAGAATGCCTTCGCAATACTGAAGCGCTCTGTCTCGCTGTCCATATTCGGCAAGGGTGCTAGCGAGCTGCAGCTTGTATCCGGCCAAGTGGGGTGCAAATGGCAACCCGGTGCCCGAAAGAGACAGACCATACTCGTAAACCTCGCTGAGCAACAAGGCTTCGGCATCTTTAAAAAAGCGATCAGCCTGGCCCCGGTGATCGGATCCGATGAGAACGAAATTTGATCGAGGATCATCGATGCCGCCAAATACGGATGCGTGCCTCGCGAAGATGAAGCAGACATGAGCGGCCTCTGCCCGTCCATAACTGGCAAGTAGGCCTCCCAATGCATTAATCGCTCGGATGTCTTCGGGTGATCTATTACCAAGGACGAGACATAGGGTCTCACGCCACTTGTCAAGGCCACCAAGAGAATCCGTGGTCGAGGTGTTTGTTGACGAAGCGGCTATAAGCTGGAGCCCAGCGCGAGCATGTACAGGAACTAGCTCGTCCACGCATTCATCATGATTTCCTGAGAGCACCTTATAGAGTGCGGCGATGGACTCGTTGTTGTGGCCTGGGTAGTTAACTTCCTTGCGGACGAACTCCTGAGCAACTTGCTTGTACAGATCAGGGGAGACGGTGTTTGCGATAAGCATCGCGTGCCCCCAAAGCCGCTTATCAACAGCAGCCCAAGCAGCTTTTTCTCTATCGCCGACGAGCAGATGCTTTCGGATCACCTCAATACCGGCGCCGTCGACGGCATCAGCCTGCACGATACCAGCGCCGCTCTGATGCAAAGTTGCAGCAGACTGGCCTGCACCAAATGCAAGCGCGTTCTCCGATGCCTTTTCATCCAGGCCTGGCATCAAGATATCTCTGACAGCCTTCTGAACCGCGGGGTTTCCTTCAAGGACACCATCATTTTCGATGAACACTCGGAGGATCTTCCACAAAACAAGTCGCTCAACAGATCGCTTCTCTTCGTGAGAGGGATTCTGACTATAAGTCAAGTCAGGCACCTCGATGGTCAGGGAGTCGATGCCGGAGGAAAGCCAGGCTAGGGTTTCCTTCTTCTTTGACTTTCCCTTGAGCGGACCGGGGAACTTAGACAATCTCTCCTCAAGTGGAAGAATGTCCTTGACATGCTTAATCTTGACCTCACCCGGAGTTCGAACGATCATCGGGGCAGTCTGGCTAATACCATAGCGCGGTACGCTCTTGGGGAACGTGGAGACAATGGTTCCCCCAACTCCCCAAACAAGTATAGGAACTCCCTTCCACCGCTGAAGAGGATCACGCTCCCGACCGTCGGTGGGTGGCACCATGTTCATGGCCAATGAAGGAGCCCGCGGTCGATGCGTCGGGACATATGCGGGCGCGGCTGGTGGCTGAGAGGTCTTGGGAGATACAGGGGCCTGAGCTGGAGCAGATCGTCGAGGGGACTCGTGGGGAATCTGCCCGTTCATACTACGCTGTAGAGAAGTGGGAGACTGGGAGAAAGACCGAGGTGGGGGAGGAAAGCTGTGTTCCTTGGCACCAGAAGACTGAGTGGACAGGGGTGTGTATGGCGATCTCTTGGGTGGAGAGAGAGTTGTCTGAGCTGGGTTGGGCTGCAACGGTGGGGGCGGCGTCGACCTAGGGCCGGGAACCGTTACGGGGCTGTATCTGGCACCAGCAATGGAAGCCGAGGCGGCGCGCGCAGAATGGTTTGACTTCGGAGATGCCTGCTCCTGCTCTTCGTCAACCTCACGCGTCGGCGGGAGAGAAGGTATCCTATGAATCCTAGGCTCATGCGGCAGGCTAGTACGACGATCGCCATGGACAATCTCGCCATTAGGACCGGGAGCAATATGACTCGCGCGGTTTGCAGATATCTCAAAATGTGCAAGAGGACTGGAGGTTCGAGGCTGGTGGGGTAGGATGGCAGGAGGATGCGCCGCGACGGGCGGAGCAGCATAGTGAGCAGATGGTTGCCTGGAACCGGTAGGGGCTGGTGAGTATCGGTTCGAGATGGTGGAAGTAGCAGTGCCATTAAGATGCGGTGGTAGCTGGTCCGGCGAAGGGGAGTACCGATGGCCGGCCATAGTTACAGAAGGGCTTGAGTTTAACTGGCTCGGCATGGGCGCATATGGGTTGACTCTTTCTGGCTGCACAAGATTCGCGACTCCGGGCGGCCCCATAGGAGTGGAATGAGGCGCCGTAGGGGGAGGGGCATATGGGTTCACCAACTCAGGAGCTACAAGGCCAGCACCAGGAACGGCACTGTGGGTAGTTGACTGCACGGGGGGATGTGAAGGCGGCGGAGCAAGCGGCGGAGCGGCTGACAAGGACAAAGCCCGGCTTGGGGGGGGAAGAGGACCAGGAGGAGGCCCGACCAATGGGCTCACAGGTGCGGGTGATGAGGTACGACCGTGGCGGGAGCTTGGCCGGGGTTTCGAAGTGATGGGAAGCTCCTCGAAGAAGCTCTCCTTAGCCTTAGGCGGTACAGAAGGTGTCCTATGAAGATGCGGGGGAGTTGAAGCGCCTGCGGCCACTGGAGACGGTGGGCCAGCATGAGGAGGAGGGCCATGGCCATACGCGCTTGCACTCCGAGGAGGAGCACTCGGTGGGCTAGCAGGCCCAATGCTGGAGGAACGTTGTTGCAAGCTAGGCCTCTTCCTCGGCTTTACGGCGTCCACAACATCCATAGGAAGGTCGTACGGCGACGTGTACCCGCCTTTTGATTTGTCCACGAAGCTTTGAGCCTTGGGTTGACTCGAGGGCCTCGGTGGAGGCCCACCGTACAGCGTCGCCTGTGGTGGCGCGGTCGCGGAGTAGCCGACAGGGTGTGGTATCACCGGAGGAGGATTAAATGCATTTGGCGTGGTAGTTGGCGCGTAAGGATTCGAAGCCTTAGAAGCGGGAGGTATTTGAGGGGCATATCGATTCTGAGAAGCGCTGGGTGCAGTCGTCGGAGAGGGAGCGGCGGCGGCAGGCACTTGGGCCAGTACCGGCGCGGATGATGGTTTCTCATCCTCCACATCATCCAGGAAGCCCTCGTCATCGCTACCAAAGAAAGCCGCTGGATCAATTTCTTTAGCGCCCTTCGACTCTGTCGCAACATCATCCGGGAGGAATTCGTCCTCAAGAAGCTCGTCGTCGGCAAATGCCTCACTCCACTTTGCAGCCAGTGCATCCTCATCGGTAACCTTTGAGTCCTCGTTGGGTTCCCCTTCAGCAGTGACGGGAGTCGCGTCAGCCACAGCCGGGGCCTCGACATGGGGCTTTCCGTCCTGCAGGGATTGTTGAGAAGCCTCAGGTTGTGATTCTTCGACTATTTCCTCTTCAAGAGTGGCTCCTAGAGCCGACACTTGCGCAGCGCTCGTCTTGGGCTGGCCCATGGCCTGGAATGTAGACTTCCGATCAAGGGGACGCGGTTCAAAGCTAGGTTTCGCGTTGTGGACGACATTGCTAAAGAAATCATCCTCTTCATCAACGAAGGCATCGTCCACACGAGCAGCCGTAGGTTCCGCCTCGCTTGGAGGGAGCGCATGTGATGAAACTTGAGAAATTAGAGGAAGTCCCTCTTCATATCGCGCGGCAGACACATCTTCTTCCATCCCTGTGCTCGTGAAAATCGCATCGCTATTATGTTCCTTCTCTTCCATTAAGTCCTCCACCTGACTTCGGGGTAGAGACCGGTCCTTCTGAGCAGCGACGGGCTGGTCAAGAGGCGGCACAGCAGGAAACGAATTTGACCGATCGGAGGCAGGTAAAAACTGGAGAGGGTCGTTGGACTCGGAACGGTTAAGAAACCAGTCTGTCCCGTCATCCACGCCTGCATCGCCGTCGTCCCAGTTCATCTGCTTGGGAGCTTCAGCCTCAGTGATGGCCTCGGTTTCGGTCTTGGTTATTACAGGCGCTTCAGCTGCCGCACCTTGGGTAGACTCATCGCTTGTGGGAGCTGGCGCATGAGATTCTGGCGCCTGGGGTTCGAGCGGTTGCGCTTCTGGCGCTTCCGGTTCTGGTTTTTCGAGAGGTTGCGATTCAACAGCGGACTCGACTGGCCGGTCTTGGTAGTCAGGAAGCCAGTTGTCTTCATCGGCATTTGTGTCCTCCGAGAACCATGCGTCGACATTCTGGGTGGTCACATCCTCCTTGGCAAGCTCTTCAAAGGATGGTTCAGAGGGGATATTCTCGATCTCGATCGTCGCATTAACTGGCTTTATAGCGGGTACTTCGATCGGCGCCGAAACATCTATGGCGTCGGAGTTTGGCCGGAAAGCAGGGTGCCATGACGCGAATGAGTCGGCCGAGGCCATGTCGCCGATTCTCGATACTCGGGATAGGGACGAATGGCGAAGAAACACGTGTGGAAACAGGGTAGTCGAGGAACTGGAATTAGAGATACGCTTCAATTTCAAAGGCAAGAGCTGGACTCCATGGCAAGCATTCGAAATTCCCAATGAAGTATATAACCACAGAAGCACAAGATGAAGAAAGAAGAAAAGAAAATTATGCAGAAGAGGCGCTTCTGGGTTGGGAAATCAGTTGATGGAAAGAGAAATTTCGAAAAGGAGATCCCCTGCTCGCTTGTTCACGACGGGAAGTGTCGAGGTGTTCCTTCGCACTAGGGAAAACGTCCGGGGCCGCAGCTTAGTCAGAAACGATCTCCCTGCTGACATGGGATTTTTTTGCTTTTGCAGATAGCTGGCCTGATTTTTTGTATACTTTTCCAATGTTACGTCTTGAGTGCAGCGAATTTGCACATATTAGTGTCAGTGGCGTAGTGGGGGGCACCAGTAATTTTGATTGTTAGTGGACAAAGCCAAAGGCACATGTGCAGCTCACAATAATTGTACTTAGTGGGAGGTACAACGGTACTGAGGTACTGTACCCTGCCCCTTGATGACAAGTATGAGATTAATGGGCGTGTTAGTGGAAGCTGCTCCAATTCGTCATGCGGCATATTGATTTTCAATGCTTGCTTGCTGAAAAATAGGGTAGCTGCACAGGGCTTCCCTCCAACACCTTCGCTCCTTCCATTGCGACAAGAGGAGGAAACTCTCATCCCCATCACGACTTTTAATATCTCTCAACTTGCTCTGTGTTGCGGATGAAGAGCGTGTTAGAATAACTAATAAACACACACAGGGTCAAACAAAGTGCAACCGAAATTAAGCTATTCCTAATTCTGTTGCTATCTCAACTCTAACCGCAACCTTGCTTTGACAACACGCGAGGCTCGAGTTGATTGTATCCTTCGCGAACCGTCCTCCAATACATTGATCCCAACTCATCCGAACGGGCATCACTTTAACCAGACGCCGATCCGAAATCCGAACTACCGATATGCCTCAAGATACCGGCGGCGCTGCCGTCCGCGCAGGCGGTAACGCCGCGCAAGGTGGCCAGCAGCGACAGGAACAATCATCTGTAGGAGCTCCCTCTCATCTTCTTCAACACAGTCTGGGTTTCGAATCCCAAACTAACATGCCGTTTTAATAAAGGGTCCAAGCGGAATGATGCGATTACTCCTCGGCGGAGGCGTCTATTTGCTCATCAATCTCGCCATGGGCTGGTATTTCGCCAAAGAACAGAATGGGATCCAGGTTACCGATCCGGCTGGGAACATCATCACCGTCCCGGCTAACACGGAAGACATCCCGCCGTATCTCCTCCGACCCAAGACGCTAGACTCCGGCGCCACTTTCCGCAATGTCCCCAACAAAGTCGCGCCGATCTGGCCCATGGACAGCTACCTCGACATCATCGTCACCCTAGCTCCGTCGTTCAACCCGGACCCCATCTCCGAAACGCCGGCGGATATGATTGTCCTCGACGAGAAGCGCTTCCAACTTAGCAACTATAGTGACAAGCGATCCTACGACGGAAACTTCGCCGTTCCCGACCGTATCCAGCACAACGGAACACTTTGGGGTCATTTCTACATCGGGTTGTCCGGAAGCGAGCTTGATTTCCTCCAGCCAGGCTTCAATCCCGCGTCTGCTTATCACTTCACTTACCCGTTGACTCATTACCTTCCTAAGAAAAAGATTGCAAAGACTAGAAACCTCTTGGATGATTTGCCTCCCCCAGTTGTCGAAGAGGAAGAGGAAGATACTGCCGGTCCCGTTATCGCCAACTATTACCACCCCAATATCACCCTCTCCTTGATCCCCAATTCTGGTGTCATGGATTATGCCAATCAGCATCCCGCAGTCCGACACTATATGCACCTCGAGGTACGTGAAAAGACTCTTTTTCAACCACACAAGCCATCTCCGCTAACATTCAGCAGCCTACTGGTGCGCGAGACGGTACTGGTCAGAACTCGTGGTACTGTAAGTTACTCCTATTCTAACCCGAGCGCTTACGCGACCGCTAACGGAGCTCGTCATTTTGTAGACCCAATTCTCTTCGTCAACACTTTCTGGCAGCTCAAGAGCCACATGACCCTTCTCAATGACACCGTCACCACTCTCCCAATCCACGTAGACCTCGGCAACCTCCGAAGCTGGCAATTCAAGATCATGGCCTCCCTCGAGCTCACCTCCAAGGAAGCCGCGCGCCAGTCCGCCTTCGGTAACTCGGTGGCGGGAGGAAGCGACGGTTCCGAGATCGAGATGATCAAGGAAATCTTCATCGACACCAACCCTATCCTTCTCGCCATCACGGGCGTCGTATCCGTCGCCCACATTATCCTCGAGACCCTCGCCTTCGGATCCGACATCGCCCACTACCGCAAGAAGAAGGACAACGTCGGCATCTCCGTCCGCTCCATCCTCGCCAACGTCTTCATGCAGACGGTTATCCTCCTTTACCTCATCGACAACCAACAAAACACAAGCTGGATGATCCTCGGCTCCCAGGCGGTCGGTATCCTCATCGAGTTTTGGAAGATCACCACCATCGTCAACGTCAAGTTCGGACCCCTTCCGCCGGGTTCTTGGCTCCCCTACGGCATCATCCTGGAGGACAAGCAGAAGCTCTCCGAGACCGAGGAGAAGACGAAGGAATACGACGAGATCGCCTTCAAGTACATGTACATCGCCGGCGTGCCCCTTCTCATCGCCTACGCCATCTACTCGCTCATCTACGACTCCCACAAGTCGTGGTACTCGTACATCATCACCACCCTCGTCGGCTCCGTCTACGCCTACGGCTTCCTCCTCATGGTCCCCTCCCTGTACATCAACTACCGCCTCAAGAGCGTCGCTCACATGCCCGCAAAGGCCATGATGTACAAGTTCCTCAACACCTTCATCGACGACCTCTTCGCTTTCACCATTAAGATGCCCTTGCTCCACCGCCTCGCGACTTTCCGAGATGACATTATTTTCTTCATCTATCTTTATCAGCGATGGGCGTACCGTGTTGACTACACTCGTGTCAACGAGTTTGGTCAGGATGGTGAGGATGTCGTGGAGGAGCTGAAGAAGAAGGAGAAGGAGGAGAAGGAGAAGGTCGAGGCTATACCCAAGACCACGTCTGGTGAGGAGGCGGCTGAGGGTGCTACCGCGACGGGTGCGGAGAAGAGGCAGGTCAAGAAGAGGAAGTAAACGGGAATGCGACTATTTAGAGCCAATGTACTACATGTTAGTACAGTTTGATGGACATTTCTCTCTCTAGTAGTGATCTGAATAGAGTTGTTACGAGTACAAGGGAATCAATCAGGTACTTATTTATTGTTTCTCATGTCGTAAAATTCAAGTATATATCTTTCCTCACATCAGCAAACACTCCAACCCATACATAGCCCTCTCCACATCCCTCCGAACCTGATACCAATCCGCCCTCCTCTGCGCAAACTCATAAACCTCCTCGGCCCTAAATATCCCCTTAAACCTATCCCCATCCGCAATCACCGTCGCCATCTCCTTAGCATGCGCCGCATCGATAAGGTAAACCTGCGAAAGCTCCCTCAGCGCGCCGAAATACGCCAGCAGATCCTGGTTCTTCAGGGTGCGGATGTAGTCGAAGTACAGGTTCATGTCGGCGATGAGCTTGATGGCGCCATCGGTGCTGATGCGCTGGCGCTTGAGGTGCTTGCAGACGGCCGTGAAGAGCCGGAGGCCCACCTCGCCGTTGAAGACGTCGAGCATGGATTTTTCCGTCGTGCCGACCAGCATGCGCGTGTGGCCCGACACGAGCTCGACGATTCGCTTGGCCGTCGTGGTCGGGCCGATGTCGAAGTCGGGGCTCGGCATGCCGTTTTCCGACAAGGTCGGGTTGTAGTCTGTGGGGAGCTGCGTAGTGCCGTGGAGATACTCGACCTCGTCCATCAGCACGTCGATGCCCTTGTTCAACCCGGCGGCGACGCTCTCGTCGAGCATCTGCTCGAACTTCTTCTTGGCCAGACCGGCGGGATCCAAGAAGTCGTTCTTATCCGCAATCTTCGGCGCTGCTAGCTGCTGCTCGTAGAAGACGTCGATCATTTGCGAGATGAGGTCTCCCACGTTGACAAGCTCGATAAACGTCACTAGGGGAGCCACACCCGCTTGGTTGTGATCGTTGACCGCACGAGGGTTGTACTGCGAGAGGTGATCCACGGCTTTGTCGAATCCACTCTTCACATGTCCAGACCCTAGGATGCGAAGCAATACCACGAATATCGTAGCACATTGCTCCCTCGCCTCCTCGCCAGACTGACCTCCGAGCTTGATAAAGACGGCGGTCCTCCCAAGACTAGTTTTCGCCGCGTGGACGAGATCGAGCGCGACCTCGATGCTAAAGAGACTTTTGATCCCATCAAGACGAGACGTCATCAAGGCAGCTTTCGCCGCAAGTTCGTCCGTCGGTGCCTCGGTGGGCAACGGAGTCTTCCGTCCGTCAACGCCCGTTCCCGGAAAAGCGGGAGCCGGCTTCGGTTGAACTGGTTGAAGAGAGTTCGAGTCGTTGGCAGATGGTGTTGCTGCTGCTGATGATGATGCCGCATTGGATGCTGGCTTGCTCGAGGTGAACGGCGAGCCAATCGGAAAGGTTGGAAGCACCGTAACCGGCATCATTACCACCTTCTTGAAAGAGCTCAAGAAATCTTTCTTATCCGCCTGCCGGTTGAAATTGCTCATGTAGAACGACTCGACGGATGCGTCTTGCTCCGAAAGCTTCTTCTCCCAACTATCCACTTCAGCCTCCGCCTTTTTCGTAAAGTAGTCTAGCTCCTCCTGGAAATAGAGATCAAGATGAGGCTCAAACGTCCTCAACGTCAGCTCCTTAGCCTTGACATCGATATCATCCTTCCAAGATGACGGGGGTGCTAAGGACTGGAAAAACCACATGCACTGCTCCGACATCCCCGACACGGCTTGTAGGTACGCCAGTATATTCCGCTCGTGGGCCTCGTCGAATAGTGGGGTGCAGTATTCCATAATAACATCTTCTCGTATTTTATCAACGAAGCCCCAGAAGACGGATGCGGGTTCGGGGAATATTCTCTCGATTACCGCAGACTGCTCATTGACCTTTTTCGCCAGCGTTTCCAGGAACACGCGGGACGGGTCCAACGTGATCCCATCTGTCGTTGCTTGATCGAGGCATTCAACAGGGTTCATCGACAGCTGCATCTCCGGGAAAATCGGGTGTTTGTCGATGAAAAGATTCACACCCGCGGCGCCTCCATTTAGGTGATACAACACAGTCGCATAGCGCTTCATGCGCCCGTCGATATCCCAGAACTCGTATCCTTGCTCAAACTCACGGAGGACGGCGCTCTCAAATACGCCCGTCATAGTTAGGAGCTTTTCCTCTCGTTGATTCCACCCTTGAGCCCAGTCGCTCTTTGCGAATACTTTGAGGTTCGCCAGCATCCTCGCCTGCCTCTCTGGGTCTCTGAACACTTTGAAGACGATCGGATCAGCATGGCTCGCCGCGTGTATCAAATCATAATAGAAAGGCGCCAGCGCGCCATAAATCTTCCCATATTCCTGCCTTGCATAACCCCTGATGCTCTTCGCGTTTTGGAATACGTTGAGTATCGCCCCCGAATCCTGGTTGGAGGTCTTGGAAGGAGCGAGCGACATCGTCTCGAAGCCGTCGGCGACCTTGTCTACAACGGGAGGAAGCTGGCGCTTCTCGACTTCAGCCACGGCGTCAAAGATGGTCGTGTTAGCCGGCGCTGCCGGTGCGCCGGGTGGCCCGTTGGCCCGCTGGGCAGCTTCTCTCCTCCTCCTCACGGCCTCCTCGAAGCGTCGCTTTGCTTCCACCTCATCCCAGCACCCCATGCTTTTTAACCGGGATACCCATCGTGTATCGTCGTAGACCATCTCCCGAAGGCGTCTCGAGGCTCGCGCGGCTCGCATCAGGTCGGATACCGGCAGGTAGTCGAGTATGGTTACAAGAATCTCTGTTATAGAAGAGGCAGGGCAGTTAGCAATCAAGTTGGCGGGGCAGGTTTCACCGTGTTTAGCACACCGTCGAACGCAAAAACGAGAAGTTCCAACTCATTAACATACCTGCAGGAAGTGCCGGCCGAGTATCCAGCATCTCGGTCGCCTTCAAAGCATTGAGAATGCTGGAATTGCGGTTGGGCGACACGGGCGGCTTGTACATTTTGGACGACATGGTGACGTCCAGATGAGCTCGATAGCTCCCGAGAGACCAATTCTCGGTCGGTTAGTTGGAGTGGCTCACAGCAGTGACCTGAGAACTTGAAGAGCAGAGAAAAGGATTGTCAAGCGGTGCTGGACCATGATAAGCTATTGAGAAGAAAGAATGCCCGGACTACTCATGTTTACGGTGGAGAGGCCAAGTTGTTGAAGATCGTATACCCTTGCAGGAGGAGCACCCTGCATCATTGTCGAGTGATCCCTCAGATTTGGGGGGTCGAGTTTAAGGGGTGAAGTATATTCGCAGCTGTCTCCAGCTGATACCAGTTGTCCTAATAGAGCTCATCACAACACCATTGATCTCTTTCGATCCCACAAAGCTCGGAAGAACACGGTTTGTTCAGAAACGACATGTATTAGAATACCGAGGATTCATGACGATTTTGCCCGTGATATAAGATATGGTAAAAGGATTTTTGTATAATGCCAACGCTCAACTGCGTGCCGAGTTCTATTCGAAGAATGCACATGCATGTGTATCCGACGAACCACTTCATGCAACCCCGTCATCTAAAAATCAAACGCGAATCAATGCTAACTTTCCTCTACCACGCATATGCTGCCGATGAATATGTAAAAAAAAGAAAAGAAAAAAAGAAGAAGAAGAAGAAAAATAAATCCCAATCTAGTCCCAAATGTACGTGCCGTCTCACGCCGTGAGCTCTGATAAGCCCACGGTCAATCTATTTTCAAAGCAACAACCGCCAAGCTTCAGGGGCACACGGCCCCTCCTCTATTCAAGAAAGGTGAAAAGATGAGTGTGAAGGACATTCATTGCCCTCGTGGCGTCCCTGGCCTCGATGACGCAGGATATGTTAATCTCGCTCGCACCTGTTTGGGACGCAGTTAGCATGAGATCGCCTCACCTTACAACGGACACGATCGGAGAGAAAAGCACATACCTTGTGAGATCATTTCAATGTTTACGTTGTGTTCACCAAGAGTCGAGAACATTTTCCCAGCAATACCGACCATATTCTTCATATCAGCACCCACAAGGCTAAGAATAGCCATGCTATGCCTGACACTAACATCGCCGATCTCGCCAAGCTCTTCCGTGGCCTGTAGGAACGCCTTGCTCTCGCTGCTGCCCAAGTGGATAGCCATGGACACGTGGACCTCACTCGTAGAGATGAGATCGACGGATATGTTGTGGAAGTGCAGGATGGAGAATACGCTCGCGTAGAAGCCATGGGATAGAGATCTCTTATTCGAGTACACGTTGATGACGGAGATTTTGTCCTTGATAGTAACGGCGGTGGGCCTCTTTGGCGTCTTTCCCTTGGCGGGGTAAGATGGCCTGTAGCCATTCTGTCGCTGTATTGACTGGCTCGGGGATTTGACGATATCGGGAATGACTATGGTACCGGAGCCCCTAGCGTTTTTGACGTTCTTGATCCTAATGGGGATGGGAGGCGTGGCGTGCATGACTTGGTCCATGGTGAGGTGGTGGATGACTTCGGAACCGTAAAAGGTGAGTTCGGCGGCTTCGGAGGGGGTGATGCTTGGAAGCAGGCGCGCGGTCGGTACTTTGGTGGGGTCGGCCGTGAAAATGCCGTCGACTTCTTTCCACACTTGAAGCTCATCGGCCTTGGTGGCAACGGCGCAAAGAGCCGAGCAAAGGTCGGTATACCCGCGGCCGATGTCTCCGTCGATGAGGCTCCCCGGCACATTTCCGAAGAAGCCCGTTACCACGGGGACCTTTTCCCCGCAGTCCGAGAGGCGTTCTTTTAGCGCAGCCGTGACGGCCTTGTAGAAGGCGGTGTCGATGCGGCTGGAGGGGGGGAAACGGAAGGCATCGCTGAGATCTACATACTCGGCGTCCACTCCCTAACGGTTTTGTCAGTAAAATTAATAAAAAAAAAAATAAATAAATAAATAAAAAAAAAAGAATAAAATAAGACGAAATAAATATGCATACCGTATCCTTGAGCAAGGTAGTCATGAACTTGCAGCTCAACTTCTCGCCAATGCTGACGATTCTGTCCTTCGACCGCGAGTTCGCCTCGAGATTGAAGCGTTTCGCAGCCACGATATACTCAACTAGTTCGTCACATTCATCCTCGACCTGCCTGCACAGATCTGCTCTTAATAGTTCATCCCTCACAAAAGTCTGGGCTGCCACCCTATGATCGACGCAGATGGCGTGAATGAGGTCTTTGGCTTCGTCGAGGAGGGCATTTTGGATTTCCTCTTGGCAGGGCGCAGCACTGATAGCTTCTAGCTTCTCAAATACTACTAATAGCCTATGTGCTGCGTCAGTGCTTGAGCTCTGATGGAGGAGTGAAAAATCGGTGTCGCTCGTTGCCGCGACACTCTGATCTAGGGATGATGATGACTCACCTGCTCGTTGTGCCTTCAGCCTTCTTTCCAATGCTCCTCGCCGAACATACCACAATGACTCTATTCCGATAAAGGTAGTCGCTATAGCGTCAAGACGTCAGTAAAAAGCAAGTTTTCAGAAAAATGAAACAATGCCGATTTCGGTGAAACCAGCAGTCGGTCTGGCCAAGACACTCTGGCAGTGACAGATGCCGACTTCACCAAGGGTTCAATCAACATACCGGACAATATCTCTAGCAATCTAGACGGTGAAGCAGAAAAAAGTTAGCAGCAAGTCGCTGACCAATTCAGCACGGCATCTCTCCATGCCGAGCGGAGCGCAAGTGCGCGAAAATTCCAGGCAGAGATCCTTGGCAGCCATTTCAAATTCAATCGGGTAGGATTCTCATCGTGCCCAACAACGCAAAAAAAAAGAATTGGCACAGAAAGAGGAGAAAGGGAGGCCCTACCTTGTCGGGGAACTTGCCCACGCTCGTCCCGCCAAACTTCTGAACCACCCAAGGGTACGCAGAGGCCCTTGAATTCCTCAGCACGGTCTGAGGGTCAATTGCGGAAACCATGGTTGAAAAAATAGTCCTGCCGGAGAGGACGAGGCAAAGTAACAAAACCGAAAAGGGAGGATGGTAGTCGAGGAGTGTACGATGATGGTTGGTAAAGAGAAAAAAAAAAATGAGAACTACCCGGGTGCCTCACAGATCCTCACTCGCTCGAAGTCCGTGAGAATGTAGCACAGCGGCGGACCGGCGTGCGGATCGGAAACGAAACGAAGGTGGGGGAGGGGATGTGGTGGGGTGGAAAAGGCCAGAGAATTGCCCCTCGCTCGAAAAAACGAAGAAGAAAATGAAAGCAAGGATCAATCAAATAAGAGCAGGCAAGTGGTTTAATTTTCCCACCTACGAAGTACACCGAAGTGACTTGATGATGCGCTCGGCTGTGCAAAGTCGCAGGGTGTGTTTGAAAGGTGACAGAGTCAAGGAAAAGAGAGAAAAATAAATTGAACTAAAATAAAGCAGCAGCTAAATTAAGAGCCGCTGAATGGTTGAATGAATGGTTGAATGGAGGGTGTGAGTTTGTCAGTTTTGTTCCGCGGCAGGGAAATTGATAGCGCGGGCGGGTTCCTGCTCCGGAGTGGATAAAGCTAATCCGGTCTGCCAGTTCTCGGTGGGGGAGTGCGTGCGGTGAAGAGGGACTTGGAGTTGGCAGAAGGGAGAAGGGAAAGCAGAAGTTATAAGGATCGAGGATGATGATGAATTGGCAAAATAACCTTGGATAGTCGGATCGAGGGATTTCTCAAGATCAGAAAGGGTCTAGTCACAAGAGTCTAGTTAGTCGGCTAGCAGTCCCGAAGGTGAAGAAAAGTGGACGCTCCGGTCCCTTAAGTACAAAAAACGTTGATGGAGTGAGGCGTTGAGGCTTGCGTCGAGAACCCGAGGCAGATCAATGGACAGACGGAATGACACTGAATGACACTGGCCAAGAGAGGGACCAGAAAGGGACCCTAATGGCTGCAGGGAGCACTCGAGGAAAATAGAATACACGCCTCACTGGCCGAAGTGGGCAATGGATCGAGGCAGCGTGGGATATCGGAGCATGGCTGAGACGGAGCACATGTCTCGGGCCCAATAGTGGACAGCGACTGTGTGATTTGACTTTTTGGTCGACTTACACGAAGACGGAGACGAGGGTTGACGCGCAGTCTGGAAGGTAACAGTTTGCCGGTTTGGGTCTCCTACAGGGCCTCTGCGAGAATAATAAACTTCCAGTCCGTCAAGTAAGGTCAATTCGGGTCAAAGTACTCCGCGCATAGCCCGCGTTGGTTGCTGGGAGTTGTGGGATTTGTTGATTTGTAGATTGGTATTTGTAGTTTCAAACACATGGGAGGGAGGGAAACCGAGAGAGAGAAGAAAATGAGGCGTCGAGTCTGCAGAGGTTATTCAAATTCGGTGTTGCATTTTGCAATCTGAATTCGGGAATCCAGGCCAGGGACAACATTTTTAAAGTCTATCACTCTATGACTCTACATCTACATTGTACTTTGGTCGCCATCAATGGATTGACTTCTATGAAGCGCGAGTCATACTTTTTTTTTCTTCGGGAAAATTTTTTGCGTCGGGAGCAAGAATTTCGGCATCAGAAACTTAAAAAAAAAGAGACCATATCCACCATTGGTCCATACCCGCGGTAAAAGGCTAACACTCAGTAACTACATTTAATCGCTGTTGCCAGACACTCTGGGTCCCAATTGAATGGCTGATGGTATTCCATACTGTTTCATTCCCTGTAAAAATAACGGAGCCCGCCAAACTCCATATCAGTAATCAATGAATCAATCAGAGTCGACCGTTTTTGTTGTAACATCAACCCACCAGTGGGAATACCCATCATCGAGATACTTGACCTCACGTGGTAACCGATACTGAACTCCGACGCACCGTGATGTAACCGAAAACTAAATGATGATCAATGAGGCATTAACCCCGATGGTGACTTTCCGGTGACACGTCAAGTGCCTGCAGTTGCTGTTGAAGTTGACTGTATAAGTGCGGTACTCGCGCACTCCGACCGATCATCATCTTCATCGCCTCTGGCAGAAGCTAGCGATCAGTGATATCTTCGTCGTCAGTTGCAGCTCGTGATTGTTCACTCGATATCGATATATGCAAATATGAGTGTTTTTTCGCTGTTTGTTTAAGTCTCTCGGGCATCCTCTGGAATGGCCTCGAAACAGCCAGCCAAAACCTGGGGCTTCGCCAAGATTGATAATGCCTGTGCTGGCTCACCCCACCGGTACTTCGTAAACTAATCCCTCAGTAAATATCCTCCGTAAATGCACCACCCACTAGGATCATCTCATCCCGCAGCTGCCTGCGCGTTCAGCAGTGGGTGGATGCATTGACAAGTAGACACGACGCCCTTGTGCCCTCCGCATCTTCTTTGTCCCCGCGCCAGCCTGCATTCATCGTGGTGCATGCGGTTGCTCCACGCTAACCTCATACGGACATGGTAGCCGTCCTATCATCCCGCTCCTCTCGACCTCCATGAAGTGGTGAAGAGGAGACGCGGATGGAGATGAAGGGAAGTGATTAGTATTTGATTAGTATTTGACGTGAATGTACTGTGGCATCGGCAAGAGAACAAGGGCCCCCAATATGATGTGGCAGAAACGAAACCCAGGGATTATGGCGTGGTCGTACTAGGCACCCTTGTAGACATCATCGGATAAAGAGAGCAAAGACAGGCCATCAAGTCGTGATAGCCTCAATCATTCAAACAAGATTTCCTTCTGATGGAGCTGCATCTGTCAAACACCACATTGGCCCTCCCGCCTTTATTAACTACCACAGTACACAGAACAGAGGGGGAAGCCCGAGGCTTGAATTCCAAGCTCTGGCCCCTGGCTCATGATGCCCATCGCCCATCCAAAACTCAGCCATATAGTCCTAGGCACACGAATATCCACTGGAAACCCAAATCCTCTTGAAAAATGGTGGCATCATTAAACCTAGTAAAACAAGGACCATCATTGGTTCTCGTCGAATAAACGCAGTATACCTGACCCAAAGAGAGAGAAAACCCCAAAGAATCGAGGTAACAAAAGTTATACTGTGATATATGTACCGAGAAACAGAGGATGCCTGAAAAGCGCGAAACAAAAAGTCACAGGAGTTGAAAACCCAAAGTGCAAACAAAGTCACAAAGACCCCCAGTCGCCAAACCGACTCCCACCAAACCCCCAATAAGCCAACAAGAATCGACCACACATCCGTAGAAGGTGGTCCCCAAGGCTCCCGAAAGAAGCTCACTCGTCGTCATTCATTCATTTCTTCATCAGATTTTTAATGCACGCCGGCGAGACATGCTAAGGAGGTAGAGAGAGAAAGGAACATGTCGCCCCAATAGAATCCCACAACGGGGAAGATAATCCCTGGCATCAAGACACACCCGTCCACCCGCAGAGCTGGGCCGGGCGGCGGCTAGACGCAGTAAAAGGGATGAGGCGAAGATGATTATATGAGTCCGGAGTAAAAAAAGATGACGCCGCGCCGAAACAATGGTCCCAAATGCCGGGAGAACCCGTTCAACTCCCGTCTGTCTATAAGGTGGTCGTGCTTTGCTGGGTTAGGAGCCGGCTCTCGTCTGTTGTTATGAACCCGTACTTGTCGAGCGGGAAATCCTCTTCGGGAGTTCGGATGCCGATGCCGCTATCATCATGAGGGTTTCCGTCAGCCTCAAGATTGGCATCTTGAGCGCCGTTCCCTCTTTGAGGAAACTGTGCCTTGTCTGGCTGCGCCTGAGAGAGGTTGGATAGGTGAAAGTCATCGCTTTCACTGTTGTACCGAGGACCAGATCCTGGCCCCTGCCTGGCCGCCTCCTTTGTGGCAGCTCGAGGTCTTTGGGTAGCCAACGAAGCCTGTGTGCTCTTCTGCTTCATGAACCCTCCATGTTCCGCCATAAAACTAACCATCTCATCAATCCAGCATTTCGTAACCCACCAGGAGCCGAAGCTCTTGCCTTGTGCAAGGGTGAGATCCCTCATGACCGCCGTGCCCACACGCTGGACACACCAGACAATATCAGTCGCTGAAGCATAGGGAAACCGGCCGGGGAGTGATCGGAGGAAAGCAACCCATCGGTCGAGAACGTTATGGGATTCTGTCGAGGCGCTTTCCTCTCCGCTTCCTTGTCGCCCGTTACGAGCTGCGACGTCCCCATAGATCGTCATGCACTCGAACTCCCATTGCACGTTGACCGGGTTTAATAGGTCTCGGATCTCCGAGAGAAGGAGCTTCACGAGGTCGTCCATGCCACGGGTTGGTACACATTCGGCTACCTTTCTCACTCGCACCATGGAAATCCAGTCGTGGTACATCTGGTCGCGATTGGCGGGGTTGGAGAGCATATTCGCCGCCGCGTGAGCGGTAAGATTCACCCGTAAAGCGCGGTCAATGAGCGCCGCAAAAATCGTCGCCGGAGCCTCCTTCGCCCTGATGACATGGGGGGGTTGACCTTGGAAGGATTCGCGGATATGAGGCACGAGTCGTTCCGAGATGCTCCTAAGTGTATCTAGGACAGGTTTTGGCACTACTTGGAGTGTCAAACTGGAAATGATTCGCATCATTCGTTGATATAGGATGAAGTCACACTCTTCAATCCACTGCGCAACACTCGGTGAACCTAGGAGCTTGTGGACAGGCATGGTAAGAGTGCCTTGAAAGGATGTGTAAAGGTGAAAGAAGGTCTTCTCCTTGCAGTAGCGAATGCACTCTACAAGAGAGGTACAGTGAGATCGATAAAGGGCAGCAAGAGACTTTGCTGCATCCGGATCTGTACCCTTGGGGAGGAAGGGTTCTATTCGGGGAAGGATAATTGCTTCACTTTGCTGAAGCTGTTCTTCTGCAGTTGGAGAGAAGGCTAGGTCGAGGCTGGTTTTCGCTGTTGTTGAGTGGAGCTGGTCCACGGTTGTGACCCCGGGAACATTGTACAAACTATGCGAGGATGTGTGATTTGTCAATTGCTGGACAGCGCCGCCCGTCTGCTCCTCGGGCGAGGGAATGTTTCCTTTATCTGCCGAGACTGAATTCGCTGGTGCGGGGAAAGAACTGTGGTTATCACGGTTAGCCAAGGCCATCTGAGCGAAGAGCTGGAGCATGGACTGGGAACATACTTGAAACTCTGGGAGAAGCTGGATACTTCAGGTAATGCCAAGGGCTGTGGAGGCTCGGGTTCGACCAGATCCGCTTGGTCTTCGGTTAACGTGAAGTTAACATAATGATACTTGGACTCGCCGCGGACACCAAGACGCCGCGTCTTTAGGCCTGGGAACAGGACGCGAACAAGCTTTCCGAAGCTGGCGGGGTTGAGAACTGTTATTCTTTCCGTGGCACACCTCGATGCGTAATTGGCATACACGCGGCCTCGGGGTACAGATCCTTTGCCTCGGGCGCATACTTGGTTAATCCTACATGGGAGATGGGTGTCTTGGTTAGCATATGTGTTGCCGAATATAACTCGACGACAAGGCGTCCTGATGCTAATCGACTTACCAGAGCATTGCAAAGACTTGTCGTTGCCGCTCGGAATTGGGACCGCGCTCGTTACCATGGAGCTCCCGAGCAATATCCTGGAGCGATCGGTGCTTGTTGGCCATGAACAACTGCTGCATCTCTCGCTCGTTATTCGCGCTGCTGCGGCTTGCGGCAGGCTTAAGAACAACAGGTTGAGAAGTGGTAACCTCCATCATATCTCCATTCTTAGCATCCATCATCTGGCTGTCGTGATCGGTGAAGGCTCCAAGGTCGGTCATCGATAGGCTCGCAGACATGTCACGTCTGACGAAGCTGCCGTCGTGTTGAAAAGAGACGGAGTGCGCCATGGAAGCATCCATTGACGGATCCATTTGGTATTCCCTCCCTGCTGATTGCATATGGGAAGCGGCTTGGAGAATAGCGTCCTCGGGAGACATTTGGGCCGTAGCGACAAGCGCCTTCGCCGCGCCGTGCATGCTGCTAGCCCACTGGCTGGCGTAGACTTCCTGGGCGTCTGCAAAGCTCTGATCCAAGTTGGGCTGGGTGCTGATACTGTGAATTGAGGCGGTCGAGGCTCGAGACAGAGTCCTCCGCCTCGCCTTCGCTATCGCTGAAGGATCTGTCGACGCGGACATCTCGATTAGCGCGTGGGGTCAAGCTTGATGGCCGCGGCCAAGAAGACGCGAAGGTGAATTGCTGGTGACGGTGGAAAGATGTAAGGTCGAGGGACTCTAGAGCTCTCACCTTTATCCATATCTTGTTCCTGCGGGTTAGTTGGTTTCTCTCCGTGTCAAGGTGTATATGCGACAACAAACATCGGGGGTGCGACGCCGAGAGGAGAATCAAAAGTGTGCCTTTTTGGCCACAACACCACTTGTTGGCACAAGCAGGGGCAAAGAAGAGGAAGAATGGTTGAGGAGAATGAATGAACGACAGGGTATCGAAAGAGGGAAAGCCTGATGGCGTCTTTCAAAGTACTCGACGGAACTCCTGAGAAATACACACCTTGTCGACTGTGTGGTAGCCGAGTCGTATTTTTGAGAGACTGGATGTCTCGCAGGATTTGGCGGGTTTATTTTGAAATCTAATGTTGTTGCGGTAACCACGATTTCGTTTAACCAACCGGATGCGAGCGGAGTGCACGCTCCACTCGAGTGTAAATATGAGGCCTTGCTGCCTTAGGCCATGCTAGATCAGGTTTGATTACGAAGGACAGAAGCGGGGACCACCCCGTGATTGCTAATAGGCAAAGACCCCATCACGTGATTGGAAATCACAGTTCCAGAGCTCGAGAAGTGTCCCCAAGGCCAAGACCACAAGCTGCTCCCTTGGGACCTGCACTGCCGGTCCAGTCAACAAGCACAGGCCGGCACAGTTCTCCATAAATGGGTCAATCTGCGCTGCCCATGCCAGTTGGGCCTTCACAATCTCACAGCCCATGACCTAATATGCAGGGGCTGCTGTACAGCGTAGGACCGGACACTGCTAGTGGACACTTGGTCGTTTTGGTGATTCCGTAAAAGTACTCCAACAGGCAATAATACCTCTACTTGGGCGATGAAGCTATATTCACATAAGGTACCGATATGACGGCACTACTTGACACTCCCTAAACTCCCTGAACCCCCCCAAGCTCTCCTGCCATCACCTCGAAACGGACTTTTTGTATTTTGCAGCTCTTGTCGCAGACCCCCTTCGTCATTCCTGATTCTGCTGTGCCGACAGCATTTCCAACTCACACATTTTCTATCCACCCAGTTTGTGATCACCTGCTATCTCATCATCACTGGACTACAAGTCATCTCCATTACTCTGAGACAAACTCATTTTGCAATTCTCTTCTTTCTCAACCAAAACATTCGAAGAAATCAAATATAACACGAGCTCTGCTTTTGCAGCCACGTTTATTGGTTTTTTGACTCTCCTAGACCTAACGATCAATACTCTGTCCGTATCCTCGCCCTCGCGTCGCAAGAGTGCTCGAAACAGCATCTAACCGAATAACGTCGGATCTAGACTTCATCAACGTAGCAAAAGTCGTCGCCATCATGTCTTCTGCTCAGGATCGCGTGCAGCAGTACGTCGGTGTTCTCGATCGAGAGGTATGTCTCCGAAGCTGTTCTTCAGGCAACAGGCGTCTTCCCCTGGGCGTGACCGCTTTCTAACAAGCCCTGGCTTCTCTCCACAGCTCGCCAAGTACCCTACCATCGCCAATCTCGAGAAGACCACCGGTGTTCCCAAGGCGTATGCTGCCATCGGCTTCGCTGCGCTCTACCTATTCCTCATTATCTTTAACTTGGGTGGCCAGCTCCTCACCAACATCGCCGGCTTCGTTATCCCTGGATACTACTCTCTGAACGCTCTGTTCACCACGAACACGGCGGATGATACTCAGTGGCTCACCGTAAGTTTTGAACCAAGGAAGAAATACGCCCGCGCGCAGGATTTTCGACGGAAGCTAACGTTCTTCTTCCTAGTACTGGGTCGTCTTCGCCTTCTTCTCGTACGTGGCCAACATGCTTCCCACAGCCCGAGGCTGCCTCAGTCGATGCTAACATGTGCTTTGTCTAGTGTTATTGAGAGCCTTGTCAGCGTTGTCTACTGGTTCCCCTTCTACTTCACTTTCAAGTTTATCTTCCTCCTCTGGCTCTCGCTCCCCACTTTCCGGTATGCTCGCTTTCCCTCTCGAACACCGCTAGATGGTGGGTTAAAAAAACGAGGATTTAGTGCTAATCATCCTTCTTGTAGTGGTGCCGAGTTCATTTTCCGATCTTTCTTGGCCCCCATGCTTTCCCGATACTTCCAGTCTCCCTCGACCGCCTCCAACCTTCGTGCTAGAGCTGAGGGTGCTGCTAAGAGCGACTAAATTGTCAACCTTCCAATAGTTGCTCAATTGGCCTATTCAAAGGTCTATAGATGTTTGAGACTAGTCTAGGGTGCAGTCACCTCTTTGTGCCCTAGGAGGCTCTTGATCTTCAACTGCCAAATGATTATGACCTGGACACCCTGCCAAAGCTTACGATGTGAACGAGTTAAGGATAGGATACAACGGATGTCTTTCATGGGTTATATTTTTGTAGAACAGGGGGGCGTGGTTCTGTACGCTGGATCCTGATGGGGCTTTGTTAATGGTTATCGTGATCGTCACAAATGCACTCTCTGTTTTCTTTCTTTACTTGCATTCTATTGCCCTTCTCCTATGGCCTCTGTGTTAAGACCAGTGCTTGAATTATGTACTGTGCTCATTGGAAGTTGACAGCCTCGGCTGAACTAACTTAGAACTCCAGCAAAATTATGTCCTCACCGCCGAGTCCTCATAGAGCCTAAAACCTTGTCGAGGTGTAGTCTATATTGCAATGAACCAGGCCTCGAGACGTTGCCAGTCAGCGGTGTTTGGTCATGGATATCTGGCGAGCGTGGTCTCATGGAAGAGAGTCAAAGTGCGATCTGCCAAGGTGGCACGATTACGTATGCCCGCCAGCGCACTCATCAATCAATAGTTTACTTCGTCCGGCATCTGATCTGTTGATGGAAATCTGCACTAGCTCCCGCTGCCGATGCCCCATGCTTCCGCTTGAGAACACTGCGTACTTTCGTAAATTACGACTGTGAACATCATCCTGAACTTGGATATCGTCCCTGCTTAGTGGCATCCCAGACTATGAAGGATACCGAGTATCGTCAAAGGATTATTATCCCTTACTATCAGAGGGTCTGGTACCAATTTTCAGTGTACCGAAAGTACCTACCGCCCGACTGGATTCGTGAAAGTCGAAATTCCGCAGTGTTCAACGTCAAAAATCTAGCGACTCAAGGGTCTTCTCAGAGTTCATCAATCAGATTGATCTTATTTATTCCCGAGCACAGGACGCATATGCAGTAATATGCATCTTGGGAACTACTTCGTGGTATCTTCGTGTGTACAAGTACCCGACGCAGAGTCCTTGGGTACGAGGTACTTAATTCGTCGTTCATACTTTGGGCGTGGACTTTATCGACTTCTAATAATAACCACAGTTGCGCTATAACTTGCTCCATGTTGGAGCCAGTCAGAACGCCAGACTATCGGAGATGGGTGCGCCCGGAGGATTACGAGGTGTAACTTGTACCAAACTCGTTTTGAAACTCACTAGAGCATGTCATCCCTTTCCACTCGACGCCAACACCATTTCAACAGCCCCTTCTCAATCCAGCGTGCCTGGACGAGAAAAACAGAAACCTCACGATATCCGCAACCCAAACCTGCGGAGGCGAAACCATGAGTCTTCTTCGAGATTACCCTTCTTTCCGCGAATAGCGCCAATCCTGTCCACCGAGTCTAGGTTCGACGTCCACTCGTTTCTCCGTCTCACCCCCGTCTTTATCTCACGATCGCCGCGACTCTGGGTTTTGCTGGATCAAAACCCCCCTTTCGCGCGACCGTGCTAGGATTTCAAGCCTACATTCCCGTCGCTCGACCTGCTTTCCCTGCCCGTTCTTGCGTTTCTAGCGACTGCCCTCCCGGTGGCCACGCGTTTGCAATGCCGCGAATACCATTGCAAACGCGGGCAAGCGCATCTGCCGGGACTTCGATGATGCTCTCCTTGATCTACTTGGCCCTTCTCCTCCCATCCTTTGTCCTTTCTCTCGGTATCGAAGACGCTCCTAAAACCGCCGCACTAGATGGCCTAATAATAGACAGAGATGTGGCGGGAAGGAGTGCGGAGGTGTTGTACGAACCACAGTTTGTCTCGTTTGAAAGGACGCTCATAGCGAGGCAGGCGGAAAATATCAAAGTTCTAGGGAACAACAGCCCTCAGCGGTTCTCTATGGATCCGGCATCGATAGCCTTCTTTGCCTTTTCCGTCGACGGGCTAACACCGAGAGCGGCACCTTTCGAGCCTGACCTCGAATCGGCGAGCAGCGTGGGGCAGAGTCCTAACCCATTGATCGAGGATTTATTCAAACGACAGACAGAACGAACTGTCTTTATTTCGGCTAATGTTTGCCGTCACCCTGAGAGGAACACCGATGATCAACCGCCGGCGCTGCATCTCATCGTTTCCTCTGACCCTGACGATCAATTTCCGAATAGCACCAAGGCTACGACACAAAACGTAATATTCTTCGAGGGCTCAGCAATGCAGAGCATATCCATATCTTCGGGTACCGTTTATTTCAGCATCGAAGCGCCACCTGTGCCGGATGATTTTAAAGGGGAATGGAATCTCGAAGTGGCTGTATCCGATGATGGCTGGTATCATAGCTATGTCGAAGAATCTGGAGAGGGTAATGGCATGCTCTGGGCTGCAGATGTCGATGGCGGATCCGCACTCCTCATGACGAAAAACTTGACGGAAAGCAGGGTGGAGGCTAGTGTTCTGATGACAACTCCTGGGCTGCCTTTCACTCTCTTCGTCGACGCTTCCCAGTCGCGAAGCCTTGACGGAGTGCGGCGCTCCTTTTGTGGGCTGCAGAACTACGCTGGAATTGCTTCCACGAAGAACGACAAGCCGACCGAACAAATGCTGATGAGCATGACTACACGTGGGTTGGGCAATTTCCCCAAACAGCAATTCTGGTTTGGGGGCCTCAACTCTAGCACTAAGTATACGGGGATTTTAGTCAAGTCCAAAACCAGTGTGCTAGCAAAGAGGCAGAATACGGGTGCCAATACCGGCGTCATCCAAGTCTTCCCAGAGTTCCAGTTCCAAACCACGGAAGGTAAGGCTGCAAGCTAGACTCCTAGCAAGCATTTTATTTGTCTGTTGTTCAAAGTGTTGCTAACAAGTTTATCAGGAGACAATTGCCGAGTCATCACAGACCTAGAGTTCTGTAATGAAGTAGAGTATGCCGTGCCGACCAACAGTAACAAGTTTAGCAACACATCCGCTTTAGCTAAGGCTTACGACGACTTTGCGAAGACTATGTACGCCAACTTCGAGAAGGCCATGCAACAAGTCCCCTGCGAAGCTCCGGTAACTGCCCGGTATTCATTAGCCCGAACCTGCGACGACTGCAAAGTGGCCTACAAAAACTGGCTCTGCACAGTCGCGATCCCCCGCTGCGAGGACCTCTCCTCCACCAACGCGAATGCGCTTATCAGGAACGCCCAACAAGAGTTCCCCAACGGAACCAAGCTTGACGAATCCTTCGTTAATAATCTCCGAGAAACCGAGGGCCCGGGTGTTTTGTTTTCCAGGCATTCGTGGATCGATGAAGTGATCGCCCCGGGGCCTTACAAGGAGATCCTGCCTTGCGACGACCTGTGTTATCAAATCGTCCAAAGCTGCCCGGCGTCCATGGGGTTCAAATGCCCTGTTCCTGAAGATGATAACTTCAAGTTCAGCTACGCACAACGTAGCGAAGGGACCTGTAACTTCCCCATCTCTGCGACCTTTGTGTCCGGAGGCAAAACCGTTGTTGCGTCGGGGATGGTGTTGATAGCGGCATTGACTGCATCTTGTTTCAATTATTTCTAACGGCACTTCGCTTTATGAATGAGCGTTCTTTAGTTTTCGAGGTTATCGCTTCTATTTTTTTCTTCTTCCTGGTCTGCGCAGGCTAGGAAGGACTTCTTTTTATTTTGCCTGGGAAGCATTAGCTTTCCTTTAGATGTTGCATGGAATCGGCGTTTTTTTGTTTTCTGTTATAAAAGGGTAATGGCACACTTGGAACGGAATGAACTCCAAACTTCTGTTGGACTTGAGAGGCAGGGGAGAGGTTCTTGATTCCGGTCTGGGAGGTGAGGAAGCGAATGGCGTTGAGCGTATGTGCTGGTGGTCGACTTTAGTGGTTATTCTTATAGACCAGGTGAACTTCTTCGTTCCTGTAGATGAAGCAAGCTAGACTTAAATTTAGCTCAGAAAATACGCAGAGATCTTCACTTACAGTGGATGTATCTTGAATTTCAGTCATATCGTGACCATTTAATATTATTCGTTTGTATAGCCGTCGCCTTCTCTCTTGAATAACCGCCCCTAGTTTTTGAATCAAGGCATCAAATCGTACGCCCCTCGTGTATCATCATGGTTTTCCATACGCGCCAGTCACCTTATCTTACACACATCACCAAGAAAAAAGAAAAGTAAAAAGCCAACCCCCTACCTCTGTCCGAAATCCAGCTTCCTCGCCACCTTCTTCCCCCGATCTTCATCCACAACACCAGGTCTCCTCTTAAGATCAGCCCCCATCTTCTCCTCCCCTCCCCTCTTCCTCGGCAATTCCTCCTTCCTCGTAGGCTTCGGCGCGGCGCTCCACCATTCATGTCTCAGCATCTCCGCAGCCGTGATGCGCTTCTTCGGATCGAGGACAAGCGTCCTCATGAGAAGGTCGACGCCATCCGCACCGACGGGGAAGAGTCCACGGAACTGCTCTCTAGGCGGGACCGGGTAGATCTCCGCGGGGATGGCGCCGTACTCGCGCAGCTTCGACACGCCGGGCCAGTTCTCCTCGGTAGGCGTGCCGAGGTGTCGGCAGATTAGCTCGATTTGGCCTATGTCCGTTTCGCCGGGTAGGTAGGGGTTGCGGAGGACGAGCTCGGCGAAGACGATGCCGACGGACCAGACGTCGACGGCGCCGCTATAGTGCTTCGTGCCGAAGAGGAGCTCGGGGGGCCGGTACCAGCGGGTGATGACGTTGGAGGTCATGATTTGGTGGGGGTCTGCGAAGCTTCGGGCAAGACCGAAATCGGCAAGCTTGATCTCTCCGTCGGCGGCGATCAACAAGTTGTTGGGTTTGATATCGCGATGAAGTACATAGTTCTCATGGCAGAACCAGACGGCGCGGGTGAGCATGCCCATCCATGCCTTAATATCGGCGGTACCATAATGGATAGAGTGTGAATCCCGGATCAGCATCTCGAGATCGCCCAGAGGGAGGTACTCTAGGACGAGGTTAAGATTCTGATCCTTTGAAGAAAATACGGAAAGGAGGCTGATGATATTCGGGTGTTGCAGCTCTTGCAGGTGCTTGATTTCGCGCACGGCATCAGGCGGCAGACCGTCCGTGTATTCCTTCTGAACCTTGATCTTCTTGATCGCCACGCGCACCGAGGGGTTACTTCGCAGCGATCCGAGATATACGATAGCGTAAGTACCCTCTCCGAGTTTCTTTCCTCTCACGTATTTTCGCTTCTCCTCCTCGTTCATCATCTCTGAAAGGTCGAGGCTGGGCGGGATGGAAGCTAGAGGTAGAGCGGGGGGGTGGGGCCGAGGGGTGCTCGTTGAGGATCCCTGTCCGGAGTTGGTCTTGAGGGGTGAGGCCGAAATAAACCGGCCGCCAGACGGGATGTCCGACGGACGTGCCACGAGGGGAGAGCCTGACATCTTCGCGTTGGGAGGTGCCGGAGAGGGCAAACGGCGTCGACGATGTCGGTGGCGTTCGAGCGAGGGTGACTCGTTAGATTTTCGAAATTTTCGAGATTCGTGGTTGCGGATTCAGTTTAGATGAAACGGGTATTGGCTATGCAGGCGGAAAACACCAGCAATGCAAAGTGCTTCGTTGCCTGGGGGAATGTGAAAGGAAGGCAATGAAATGTTGGAGCTGAGATCTTGCCTGCAATTGACTGGAGGCGACGAATTGAAAGATCCTTATCGATAAGCTCATCCGCATGTCGTTGATGACAGCTGACGCCATCTGTCCAAATTAAGCCCGTAAACTCCGGCGGCAGGACCAACGGGAAAGGGCCGAGTCCGAACCCGAGATTCGAGATTCGTCACCCTGGTCCATTCTGACCTCTCCCCTTACGCCCTTACGCCACCCCTCCAAGCACCCTAGGCTTCTCGATCCCAAAAACGCGTGTTTCCAGGCCTGCTTCGCCGCCGTCTACGTCATCCCGTGCTGTGTTAGAGGCCACTACACCAATCCCGGGACCGTCCTGCTTTGTCCTGTATTAAAAATCCGGTCCTGCATTCAGCATGCGCAGGACAATAGTTTTCAGTAATATTGCCTGAGCCGAGTGTCGTGTGAGGCTTGAGCACCATTCCTGACCAGCTGGGCGCCAGCTTCCGAGCATGGGATTTTCATAATTTAACCCCTTCTTCACCCAGCCAAGCCCACCTTGGTGACGTTTCCGGGCATCAAATCCTTTTCACAATTGGGCTTCCATACCTGTGTAGTTTGCGCCATTGCTTCGGCACGACCGGCGACCATGCGCAAGCTGTCATACTATAAGAAAAGACAACCAAAATCAAGTGAATGACACTCGAGACCCGTCATTAGTCTGGCGACATTATCATTCATCCACTCCAACCCCCAAGTGTAAAGCTTCGCAAAAGAATGAGAGTGAGATTCTCTTATTGGGTATGTCCCAAGCCACTTTTTGACGGCTTTTTACTTCAAATCCCAAGAATGACGAGACAGCGCTCGCGTGCGAAGATGCCCCATGAGAAAAAGGAATAAAAATTGCTAATTGAAACGGGAACATCTAGGTTCTGCCCATCATTTCGGGTGTGGTATGGCTAGCCACCCTGCTAGGTCTGCTCCTAGAATGGGCAGTAGACGAGCATAAGAAGCGATACCCGTCGATGAGCCCGTATGCCACAATTCCTTTCATCAGTAACATCGGCGCGCATGAGATGAAACCACTCTTCATCGCCGGCTGCGTCATCACCACTGTCTTCCTCGATCTCTCCTTCGCTTCGGACTGGTGGCTACGGCACAGGGGTCGTCTGGTCCCCAACACCACCGTCGGCGAAAAGGTGTTCTCGGGCTTGAGCATTGTATTCGCCATCATCGGCACCGTTGGTTTAATTATGCTATCCATCTTCGACACGGCAAATCACCAGCGTCTGCACAACATATTTCTGGGTCTCTTTATTGGCGGGTACCTGATCAGTGCCATTTTCATATGCCTCGAGTACCGGAGACTAAGGAGGAGTAGGTTTCCCCCCTTCCCACTCCCATTTCTCTGCAGTCCCTGACATTACTACACTTTGGGCATATCCTCTGACTAGTCAACCAGACCACCGAGAACACAGGATCCTTCGCACCTCCTTCCACATAAAACTCGGCTTCGTCCTCCTCGAACTCGCCCTCATCATCTCCTTCGCCGTCTGCTCGCGCATCAAGAAGCGTAACGCCGCTGCCGTCCTCGAGTGGGTCATCGCTTTCATCTTCTCCGCCTACGTCTTCTCCTTCATCGTCGACCTGTGGCCCGCCATGCACACGAAACCCGAACGTGGCAGCCGCGTGCGCCGCCGTGACTTGGGCATGCCGAACGGGGATAACAACAGCGGCGCCGCCGTGTGTCCCTCTAGTTCGGGTTCGACACAGCTCAGGGATTGGACGCCGATGGAGATGGAGGAGGCTCGTCATGATACAGTGCCTGTGCAGCCGCGACAGGCACATATGAATCGGGTGTCGGACAATTTTTAATCCATAATTCTTCTTTCTTTTTATTCTTTTCTGTGTTCTTATTGCGGTGGTTTGTTATCTTCTTTACTTCATTTCTTCGTATAGAGGAGTGCAAGGTCGAGGACGTTGAAGGGAGAGGAAAACTGCATTTAGAGTCGGTGGCTTAGATGGTGGGAAGGCGTTTGTTTCTTTTTTTTTTTTTTTTTTTTTTTTTTTTTTCTTTCCTGGCGTTCCTACCATTTTAGAGAGTGTTTCTTAGGGGCATGGTCGAGGAGTTGTCGGTTTTTCGTCTTCTCTCATTCATAAGAATCCCCTCCATGACTAGATTCGACGAGCGAGACCAATACTCTGTTATATATCATCGCTCGTCATACATAGTATAAAGCAGCGTATGCACGCATATTCAACTGAATCACCAGGTTCAATGTTACATTAAAAGTTAATAAATCAAACTATTATTATCTTGATATGAAGTGAGCGGAAGATGCGAGAGTATCCCCTACGCCGAGAGGTAGATTCGTGTGTGTATATAAACCGTCGTATAGTACAGCCCTTGGAACCTGCCATTCTCTTCAAATGCGAACAAAACAAGACCGCAGTTGAGCTTGCCATATCCCAGCCGCGCGGCCATATGCATCTATAATGCCAATATTTCCTTTCAAACATATCCCCAAAAACGCCAAGTACAGACTGCCCAACATTATACAAAACTTGACAAACAAGATGTGTTCAATCGATAATTTCTTTGAACCGCGAGCCCCGCCCGGGACTTCTACTCTTCCCAATCGGCGGCGTCCAAACAGCCCTCGTCGGTATATCAGTAGGCGAAAGCGTCGCCGGCGATTGAGTCTCTCTCGCATCGACAAACCTCTCATCCGATCCGCCCGAGCTTGCGCTCGATATACGAGTCAACTGCGGTCCCGCTGCGGCGTCACCAGTCTTGGCCTCGCTCTCTCGCGCCTCACCGAGAGGCAGGCTATCCCTTCCCGCGACGGCCACTTCCCTCATCGACGAGACAGGTACAAGGCTGTGCGTACTTCCACCTGGAGTCCGCAGTTTCGCCGTGTAACCGCCGACAAATCCCTTCTCTGACTCCTCGAGAGCCTTTGGAGATCCTTTCTGCCGGGAGAGTCTTGCCTTGATCCAGTTCTTGACCTTTCCTGGTGACAAGGCTGGTTCTTTACTGTGACCGGGAGAATCCTCCTCGACGGGGGTAATACTTCTCGGGGTGGAGGCATTCTCCGGCTCTTGAACCGGTGGGAGGGCGTGTGACGGTTCTGGGTGAGTAGGGACTGCCTCGCCATTCTGAGTACCCGACATTGCTATAAGTCGAAATTCCGCAATTTCGGTGGATGTTATACTGCGATTATCAGGAGCAGGGACGGGAGCAGTAGCGGAAGCATTAACGGCAGCAGTACCGAGGGCAGTACCGGAAGGGGCACGGGGAGCAGCAGTGGGGCCGACGAGGGCCGCTTCCACCTCCTCCATCCGCAGGACCCTGTCGCCCGACTTCCATTTCCGATCTTCTTCTTCAAGTACTTGCTCTCTCTCCTTATCCTTTTTCTTCTGACCTTCTGTTACACCGATTAGCTTTGCCGCATACAACTTCAGTTGCCTTAACTTGAAATATTTCACTATACCTTTGAGCTTCCGGTAAATGTCTCTTATCTCTCTCTGATGTACCTTCTTTGTTTTCGCCTCCAGCTGCTTCTCGGCCTGCTCTTCTTTCAACACTCGTTGGCGCTCATGCTCCTTCTCCGCACGAACGTCCATCTCCCTCAAAATCGGCTTAACCTTACGGACAGCAACGGCGTCGATTTCGTCCTGCGCTACGTACATTCCTCCCCCGACATCTCGCTTTCCCGGCGGAGGCATCTCCGACGCCACCTTGGCCAGGGCGATGGCCTCGGCCCTGGGAGCCCATTCGGCCAATTTACACGGGGGAACCTTTCCCGTCTCTTCGTATATGCTTTCGTCGATGCCCCTGAGCTGAGACTCGACGTTTTTCCGGGCCGCGGCGAGCACGGCTTCGCGGTCTTTTCGACGTTGCTCTTCGTCGGCTTTGGATTGCAATGGCGGCAAAATGGCCGTGGCTCTCGACGTCCTATTGTGGCGTCGAAGTTGTAAATCGCTATCACTTGAGGACCTGTGACGTATTCTCAGGGCGTTGGCGACTCGGTGGAGAGGGGCTGGAATTTGATCGGGAGTGTTCTGCTCTTGAAGTTCGCGGTTCTTCCGAAATTCTTCTTGGAGTTTTTCCAGTCGCTCTTGTGCTAGCTTGTATGCCGCCTCGTGAAGATTCACGGGTTCAGGCTGGCCTAGATCTGTGCTACTGCGCATATCATCGGAGTAAGCATCATCGTGAGCCTGCTGTTCCGCTAGTTTCTGTTGTTGTAGATATGCCTGTCTCGCTAGTGCTACAGCCGAGGAGTGGATTTCGCTGGCCCTTCTCTTCTCTTCAACCTCGATGCTCACCGGGGGGTGAGACGTATACATGCTGCGATCCAAGGCCGTAGCCGGGATAGCGCCGGATTCCGCCGAAGGGGATAGCTCTGGAACGAAAGACCATTTCTGGCCCGCACTAGTGTCAGACACACCACCGGCACGCTGCTTGATGAGAGGTGACGACATTGATCTCGGCCGCGAGGCCGTTGCCTCTTGCGCTGCCATCAGCGACGAGCGGCTATCGAGGCGAGGTCTCATCTTAGTGCTTTGAGTGGCCTGCGCGGATTGAGACTTGAAGGCTAAGCATGCCGCCGAGCTCCCCCAGTTTTCTTGAGAGAAACTATTACGGTGCGGGGAGGCGGTCGTGCCGGTATTCGTGGCTAGCTCGCGGACGGCCTGGTTGCGTTTTTGCGATCCCTTCGAGTCCGCGGCGAAAGAGGCCGCAGCAGCCGCTGATGACCGGACAGTCCTTTCGGGTGTGGGTTTGACCGAAGGCGGACGGGGACTCTGTCTCCGGGACCATCCAACGGTAGCCGCTGCTGAAGCTGAGGCGTCACTCGGCAGGCCGAGAGAAGGGTAGCTAGGTAAACTCTTCGGATCGGCATATCTGAATCGCCTGGATCCTGGTGCTGTTTGAATGGGGGCGATTAAAAAGTCAGCAGAGGGCTCGTCTATGCGGAGATGAAGGTGTATGAGGGGCTCATCGGACCACTTACATGAGCTTGGTTGCTCCTGTTGGACGTGCGCCATGACGGCATAGATGGGTAAAAAAAAACGAGCGGCAGTTCAAAATTTGAATATTGATGATATTAATTCATTTACTTCTTCTCCCACGATATTTACTCTCCATCTGATCTGAACTAGGTGGAGCGGGGAGGAAGTTTGGGTGGCGGGGTTTAGATGTGGATGTCAGGTACGTGAGACGGAAGGCAGATATCAAACTGGTGTCGTTCAAGTTGACTAAGATGCTCTCCTGAGGACAAGAATTGAACCTGAGGTTGTGTTTCAAGGGAGGAGGTGAGAAAGTATATCTTGGGTTGACGATGGAACTCTTCGTTTGAAATAGAACGTATGGGGGCGAAAAAAAGGAAGAGAAAGAAAAAAAAATAAGAAAAAAGAAAAGAGAAGATCAATGCCACAGATCTTGACAATTACGAAAGTTTAACAATACTTGACCGAGAAAGCCGCAGCAGCAATCAAGTGAGGCGAGGTGCCCGTTGCAGGACACCCAGACCCCCGGCGCTGGCCGCGCAGGTATTGAGCTACATACGATGGAGGAGCAGTGAGTGGGTGTAAAGTTGATTGATCGATCATTGAAGGTTGCATCATCACCCGCTGCACTGGACTATCTTGGCATCGTCGGGGGCGTTAGTTCGAGGTCGCTAACTTATGGGGCGAGGCCAGACCTCGCCAGGCATTGATCTGATTGATTGAGGTATCAATGACGTCCCATCGGGTTGGAGGTCGCGGGGGCAGACCAGGTAGCAGTACATTTTCAGGTGGTCTTTGTGCGAGCGGCACTCGGGACGCAAGCAATCGATTCGGGGGAGCAGGGAGGAACAGGCAGTCAATCATCCAGAACTTCCTGATGTGGCGTTGAAAGCTTCGCCTGGATTTGGCCAAGGGCATCACGCGGTCGGTTGTTAAGGCCCCCAACTAGCTGAGCCGAGTAGAGTGTACATGTACCACGCCAGGCTGTGATGGGAGTCATTGATGATTGGAGCATCTGCCTACCTAGCAATGCAGGAGGGCACAAGTAGGAGTTAAGGTGAGGAGAGCACTTGCGGCAGCATGCCAGGCTAGTTCTTAGTTGTAACCATAGCGTGTCTCTAAATTCGAAAGGTGCATGCAGCTATCAAAAGGAGGGAGGTTGGAGGCTCTCCCAACTGATGATTGATCCTTGTCGAAGAAGAAAAGAGGCAGCAGCATGCTAGTCTTTTCGTAAATGAAGTTGAGGTACATAGAATTTGATATCGAGGCTCTGGTCTTGCTTATCGCCACAAGAAAACAAGGCGAAAGAATAGCAAAATATACGAAGTGTGTTAGTGATATAATTAGAGTCATCACGATGGAAGGTGTCATTGGTCTTGATATTCTTAGCTCTCTCGCCTCTGAGCCCAAGCGATGAACTTGACTGCGGTTGTCAAAACAGCATCGGTGTTCACGGCAATCACACGGCATTCGTGGTACCGAAGAGGACTGCCGCGCCTCCCTTGTCGTACGTATAATTGGTCATGGACATGGACTGGAAATCGTAAACTGGCGTTCGCGATAATAAGTACTTGTACACATACGCACACCCGCGATGCAACCCTGGATCAGGAGGCACAGGCACTACGTCATCGCCACTGCTTCCCCACAATCGACGATTTTCTAGTTTACGCCAGCCGGCTCCAACGTTGAAGCAAACCAGTTTACGAAGGGAACTATTACTCACGTCACGTAATATAGGCAAGTACGAAGCTATCATTGATGTTCTGGGAGCCTGAGACTACGGAGTAGATGGAATGGTGCCACAAGATGGGCCAAGGGACCTTGCGTATTGCTTCAGTCTGGCTATTATTGGCATGGACGGGCTTGCTTCGTCAACTCGTAGTACGTACGGAGTAGATTATTGGTTTGCTTCGTAGTCCACCTCCATGACTCCAAGCCTGGCCCATCTCTACCAAATCGGTATTAGACCTATGGACAGGCTTCTGTTAGCGGCTACTCGAGTCCTCTTTTTGGAAGAGGCTTCGAATTCAATTGATAAACCACGACTTGGATTCGATTCCGTCTGGGCCGAGCTTCCCAGGAGACTTCCCACAATAGCAACATTGGACTATTCTAGTTTATACGATCGTGGCGACTTTATACTGTTTAGGGACACGAGGAGCCCGATGAAGCGTCGAGGCGTCGAAGAAGAATACGTAATCTAGGAAACGATGATCCCGAAATGGAACCCGAGATTTTCTTGTTTTCCTCTTTCAGAGACGTGGATCCAAACGCGGGAGAGCACTCGGGCCCGATCCGGATCAATTGAGCCTTCTGAAACAGTATGGTACGGTACGGAGTAGGCGGGTAACGCGCCTCAACCAAAACGAACGAACCTTCATCAAATGCTCCAGGTTTGTGCAAACCGCTATTACTCCTGCAGTCTTCAACACCAGATTTCTCTACTGCTTCGGAGTCCGAGCTTGCGACTATACGAAATCTGGATGTATCAATCCTTGGTCTTCCTTGTTGTGCAAAGGTAGTGCTCAGTGTTAATTTGCTGTCAATATGCACATGAAAGAATTCTCCGAACATTAGCCCCGTAAGGCCGAAGCTGACTTCGCATCGCTCGAATGCTGTTTTTCGTCTCATCTTGAATCTCACATATAGAGGAGTCTCGATGTCGGGTTGCTGTCTATCCACGGTCTTTTCCGAATTTCGCGGGTTGTACGAAGTGGAGGCAAGGCCTGGCTTTGCTTTTGTCAATTCGTTTCCTTCTGCCTGACCGCGCCGCACGTCGTGGACGAGAGTGATCTGCAGATACGGTTCACCGCTTCTGGTGCCTAGGAAAGGGATATTGATATCTATTTCGCCAGTTCCTTTCTCATCGGTGCCTATTTCGGCTCATTTCTTTCTCTGGTCTAAATCCGCTGCAAAGTAGATACCCAAGTTTCTTGTCTCTTTTTAAAAGGGGGGTAAAGGTATATAGTAACTAATCTAAACCACCGTCCGGGTCTGGAAGCCTCCCCGAGAATGCCGTCATCAAAAGTACCCGAAATCCACGGTGTGGTCAATTTCCGAGATGTCGGCAAGTCCATCAATGGCTTTCTTGGTGAAAGGTATGATACACACCGCCGAAAGGCCAAGCGAGAGCAATTGCAAGATGCATCTCTGGTCGGCATACCTGCACAGGCGCGTGCTAACTGCATGACGCAGACGACTTCGCGAAGGGCTCTTCTACCGATCAGCTAGGCTAGGTGTGTCAACTGAGACCTTCGACGGGGAACAAGGTGCTCTAGCGTGCCATTGACTGACACATGGGATTCTAACTATGCAAGACGATGCAAGACCTGAGGATAAAGATGTCCTCATCAATGACATTGGCCTCAAGTCCATCCTAGATCTCCGCTCAAAGTCAGTTCTCCCATGTGTCCATGCCAACAATAACGCAGCACGTGTGACACTAACAAGCCGGCAGCACCGAGAGGATCGACCAGGCGGAAAAGCACGGTGCTCATCGTGCCTCACGTTCGCCCTCTGCCACACTCCCTGTAGAACACTACTTTCATATTTCACTCGCCGGGAAAGCCTATGAGAGGCTCCTGTTGGGCCAGCTATCATGGCTGACCTTCATGTAAGAAACAGAGAACACATCCCGCACAAGTTTAGTAGAGCTTTATTCGCTAACTTCGTCGTCTTGTTCCTCCTCCAGATGGATCATCATCCTCTTTATCTTCCGCCAGCGCCATCGCGTTGTTCATATCATTGTCCGCGAGGTCATGGTACCGCGCGGTCTGGTCGGCACGCAGTTGGATACCATGGAACACTGCGGCGCTGATGTAGCAACCGTAAGCACCGTCACTTTTTCTTCTCGCTTTCTCTTACCCCAACGCCAACGCCAACCCCCAACCTATTTGCCTAACTGGCCTCTCTGTCACTTGCCCGGCCTAACGACGAATGCAGGCCCTCCGCGTTTTCGCGACACCAGCCCATTTCCCCATGGTCACACATTGCACTCTTGGCAAAGACCGCACAGGTCTTGTCGTGGCTCTCATCCTCATGACTCTAGGTGTACCGAGACGGGCTATCGAATATGACTACGCCCGCACCGATGTCGAGGTCGAACCCAAGAGAGACGTCATCCTCAAAGAAATCGCGTATACTGGACTGCCGCCCTCCTGGGCCTACACGGCGAAGGACATGGTTGAGAGAGTCGAGACTTTTATCCAGGAAAAGTACGGAGGAATAGACGCCTACTTGGACTTTATAGGCGTCACCCTGGAAGAGAGAACAGCCATAAGAGAAACGCTGTTGTATTAGCTGGAGGAGTCCTTTGACAAAGCACGTATCATAAAGCAACATGTACTCAATATTATGGGAGAACGAGTGGGCACATTAAAAGCGCAGCGGAAATTTTTGATATTTTTTTTTTTTTTTCTTCTTCTTCTATTTTCTCCTAAACCGACCCTGTATCCAGCATCGGTACATCTTGATACGCGACGCCCTGTTCACTAAAAGCCTATTATCCCGCCCTAGGGCGTCGATCTCAAACTTATCAGACCAAATCTTGGTCAACTCGTCTTCCTCGAAAAAGTAGACTCTCGTCCCGTCACCCCTAACGTAAAAGTTCTCGTCAAGATAGCGATTCTTCTTGAACCGCACCTGAGCGAGGTCCCCTCTTCCATAGTCTCGGAAGCAGACGTGCCCGTCAGGCTTCAGCAGTCGATGAATGTTATCCACGGCCTTGTCCCACTCAGTTGGGGAGAGGGCAGAGAATATAAAGATCAAAACGACAACGTCCACGGAGCCCTCGGTGAGTCCGGGAGGGAGCTCATCTCCCGTCACGTCCCAGACATCAGCTTGCATGACATCCGTGTTATACGCCTCTTGGCTGCGCATCACCTCTACGGCCTTCTTGGAGTAATCACACGCGTGTACTTTTAGTTGCGGGTTTTTGTTCCTGGCAATCAGTGGGAAAGCCGTATTTCCGGCACCTGCGCCGACCTCCAGGACGACCTGGGGGCCGGCATCTTCTTTTGTTACGTCTTCGAGAATGGGAAACTCTTGTTGGAGCCATTTCCGGTCTTTGAAGAAGTTTGCGGCATTATTCTTGTAGAATAGATTCCACCACTTAGCAGGATCGGTATTAAATCTCTCTGAACAGGGCAAGCTGTTAGCTAACAACGCCATTGCAAAACTGGTATGCGTATAGACAAGAGGTGGAAAGAGATGATGCATCAGATGGGAGCGAAAGAAGAATAAGTTGGTCATCAACGGTATTGTCAGATGAACTATGCATTTTTGAAGGCTCATCACCGCATCGGTGGGTTGGTTCCAGTCAAGAAACAAGAGAAAGAAGAAAAAGAAAAGAAAAAAAAAAAAAAAGTAGACTCACTTTTATCAAAGTCATTTGCTGGAGACTGACGCTGCTTCTCATACTGAGCCTGGGCAAACTCCTTATACGCATCGTCAGTCTCGACATGATCCCAGGCATTGAACTCGAACACGTCGTCCTGCTCGCCAAGGTACCGGTTTCCAAACTGAAATGGATCGGATCTCTTCTTGTTCTTCTCCGGGTCATGGGACCTGTGGGCCGGGAAGTCCTGCTCCCCGGGTTTCGATTCTTGCTTAAGGTTTAGCTCCTCGGTCTGCTGGACCAGATCGTCACCAGTCTTTGGCACTTCCGGCGCCAAAGGTGCGGCCTCCGCAACCGTCATTATGTATCGGTGCCTGCCCAGATAATCGCGTTTGCAGAATAAGCCACGGTAATTTCCTTGGTTTCTTCCAATGAAAGATCCTGGGGTAAGGACAGGCTGCGTGAATGGATACAAATTCTGTTGGATTGAACTTCGGGGTTTGGGGTTGAGAGAAGGAGGAAAGAAAGCGAAGTTGGTGTTGAGTCAATCTCCCAAGAAAAATCTTTTTATTGACAGCTTGGAGTGGGGGGAACAGGGGCTGTGTGCTCCTGTTATGCCTACACCCGCCTCCAGCTGTTGCCATATAGGTTGGTCCCCACTCTTCACAACAAATTGAACCTCGGGAGTGTTGTTTTTCCGAAACAACTCCAATCCCCAATGCGGAATTCGAGTCAAGCTTGACAATACCTAATATACTTAGTCCCCACCTACAGCCTCTCCACCATTCCCTCCATCTTCCCGAGTTACTGGGACTGTCTCCCCTTTCTTGGCAATCGGCGCTCCATACCTCGTCGGCTTCCTCACGATCCTTCCCGACTTCGTCCTGCCTAGGTCGCCGACATGGATGATCGCACCCGATCCAGTCGCAGCAGCTCCATGCTTCAAGATTGTGCGGCCCCTTGAAGTTTTGGTTACTGACAAGTACTTTGTTAGCCCAGATACTCGGATGGGAGGATGCTTGAGAGCCTAGTTCTGATGATAGGAAAACTTAAAGAGATACATACGATGCTCCTCCTGCCACTCTTTTTGCTTCTGTTTGTTATACCGGTATCGAGCCACAATGGTGCCGTACCTTCGCTCGGTTGACCGGTGCCGCATTGGGGACTGCAGCATCCCCCTAGAGTGGGAGATGATGGGCCCTTGTCCCATCTTCGAGTCACACTGCCTGTCCCCCGGCAAGGCACTCGAGATCTTGTGGGCATGCAGAGGCATGCCACCTCTGGCATAGACCTCTACATCGTTAACCTGGGGAGAGCCCTCTGCAACCCTAAAATAACCATATTGGGCGTCTTGTGTTCCTATTAGCCTTGAACATGCTGAGCGCTGATTAGATCAATTTGGACTTACACATCCATTCCAGGTCCAGAAGATTCATAGGCGTCAACCAGCGGGTGTCGTCGCCCACAGCGAACGCGAAGCAGTTGTATGCCGGGCTCGAGGTTTCCCAGTGAACTGCAAAGCTCCCCTCACGAGCATCGGAATGGTCTTGAATAATTCCTTGGACGAATTGGGTCAATTGCTGGTTAGCCATGATGCGCACGGCTAAGGAGAAAAGGATAGGATTGAAGAACTGATTTGACTCGACAGTTGGAACAACTGATGTATAGAGCCAAAAGGGGAACGGACGATTTGGGAATGCTACTGATAGCGAGGTGAGAGGGCAATGATACCGGAACCGAGATCTGGCTATGCGGAAGATGTGTGGGAAGCAGCTTTTCAAGGATAAAGAGCTGTTTCTTCTAATCTCTAGCTGAGGGAGGTGCTGCCGGTGGCATCACTCTTATGTGAGTCTGCACCCTCCCTACGGCGTATTCATAACCCACGCCGTGCTCGCTGCTTTTCTTTCCAGAGCCTTGGATCTCCAATTCCAAGATTGACTCCTTAGAGCGCAACATGTGGGGATCTAAATCTGATGACTAGTTTGGCTGTTTCGGCGCGCTTCGAGGCTATAATGAGCTGGGCTAACAATCTTTGGGCTAACACTCTTTCCACCATTCAACTCAATGCAAACGACTTATGTGTTGCGGGCGGCCGTCTCACCAGCATCTGGGATGTTAGCATCTACAAGCGCTATATCAGGCTTGTTCGCCAAGTTTTGTTTCCAAGCGAAGCTATACACTACATCAGCGAGTTCGGCGATGCTACTGTATCGTCTTGGTTGCATCGCTTGCGCATAGATGTGCAACACCTGGGTTATCTTGGAAGTCCCTACGAATGTATTCACGTCCGCCCAAGCGCACCTGCGAAAGCGCGCACGTCGGTACCTCGTTGACTTTATTGGTTTTGTAGAGTCATAGGGTCTGGGGTATGGGAAAGGCCGTATTGACTCAGGCCGTGGTTGGGTCGTGGTTGTCCAGTTGGCGGCATGCCGACAAGGCCCGTATTTGCGATCCGCAACGCCCTTCGTGGGAGAGTTTGTCTCGCTCGACCTCTTCTGATGCCTGACCACTGCAGGGTTGTCTTTAACTTTGGGTATTACCTGGCCAGCAAGGGCTTTTGATATTTCTGATGCTGGATATCCCGGTGACTCGCGACGTGCCTCTTTGGTGAGCACATTCTTTGATGATAATGGTCTAGCAGTCTGTTTCGGGGGCAGCTACTCTGAACGTCTTATGAAAAGAGAATTTTCGGTTTCGATAACTGAACGTCCAGGGAGATTACATCTTCCATCTGGCTAACTCCGGGCCACAGCTACCAGTGTTTGCTTCTGTACTACTGCTAGCAGCATGGCTCACCGAGGCTGGCCCAATGATACCTATTTAGCACTCTCGCTGCCTTGGTCAATGCAATTCATTTCAAGCGGATTCCTAGATGTTGTTTATTCTGGAGTGGCTATGGAGTTTAGAGACACGAGGCTCCCCTTCCGCTTGACAAACAACCCGACTCCGGGCGTGATAAAACTGGTTGGATTTGTATTTCATCGTCGGCAGGCACGCAACCTTATTGACCTGGCTCAGAGTGTGACAGGCTTCCAGGAATTCATCGATGGTTTTCCATTTTTTGTAGAGTCACATACTTCGTAGTCGTTTCAGGTGCGGCCCAACCCTATAGGCATGGCCGATTGTGGGGAGTCGCAATTGACAAACGATTGTGAATACATAGGTTCTGACGCTGCGTCAGTGTAAAATGCTCCCACGAAGGCTACTACCGGCTAGAAGTCTCAGAAGATTCACGACGATTCATGCCCACCGCTACGCTGGCGTACATTGGATGCACCAAGCCGGAGCTTAGACGACTTCATTTGTGCTGACCGGGCCATTCAGGCAAATGTATGTGATGCCTGCGCGTGAAAAATGCCAATGACAGTTTAGAATGGCAAGGTGTAGAGCATACAAACCTTAGTTTGCCAGCGTGCCATCGAGGTAGCCGTGAACATCGGGGTCTGTAAGCTCCCTTCTATCCTCCCTCTCAAGTAGATCAACTGGAAGTTCTAAGTTAGAGTGCGGGGAGCCGGAGGCATTCCCTTGCCCCTTCTAGTCGACGTAGAGAGGTTAACTAGATGCAAATGCTAAGGCCGGGTCAACTTGGCATAAAGATGGTGTCGATAGCTAAGAAACGATTCGGGTGCCTCGATTCCTATCTTCATTACCAAGGTAAATATCTCCTCTTTGCCTGCCAAAACAAGAAGAAAAGGCAGAACACGAACGGTACCAAAGAAAGCTAAGGCAGGAGACAGCAGAGATGTACAAGAGGCACAGCCGGTAGCTCAGCCCGTAACGCAGCACGGAACTCTAAGCAAACAGTCAAGAATCGTCATCGCTGACAATCTCTCCAGTAGCAAGGAGTCGTCGGCCTTCGGGGAGTGGAAGGTCTCGGGTCGGCGGGCGCTGCCACTTCAAAAAGTCACGGCCTTCCTTCACCAACAGGAAGCGAAGCTGGCAGGCACAGTCGAGAGGCCTACCGGCTATGTCATGGGATGGAAAGCCTGGCACCGGGGGCCAATCTAGAGGCTCCGATGCCTTCGTGAAATGGTTGATCCTCTCGTCAACAGTCTTCCTCCGATTTACCCATTCTTCGAGGATAAGACGATACTCAGTTACGGGGCTATCCAGCTTCACATCTGGGTGCTTTTCCCACTCTCGCTTCATGAGTACCTTGGTCATATCTAGCTCGTTTGGGTAAAATTCTCTGCGAAAGCTAAACTCGCGCGTAATGATCTCGTAGAGGGTAAAAACGACGAACTTAACATCGTTGCAAGCTTCATCGTACCCAAAGACGAAGTCGTTCGCCTCGTCTCCTCCCCAGCCTAGCTTCGCGGCTGAGTTGAAATCGAAGACTTGGATACTATCCGTCTCTGGGTTGATGAGAAGGTTCCATGGGCAGATATCGCCATGAACGATGCCTAAGTGGAGGTTGAGATAATCGACAACCTTCTTCTTATTATTGGTTCAATATGCGAGACGGGCAAGAAATACAAACCTGAATAAGTTGTTTAAGGTATTTCAGCTTGAAGACGCGATCGTCGTTCTCATCGAGTGTACCACCTGGGACGTACTGCGTAACAAAACCAACGACTTTATCATCGCCCTCAACTACATCGACAACGAGTGCATCGAAGGGGACAATGTTCGGATGCTTAGGTATTCGCATAACACAGTTGGTCTCGTGCCAGATGGAGGCCCTATTCGCAACATTCACGAAATACTTGAAAACGACCTTCTTAGTTACGCCAGGGCGAGGTTGGTAGGTCGTCAGGTCTACCATAAGCCCAAGACGATCCACCTCGGTGAGGTCACCGCGGCTTACTGTAGCGGTTCCCGTGGGAAAATCGGCGAGTGATGGATAGAAAGGGACGAACGCAAAATCTTCCGTGATGTCCGATTTGCTAGACAAAAACGTGCCGTCATCCGAGATGCTCACCCGCAGGGCGTCCGCTGGGAGATCATCGACAAATTTGGCGAGGGCACTAAATATGAAATCATCGTCATATTTCTCGACGGGCGAATACACCAGGATGAGCCGCCGTTGATCCCAATCCTCCACGTACCACAGGACACCACTTAAGTAGGGTATACAGCCCGACATGGTGAAGCGCTGCTCAGGAAGACAGTGATCGAAGTAGTGCGAGCCCATTTTTTCGGCTCTCAAATTGAGGAGAGACGAAGGGTAGAACGTAGTGCTTTCTTTAAAGATGAGAGGACAAAAATTAAAATTAAAAATAAAAGAAAATCGATCGTCTTGGCCGTTGGGGGGGAATTATCGAGGTGTGCAGGTACGACGTCATCACTGTAGCTTGGAGGAAAGTGACCACTCAGCGCCGCCAAGTTACCCTTTCGGAGGAATATCGGAAGAACCCCCACAGTCTTAATGACAACAATTGAACGGTTTCGAACACACCAGTCGCGCTGAGCTTGGCAGAGCTCTGCCCCAAGACGAGAGTAGACATAGAACTGCACCCACCTTCGCATTTGCCTCTCCGGAACTCCAACTACCTGCATCATGACGCCGTCTCTCCTTCGCCCCCAGGCATATCTGTCGAACAAAGAAGTCCTCGAACTCGCTCAGCAAGCTCCCAACATCCTCCGCAACAACCCCAAGGCCTTCTCGACATCACCGCTAGTCTCCCTCTTTACTGCGTCGGAAACGCCAGAGTTATGGATGATCTACGAGAACCTGTTAATAGCCTGCCTCAGGACGGGCGATGACCAGTCCGCCTTTGAAATTCTGGAAAGGCTTATCCAGAGGTTTGGCGGTGAGAACGAGAGGATAATGGCCCTAAAGGGGCTGGCAAAGGAAGCGAAGGCCGCCAACAATGCGGAGCTCGAGGCTATTCTTAAAGAATACGACTCGCTCCTATCTGGCCAAGCGGAAAGCGAAACGAACATTGTAAGCGCCCTCCCTCCCCCCAAAAGTTGGTAGGGAAGGTTTAAGGGAAGCTGCTCGTGCTAATCGGGACTCTTTCTTAGCCAGTTGCGAAGCGCCGGATTGCATTACTTAAGTCGATAGGACGAAAATCGGAAGCGATAGCGTCCTTGGTTAAGCTATTGGATTACTCGCCGACGGACGCCGAGGGGTGGTCGGAGTTGTCAGATCTCTATCTTTCTCAAGGCTTGTACGCGCAAGCAATCTATGCTCTCGAGGAGGTTCTTGTCCTACAAGCAAACTCTTGGAACGTAAGTCATGATTTCCGGCCAATTGCTAAGTTGATACTAACTTTTGAGTCTGTAGATGCACGCTAGGCTGGGAGAGATCCTATATATGGCGGCCACCGAGCTGGCAGATGGTAGTTCAAATAGGTATTTCGCGGAGTCAGTAAAGAGGTTCTGCCGGAGCATTGAGCTCTGCGATGACTATCTACGTGGATACTATGGCCTGAAGCAGGTAAGGCCGTGCCACTACTCCGCAATATCAATCGAAGTGAGCGATTGAATACGAATGCTAATGCACGTCTCAAGGTCACGGGTACTCTATTGAGCGATCCCAAGCTCCTCAAACCGTCCAAGCAGGCGGATGGGGAGGGCATGGCCCTCCCTCCCAAGAAAACCCTGGAGGCATTAAACGAGAAAGCGACGGCGAAGCTTGGCGAGATTGTGCGGCGATACAGCACGGGAGATGTCCATTGGCAAGGGTATGATGCGGCGGAAATTGAGGCCACCCGACAGCTCCTTGCCAAGGATGAAGCCCAGGTTGTACGATAAGTAATGTGTAATGACACTAGTCAGCGTTCTTTTTCTTTCTTTGCTTTTGCTTGTTATTCTAGCCCTCTTGTTCTTTCGGGCCGCCGCACCAGGCCTCGGACGGCTTCAAAGGAGAATACTGTTTGCGTGCGACAAAAGCACCGACAGAGCGGATCTGGTCCACACCCTATACTTGTTATATGTGTGATCCGCGATGTGGGAATAATATGAAGCGCACCACACACAGGCGATATTTCTCTTCCACTTGTGGATTTCTCCCTGTTGCCTTGATGCCGTCGTGGAGTATTTCGCGAGACGCGAGATACCTCCGTGGGATGGCACATTGCGATGGCAAATAATACTCTTGCAATATAGCACGCTTTCGGCAACACTTCGAATGTTATTATAATCAGGGCTAATGCTACCCTACATGCGATGGGGGGACGCGGGGAGGGGAAACATTCCGGGCGCCGACATCCTGGGATTGCATTGGATGTTGGTCTGTTCGGATCTTAATTACCAACGGGCTCCTCCACGTGCTCTCTGGCGATCCACGGCTTCCCGCAGAATGGCGCTGACGGCCCTAACCTGCTGCGGTAATTACCTTCCTTCATGGGAAATCCAAACGGTGATACAGGGAATCTTTGTCCGGGTAGGAATATTTAATTAACCTACAATAGAAATATTCTTGACCGAGGGTGGGTAGGATGTTAAATGAGAGGAAAACATGCATCGCAGCATGCATCGCAGCATCCCACGGCATTCTGCGCTGGTAGGGCACATGCTTCGGGACAATTCAGACCGCAACCGCTCGACAACTTAAGGAGCTGTCTGCCCGGACCTTGGATGGAGTGCTGATCTTGACCTCCGGAAGATAAGCTCTGATCATCAAGCTCCAGTCGCTCTTTTACACAAGTTCTTCTTACCCCAGATTAAGGTCTTGTTGGGCTTAGCAAGATCAATCTTATCTTTTACTCCAGTTTTAATATACCAACTTGGGACATCATCAACAGCAAAAGATGCAGTTGAAGTACGCCACCCTTGCGCTCGGCCTCGGCCTGGCCGCTGCCGCGCCTTCCAACAAGACGTCGTCCTGCAAGCCCTCTACTGGAGTAATCAAGACCGCCCAATTGGGTCCTCGTCCCTTCTTCCTCGTCGATGACCTGGAAGCTGGGCCCCTCAAGGAGAAGCTCACCTCTTGCATGAGCAAGAAGACCTTCAAGCCTTCGGTCTGGAGCGTCGCCCACCGTGGTGGTGGCACCCTCATGATGCCCGAGCACAGCCTTCAGTCCAACATGGCCGGCGCTCGCATGGGTGCCGGTGTCCTCGAGTGCGACGTTGCCTTCACCAAGGACCGGGAACTCGTCTGCCGTCACTCCCAGTGCGACTTGGCGACCACCACTAACATCGTTGCGATTCCCGAGCTCAACGCCAAGTGCACGCAGCCCTTCGCTCCTGCTGCCGACGGCAAGCCTGCCAGCGCCAAGTGCTGCACCAGCGACATCACCCTCGCCGAGTACAAGACGCTCTGCGCCAAGGTGGACGGCTCTAACAAGGCGGCCACCACCCCTGAGGAGTTCCTCCGTGGCACCGCCCGCCATCAGACGGATTTGTACGCTACCTGCGCCACCGTCTTGACGCACAAGGAGCACATTGAGCTCGTCAAGGGCCTCGGTCTTCGCTTCACCCCCGAGCTCAAGACCCCCGAGGTCCCCATGCCCTTCGAGGGTGACTACACCCAGGAGAAGTACGCCCAGCAGATGATTGACGAGTACAAGGCTGCTGGCGTTCATCCCTCGCGCGTGTTCGCCCAGTCCTTCCTCTACGATGACATCTTGTACTGGATCAAGAACGAGCCCGAGTTTGGCAAGCAGGCCGTCTTCCTCGACTCGGAGGGCGAGACTCCTGAGACACTCCCCGTCGCCACTGAGAAGCTCACTCAGCGCGCAGCCGACGGTGTCCGTATCGTCGCTCCTCCTCTTCAGTACCTCGTCACTCTCGACGAGAACAAGAACATCATCCCTAGTGCCTATGCTAAGAAGGCCCAGGAGCTCGGCCTCGACATCATCACCTGGTCGCTCGAGAGGTCTGCTTTCCTCGGCGACGGCTCGCACGGCGGCTATTACTACTCTACCATCGCTGATGCTATCAACAAGGACGGTGACGTCTACAAGCTCCTCCACGTCCTTGCTCAGGATGTCAAGGTTCGGGGTGTCTTCTCTGACTGGAGCGCCACTGTTACCTTTTACGCCAACTGCTTTAACATTTTCTAAGTGAGGGCGGGGTGTTCGCTTGATGGAGAGGATATGATGGCTCTCTGGGCTTTTTGGAAGATTTGTGGATGAGCTATGTTTATAATTAGAGAGCCGGTTACTGTGCCCTTCGTTTTCTTATACCTCTATGGGCCACAAGATTATTTTACTTTGTATATATCTTGAATGCATAATGCTTAATGGTATTAACGGAGCGCGTATTCCTCCATCCATATATTGCTGGGTATTGTCAATGGGAAAATGGCATGGAGCCAGGATTCTGTAGATGCTGGTTCAACAAATACATGTCGGTATCACAACTCTTTTTACCAATATAGCGGTGCTCAAGGTTGTCATTCCTCGCTAATTCGTCTCAGGGCCTGAGGGGGATAATGAGAGATAGCTGTTCTTCCTTGCTGTCTAACCCATAATACCTCTCTTGGCAAGACACACTGGAATGAACTGAGCTAATATTTGTTTGGTATCTACTTCTCAAAGACGCTCGACACCCTCTCAGCAGGGGCGAAGGAGATTCGCTTGCAGAGAACTTTACTTACTTCGTTTGGTAGCCGGTTTCGAGGGGATATTTTGACCGATGAGCTAAATGCTCGGCGTAACTTTCCCATCTAAGGAGCCCGTTTCTGTTTAATTAGTTTGGATGCTGGAGTCCGGGGCAGCTGGACAAAAGTGTCGAGCGGGGAACAACTTAAAGTCAACAATCGATTGTTGCCAGGGGCAGCATTGGGGCTTAGTCACGAATTATGCTTAATACTTCGGGTCGTCTGGAACCGCAAGGATCAATTAATGTCTCCGGCACTCTCCGCGCACACCCCACTCCTCCTCTTCAGAGCGGTCTTTGCCGACAAGACATCGGGTCGAATGCGCCAGAAGGCGGTCTGGAGGACAACGAGCCGACTTGTGCACGCGTTCTTCGAGACCTGGCTGAAGCGGGTCGATTCTCCGAAGTAGCAAATGAAAAAGGAACAATAATACGTTGATACGTCAACACTGCAGTTCTACAGGCACCATCGTAGCTTGATCCAATTAAGTCTGGAATATTCTGCCAGGCAAAAGCAGCGCCGCAGAGCTCGGTTGGCCTTAAGAGGAGAGGGCGCAGGACAAGATGCAGTCGTGGTATTGGGGGGATGGGGGAGGGAGGGGGACTTCTGCCACTTTGACCTCATTTGATGTTTCCGTGGTTCGCGAACTTCATCCCTCATACTGCCCTTTCCAGCTGGAAGCCTGCACCCCAACAAACCCGACGCCTGCCCCTCCACCCCCAATCATCAGCTGGTTCGCCCGATTTGCTGCGTCTGCTTCGATCATGTATTTCGTCCGTTGTCTCCGGAAGGGAAACAGGGTGGCCGCCAGTAAGAAGAAGCAAGGGCTTGCATTGCTGGCTGTAGGATACGTCGAATGGTCCCGACGAACATTGTGCCTGACCAATGCCGGCTGTCCTTTAAGGGTGCGACTTGTCCAAAATAGACCTTAGCTTAAGTTACATCCTTTCCGTCATAGCGTGATCGCATTTTTGGTGTTCACCAACGAGAGAGCCGAGACTTCATAATCTAGTTCCAGGACTACTGGTAGACAGGTCACCTGCAACGTTCTCAGCATTAAACAATAAAGCGGCGCAGAATGTTCACCAGAGTAGTGTATGAGTATGGTGCATCAATGTAATAATACGCACTCATCCTAAACCACCAGCGGCCTGAAGTAGGAGAGTTTCGGGGCAAGAGAGTTAAGTTACTCTACTTTGACGATCCTGGTTCTGCCTCCTTCCTTGTACTTGCAGGACGAAGGTAGTCAGCCAGGCGAAACATCAACCTCCAGTCCAACAATATTGTGCCTCGATCATCCAGGTTCTCTTCACAGTATTAGGCTGTAGCGGCTGGATGTACCGCACGCAGTACTTCGTACATCAATCTCACCGCGATCATCGTTCCAAAAAGCACTGGTACGAGTACTTCGTACACTAATAATTGTTACTGGCTGGCCACAGGCTGAGCTGTACTGGTAGCTTGAGCGCTTTCTCCAGGATTCTACACTAATACTTCGTGAATCCCAGCAACCCGTCTTCTCCATCTCTCCCCGCTTCTCTTCCGGTCCAAGTTCCCAAGCCCCTCCTTGTCCTTCTTCGCTCGTCCCACTCCACTATCATTCAAGGACACCACAATTGTACAAGTACTTCCTACTTCCTACACACTGCCAACGTTGTTGACCACATCAGTACCCTCGTACCTCTCGTCAATTGATCGGATTGATTGCGGAAAGCAAAAGCACTATTATTACAAAGGTACAGGCGGATAGTGTTATTGAATCTGATATTGATACATGACCTCGCCCTTCCCATCGAATATTAACACACCGTTCGTTGTTGTTTTCACCTCCCCGATCCGCTCAATCTGTTGTTCGTTGTCGCTCTTTCCCACTTCGCCCTGGTCGTGCATATCACCAAGACGAGTTCGACGAAATTGATCCCGGCTCTTGATTCCCAATCCTCTTCGCCATCTCACCTTGGGCTCCAATCAAGCATCAATCCCGAACCCCGCCTTCGCCCTCCCCGCCACCGCCCTTCCTCTGTTCAATTGCGAGTCCGCCCTGATCTGGTCCTATTGTTTGGATTCGTTTCTGCTGTCGCCTTATCCGGTGCCTCGCTCTGGTCTGCGCTGGACCAAGTACACCTGTATCTCTGCATCTCTGCATCTGTCCGCAGACCAGACCAAGACCAGACTGGACGTCCTGGGACGACTTTGATCAATACTTGATCCGACATACGAAGTACACCTGCACAGTCTACACGCCAGACCGACCCACCACCCTGGCAGTGCAACCTGCAACCAGCAGCACCCTGTGGATTCCGCCGCCTCTTCTTCCACTTTCCAGGGCCCATCGTCAACTAAACAAGACAACTTGATCCCCCGATTCTTCCTACACCGCACACCGTTTCTGGCACCCAATCGCCGGCATTACAGCCCAACAGCATCACCCGTTACCCGTTTAAAAGCAACACACTCTCCCGTGCTGCGTCCTCAGCTGCTGTACAGTAAGCTCTTCTTCTGGAAATCGCTCTTGTTTGTTGCCAAAAAGCGCATCAGTCTTCGTTCTCCGCCATTCAAATTTTTTTCTACCACTTGATCCCCAATCCAATCCACACCAAGTCCACACACCAATCCCACTTAATCACTCTTGTCTGCTTACTTTCTCCCTTCGCGCTGCAATTGTACTACCCGTCGGCTACCTCATCATTCGCTGCATTGCTCTGCACCCTGCAACATTTGAACACTGCAACACTCCGCCGCGAGACCTCTAGACCTCTCTCCAAGTTGAACCCGCTCAGCAAAGAAGACCAATTCCTGTGTTGTGTTGGTTTTGCTTCGCTCCGTTTTACTTGGCTGGCACTGCCCCCGCACCCGCACCACTTCTTTTAACGTCGTCGCGACCAAAGTAGAGTCATTGACACACACACCACCAACATTGTGCTCCAGCCAGCAGAAGCCTTCGTCCGCCAAGCCACCCACGATTTGAAGCGGAAGTCTATCTGACAGGTCATCGCTAGATCCAGTGTGCCTGTCCCCCAATCTCTTTACGGTAGTCGATCCCACAACCCGACTCAACCGTTCAAACTTAAAAAAAAAAAAAAAAAAAAACTACGGAGTTGGGTGGAGAAGACGCCGTGGGCTCTGGCTGTCCGCTCTCCCTCCCCGCCTCGAAGCAGGCTTCATTGCGTTTTTGCTGAACATCCCCCCCTCCCTTTCGTGTACCTTTGCTCCGACTTTCTGTTCAGATTGTCGTGAGTAAAGGGTGCATATTGCTACTTCCGACCATGACGTTAGTCACCCTGTTCCTGCGACGGCCTCTTCCCCCCCAGTCTTGTTCCTCTTGTGGCCACACATTTTGTTTTTATTTTATTTTCATTCGGGCTTCCTTGAATGTTCTTTTGACCCCCTTTTGTCTAACTTTGTTTCTGTCCAAGTACAACCGTGGTTGCAAGTTTAAAGTCACTAACATAAATCCTGACCTGATTGTAGTAGCCGAGGAGGAGCCCGTCACATAACAATCAAGCACCATCACCCGGTGCATAGCTCTAGCGAGGAGGAGGAATCTTCCCAACAAGAGGACTCTAGCTACGACGACGAGCAGGACGAGACTTGGGACGGTTACGACGACGACGAGGTCGACCCTTCCGACTCGGCGTCCGTGAGTCAAGACCGGCGATCACGATCACGCTCACGCTCACGTTCCCGGTCGGCCAACCCCTACCGCCAGCATAGACTCTACGATCGTAACTCCTTCCATCGGCCGCCGCCGACCCAATCCGACAGTCTGGATCAATCAGATGACTACCCGGCCCCGTGGGGGGCGCGTGGTGGATATGGACCCCCTCCGGGTGCCTTCTATGGGGGACGGGGCGGACCTCCAGGAGCAGGATACCCGCAGAGCACCGTTGGAGGCTTCATGCCGCCGGGTCCGGGTCCGGCTCCCTACCACCAGGGTAATCAGGTAATTCCCTACAATTACCCGAACCCCTTCACGCCTATGTCGAGCAACGGCGGCGCCAATTACTTCGGCGACCCCAGAGATAGCTATGGCGTCGCCCCGTACCAGCCTAACGGCCATTACGGCTACGGCGGCTACGGTGTTGGCGTTCCCCCGCATATGCAGCAATACCTTCAGACTTACCCTCCGCCGCCACCACCGACAGAAGCTCCTGCGCCCAAACCCGCTACGCCAGCCCCGCCACCGAAGGAGCCGAGCCCGAGTCCCGAAATGATTAAAATGAAGGCCGAACTTCAACTGTACAGGGAAGAGCAACGGATGAAAGTCGAGGCTGAGAAGCGAAAGGAACTGGAGGAGAAGATTCGCAAGGATACCGAAGAAGCCATTGCCAGGAAACTTGAGGCCATGAAGCTGGCGCAAGAAGAAACTCAGAAAGAGATTGCGAGGGCAAAGAGAGAAGCGGAGAAGGCAGCTCGCGAAGCCATCGAGGCAGAACGGAGAGCTCAAGAAGAACAGAGGCGGATCCGAGAGGAAGAGATCAAGCGTGTTCAAAGGGAAGCCCGCGAAAAATTCGAAGCCGAGCTGAAGGCCCAAGCTGAAGCGATCGAGGCAGAAAAGAGAGCTCAAGAAGAACAGAGACGTTTCCGAGAGGAAGAAATCAAGCGTGTTCAAAGGGAAGCCCGCGAAAAATTCGAGGCCGAGCTGAAGGCCCAAGCTGAGGCGAAGAGGCGCGAGGAAGAGGCCGTACGACGCGCTGAGGAAGCTGCTAGGTTGCGGCTCGAGATGGAACGGAAGCTTGAGGAAGAAGCTAGGGCAGCAGCGAAGAAACGGGAAGAGGAGGCTATAAAGCATGCCGAAGAAGCTGCCAGGATGCGACTCGAGATGGAGAGGAGGCTCGAGGAGGAGGCTAAGGCTAAGGCAGCGAAGAAGGCAGCCGAGGAAGAAGCCTACAAGAAGAGGCTAGAGGAAGAGTCCAAGATCAAGGCGGAACTCGAGGCGCGCCAAAAGATAGAAAAGGAAAAGGAAGAAGCTGCGGCGGCGGCGGCTGCTGCAGAGGCGAAGAAGCAGGAGGAAGAGGCTCTGAAGAAGCGGGTGCAAGAAGAGACGAGAGCGAAGGTTGCCGCTGAGGCGAAGAAGGCGGCAGAGAAGGCCCCCATCAAGTTTAAGGATGCTGTTGGCAGGAAGTTCAGCTTCCCGTTTCATCTTTGCCAGACCTGGCCTGTAAGCGGCATAACCCTCTCCTGCCTCCCACCCTTTTTCGAAGGTTGCTGTTATTATCGCGCAGTGATACGGTAATACTAACCTCTTCTTCTAGGGAATGGAGGAATTAATTAAGCAAGCATTCCAATCCGTTGATGTCATTGGGCCACTAGTTCAGCGTGGCATGTTTGATCTCATCGGACCCAACGGAGAGATTATCCTCCCCCAGGTTTGGGAAAAGGTCATCGAGCCGGACTGGCAAATTACCATGGTTATGTGGCCTCCTGCGAATAGGGAGAAGCTGCATCCCGACCACCCACACTTCCGTCTTCGAGGAGGAATCCCTGGCCGCCCCGGAATCTCTATCCAGCCTCCCATCGGTCGACGCGCAGGGGGAGCAATGGGGAACCCCCCACCGCCTCCCGATTGGCGTGGTGCCCCTCCAAAGCCTCCTGGCGGGCGATCGAACATCCCCGTAGGCGTCGATATCGTCAACGTTGAAAAGGAAAAGCGGTCCAAGAAGTCGAGCGGAGGAGCGTTCCTGAACTGGATGTCTGGAACGCAGCCCAAGAAGAGTAGCAAGAAGTAAGTCAAGATTAACCCTTCGACTCCATTGATTTTAGCATTCTAAGATCTTGCCTACCTATGAACCATTGGATGCTAACCTAATGTTCGTCTACAGGAAGAAATAAATTTGCAAGATTGATCCCTTTTGTAGTTTGATGGGTGGCGATGTTTGTTACAATTGTTGGGGTGTTTGATTGCGAGCCAACTTTGGGAGTTTTATGAGTTTTATCTGGCATGGACAGGGAGGAAATACATCTGCGTGCTCATGGCAACGTTATCTAGCGACGTCTTTTCCCTGACATTTTTCTCAGCCAGACCATTCTTAGATCTGGTATTTCTGTGGATTATGCGCTGTTGTTGTTTTTGCCATATTTCTTCTTCTTTTTTTCTGTTGAATGATACCTCGACTCTCCATCTATTTTTTCCCCCTTTCTTTTTCTCCGCTCTCTCTTCCGCTTGCATTCTCTCCCTCTCTCTCGTTGCAGAGAAGAAGTACTTATGTTTGTTTTTGTTGGTTTTATTTCATTTTATTTTTTTTTCTCAGCTGGGTGGACAATCCCCTCTCCTTTCCAAAGAAAAGAAAAGGGCACCCATGGGCGGACAACGGAGTCTCATGGTTGGAAGGCGTGTGGCATAAACGCGGAATGGTAGAAATTCGACCTTCAGTCCCTGACTATCGCTACCTTTCTTCGAGTTTTATCCTGACGTGGTTAGCCCTCTTGTTTTCTAGTTGGCTTGCATGGTCTACTCGGCAAAGGAGCGTGAGGTACGAGGATACATTGGAACTTGGGGTGTTGGTGTGGTCCCTTTCCTTTCATGTTTTCCCAAAAAGGAAAGGAAAAGTGGAAAAACGAATGCAGCGATCTTGAACATCTCGAAACTGTATATGGGCTGGACAAAAAGATCTTGTACGTAGATCGAAAGTTGGCGAAGAGAGATAGCATATCAATTGGAGTCTATATGCTTAAAAACAGTCTATAAGGAGAACAGGAGAACCCATCCAAGGAGCTCCATTGCCAGAACGCCCCGAAAATATCTAATATCTATACGTGCATCACTTCCTTCGTTTATTTTGTACAGAGTGAGTGGAGAGGAGGAGGAACCCATATGTCAACATCAAGAGGCCCGTTCATCATTAATTCACTTGGTCAAGTGTATCCGATCGGTGATACCACTTTCATAAAGGCGCGCGAGGTCGCACATTCTTATCCAGCACCCTCCTCGCATGATTCTCAAAAGCCTCAATCATCCGCGCAGCAATCGTCTCCGAAACGGCCGCCGAAAAAGCCGCATAGATCGGATTAGCAAACTCGAAGCGTATGGTCAAGTTGACCTCGGCACCCTCCTTCCCCGCGACGTTCCTGGGGGTTAGGCTCCAGCGCGTGACGAGGGTTCGAAGGACGGAGGAGTTGTTGGAGGCGAGTTTCCTCCCCGGGTCGGCGACGAGCTGGGCGGATGCGCCGCTGACGGCTTCGACGAGGGAGAAGGGGACGCAGTTGACGCGGGAGGTGAAGGATTCTTCGAAGCCGGCCCAGCCTACGCGGAGGGTGGCCTGTGTCGGGGAGCGCCGGTTGTGGTTGTCAGTGGTCGAGGGTTCGGACCAGTGGGTTACTTTGGAGGCGCTGCAGAAGGGGACGAAGGTCGAGTAGGAGTCGATGTTGGAGATTATTTCGTAGAGAGCTTTTGGGGCGTAGGGGAGGGTGCGGCTGGCGGTGAGGGTTTGCGGGCTTGGTGAAGTGCCGGGGAGGGTGATGAAGGGTCGGGAGGAGATTGTTGGGGCGAGGCGGCGGCGGAGAGGCATGGTGAATGGGAGGCGCGGGGGGGCGGCGCGCAGGAGGAGCCGGGGCGGCATTTGGGATGGATGGTTCGAAGGCTCGGTGGAGGGGGGGGCTGTGAGATTGGGTAGTTGAGGTTTATCGCATTGGTGATTTGGAGGATTGGAATACTTAATGCGGTCGGTTGACCTGTAAGAAAAAGGGTGCCATTCCCGATAAAAGATTTTCCCGCGATATTAGCTTACACGGCCTTCATCCACCATCTCTTTTCGTGATTTATTTATTTATTTATTTATTCTCTCCGCTGTCTTTCTTTTTATTTTAATTTATTTACCATTTCCCTTCTAGCTAGCAGAAGTAACTGGAAATTTGAAGTCTTGATCCCATATTACGAAACAGTGAAGTTGAAAAGTGATACTATTATATCCAGTCAAGTAGAAAGTCGGTATAAAACGGATTCTCCAACATCCTCTTTCTGAGGACGAAGGGCGCCATTGAAAGACACCCCGAGTCCTCGCGCAAGACATCGAGGGTTACCTATACTTGTCTTCATCTTTGAATTGAGGTTGTTGGCCTTTGATACGCTTTTCCGCCTCTTCTGGAATCTTGCCTGCTCCCAGCTGGCTTTGGATCAACGGACTGGATTGAACGTCGAGTTCAGCAACAATCGGCCTCACATGTCCACGCTGAATTGGCCGAATTGGCCTTCCGCTTGTAGGACTGAGGGAGGCTCAGATCTTTTAAGTCCACGTCCAATTCAGTGTTGTTGCCGTAGGTGGGAGGTAGGGTGCGCAGCTACAGTGTGCACAGCCGAAATGATACTATTGCTGGTAGTTGAATTAGCTAAGGTACCAGTGCTATGTACCATTATGTCACCATCAATCCACCACCAGACAGGCAATGCAATATCGCTGGCAACCTCAATCTCTCAACCTTCGTGCCTTGCCCTACCATCACCCAGGACCGCGGGTCCCCGTCGATGCGAATCCCGCCGAGAAAGTGACTGCGCGATCGAGGATGGCCATGCGTCTTGATACAACCAGCTCCCCTTAGCATCTCGAACCGATCCCCCTTCTCACTTTGGGCCTCCAACACCACCGCCGGCCAACAACGGAGAGACCCCACGTGGGGTATTACCTTGCGACAATGTGCGTAGGACTTACTTCGATCTCGAGCCGTGGATCGACACCTAACTAGGCGAACAGGTTCGAAAAGTCACTATACGACCTCATTCGAGGTCTGAGGAACCATAAGGGGAATGAGCGCGAGTACATCCAGAACTGCCTCAAGGAATGTCGGTCGGAAATCCGGAGCGCCGATATGGGTAAGCACTCCCAAGACCTTCTCACTGCTTTTTCCCTTACTGTGGTCTAGGTCTAAGTGCTGACGGAGCTTCACTATCCAGACCTCAAGGCGATCGCATTACTCAAGCTCATTTACCTCGAGATGGTTGGCCATGACATGTCTTGGGCGTCTTTCCATGTCCTCGAAGTCATGTCGTCACCCAAGTACCACCAGAAGCGGGTTGGATATCTCGGTGCTGCCCAAAGCTTTCGACCCGACACGGAAGTTCTCATGCTGGCGACGAATCTTCTTAAGAAGGTGCGGAGGCGTCCTAGAAGGCCGCCCACTGTTGTGTTTGGAAGTGTTCGTTGTCTGACTCGTCGTTTCGCAGGATCTGGCGTCCACCTCGATCCCCATTATGTCCCTACCGATCACGACCCTCCCGCATATCATCACCCCCTCCTTGGCCCTCTCCGTGCAAAGCGAGATGCTTTCCCGTCTGGGCCACTCGCATCCGAACGTGCGCAAGAAGACCATTATCACACTCTACCGCCTCGCCCTCGTGTACCCAGAGACCCTCCTCGCCGCTTGGCCTAGGATAAAGGAGCGCCTGATGGACAAGGATGAAGACCCTAGCGTTACTGCCGCTATTGTCAACGTTATTTGCGAGCTCGGATGGCGACGGCCTCATGATTTTTTGCCCCTTGCGCCCCGGTTATTCGAACTTCTTGTGGACGGAGGGAATAATTGGATGGCCATTAAGCTCATCAAGCTCGTGCGTGCATCATTATGGGACACCGTCTTTCTGCTAAACGTTTCCGTCTAACCGGGCACTTTTAGTTTGCTACTCTCACGCCGTTAGAACCTCGTCTCGTCCGCAAACTGCTTCCTCCCTTGACCGAGATTATCCGTACTACGCCAGCCATGTCTCTATTATACGAATGTATAAATGGTATCATTCAAGGAGGTATCCTTGGAAGCGCAGATGACATATCCGGTAGGGAGGAGATTGCGTCTCTTTGCGTCGACAAGCTGAGAAGCATGATTCTGGTGGACGGCGACCCGAATTGTACGTCCTTCCAACCGTTTCCCGTATCTGTCTGTTGGTCTAACCGGGCGCCACAGTGAAATACGTTGCGCTCCTCGCCTTCAACAAGATCGTCGTAACCCATCCTTTCTTAGTGTCTCAGCAAGAAGACGTAATCCTAGAATGCATCGATAGTCCTGATATTACTATCCGAATCAAGGCCTTGGACCTAGTCCAGGACATGGTTTCCTCAGAGAATCTCTTGTCTATCGTTGGCCGGCTGATGAAGCAGCTAAGGGCTTGCCAGCCCTCTAAGCAAACCCAGGGCTTTGCCACTCAGCAATCCAGTACATGGACTGCCGATTCAGATGAGGGCTCAAACAACGATTCTCCAAGGGTATCGACGTCGACTAGTGAAGCATTACCGGAAGAGTATCAAATCGACATTATTGGCAGAATTCTAAAGATGTGCTCCCAGAATAATTACAACTCCATCTTCGACTTCGACTGGTATATCGATGTTTTGACGCAGCTCGTGCGACTGGCCCCGGCTCCTCGGGCATTTGAACAAGACCCTTACCTGCCCGCATCTCGCTCCTCGGCTGTGGACGTAACTGAGACGATCGGGGACGAGTTAAGGAACATCGCCGTCAAGGTCAAGGCCATGAGAGGCTCTGCGGTGAGGGCCGCCGACCTCATAGTGCAGCAGCTTCTCCTAGATACGCCCAACCAAAATTCTATCTCCTCTGCCGCACTCAAGTCGATAGCCTGGCTTCTCGGCGAGTATGCCACATCACTAGCATCCCCTGATACCACGCTCGCATCGATCCTGCAGCTCATCCCGAGAGCATCCTCTCCCATTATTCTCATCACCTGCCTCCAAGCTACCGCAAAGATATTTGCACTAATAGCTGGTGACCAGTACCAGCCGTGGACAGCTGAACGCAAGAGCAGTATCTCTCTGCTCATGGCTCGAGTCATTGATGCGTTCGAGCCGCTGACTCAACACCCAAACCTCGAGGTTCAGGAACGCTCCGTCGAATTCGTGGAGCTTCTGAAGCTTACCTCTGAGGCGGTGTCTGGGCACCCTCCATCTACGGATGAGACACAGCAAGATCCACCCCTTCTACTAACTCAAGCCATCCCGTCTCTCTTCGCCGGCTGGGATTTGAACTCTGTGGCTGTAGGTGCTCAATCAAATGTACCAATACCGGATGGCTTGGACTTGGACAATCCTATCCATCCAGATTTGGAACGACTCCTGGCAGAAGCAGACCTGCCATTCCTCAAGAATGAGGAAAGCGACGACTTTACCTCGTACTACTACAAGAAGCCTGCGGCAACATCTATCTCCTCGGAGATGTCTATGCCCGCGATTAGCAGGCTAGGCGGCGCGCCCGAAGAATTCACGAGCTCTTACCAGCAGCAAGTGACTGAGGAGAGCTACCTCGATGCTGATATCGTGGCGAGGCGGCGGGCCGAAAGACTCGATCGCAACCGAGACGATCCGTTTTACATCGGCGGCAGCGACGTCAGCAAGTCTTCCACGCCCATTCACAGAATCCTTCAATCCACCAACGGTCCCGAGCTAGACATCGACTCCATCCCCATCATGCAGCTCGACATCGACAAGCTCGCCGCCGACACATTGCCGACCTCCTCTGCCAGACACCATGCAAAGCCACTAGCAACCCCCAGCGCCCGCCGGCAAATCGTAGTCGCGCAGGACGAGACGCTCGGCGGAAGCGGGCGATCAACGCCGCGCACCCATGATTCGGACGAGTCGCGGCATGGTCGGGGAGCGGGAGGACGGTCGAAGAACTCGTCGTCTATCCTCAAGGTCAGCTCCTCAGGCATCGAGTCGCTCAGCCTAGAGGCCGGGGCGCCGACGGAGGATGCGCGCGCGAGGGACGACGAGGAGATGGCTAAGGCGATGAAGGAGGTGGAGAGGTTGCGGCTGGAGATGCAGAGGGCGAATGAGAGGATTCAGGTCGCGCAGGGTGTGGACGTCGAGGGTACGGTTGTGAAGAAGAAGGTGAAGAAGGGGACGAAGAAGGGAGTTGCTGGGACCAAGAAAAAGAAGAAAGCTGCTCCCGCTGCAGTTGGAGAGGCGGGTCCTGCGAGCGGGAACGGGATTGAGGATGCTGCTATTGGAGGAGGTGATGCTGTGGTGGTGGTGAAGAAGAAGAAAAAGAAGGTCAAGCCGCCTGTTGAGATAGAAGAGTGAAAGGGGATACAGGGTTGGGAAAATAAAATGGAAGTCATTTATGATGTTTTGAAGATTATATGGCATCTGCCCATGCGGAGGTCTCCTGCTGGCTGGGGATAGAGAAACAAACTTGCCAGTATATGCGCCAAAAAGACGAGTCAGATCCCCGTACGAGTCTTCGCGTCAAAGGGGGGGAGAGAGAAAGCGAGGGACGAATGTTGTTCTTTTACTTTGCAACGCTGTCATACATGATATCTTCCCGAGAGAAAAACAACACAAAAACGAAATCACCTTCTCCCCTGCTTTCTGCCTCGGCATCTCCCCTCCAGCTTCTCTCCAATGCAATCCCCTCTGATACGGAAGGAAAATCAAATCCACTTGATGTAGCATCCTCGCGTGCCGTGCCGATTATCTTGAAACCAGCATTCACACCTAACAAAGAAAAGAAGTAAAAAAAGGAACGACAAAAGAATAAGACTATAAAGCAAGGCAAAAACCATTTCCTCATTCCCATAGACGATAAAAAAAACCCATCACTCATACACCTCGGTGTGTTTTAAGAAAAATCCTAGTGCCTGCCTTTTAACCCTCCCGCCCGCCTTCCTCCTCTTTGTTCTCTCTCCCACAGCCACTAATTCCAATAATCCAAAATAAAACACTTAATCGACCATAGGCTTATCTTCCAACGTCACAGCCCTATGCGTAAGAGTCTCGGAGCGCTGCCTAGGCGACTCGGGCAGCGCAACCGGGATCCTCCTTCCGGTCGAGAAGCGCGCTCCGCTGCGTGATAAGCTATTCCTCTTCTCGATAGGAGACTCCGAAAGGGCAGCGTCGGACCTTGAGGCGTAGCTTATGCTCTCGCTACCGTTAGCGGCAGCTGCCGCCTCGACCGGAGAACCCGTAGACTCGGATCCGGGCACCTCGAGAGACTGCCTCTTAAAGCCGCCCACGCCGCTTCCCAGGCTGGAGCGGTGGCGCTCATTCGGAACCGTGGGGCTGGCGATGGGGAATCGGGTCTCGGGACCGCCGGTGGAGCGATCACGTCTGTGACCGCGAGGGCCCGGCGCGGGACTAGTGGCGCGGCTGCGACTGGATCCGGGGGCGGCGCCTGCCTTCTCTAGGAGGAGTCGATTGCGCTCTTCCATGTTGGCTTTCCGGTTGCTTTCATCGGTGCTGATAGCTCTCGGTCTCGGCGCTGATCGACCGAGAGAACCAGAGTAGCCGGGAGTGGACATGCGCTTGAGCTCGTTGAAGATGGCGTCCTTGTGAGCGAAGAGGTCTCGGATGAGGCGGTAGGCGTGCTTCTCCTCCATGGTGAGCGAGGTCTCGGTCTTGGGCCGGAGAATACATGGCGCAATGTTGGCAGCGAGGGCGGAGATGTAGGCTTCATCGGCGGATGTGAGGTCGATGAGGCGTGTAAAGTGGTTCATGCAAGCATCGAGTGTAGCAATGTTAGAAAGGCGCAGCTGCGAGAGGGTCTGCTGTAACACTGCAACGCGAGCGGCGTCTGCGGTGTCGGGTGAGGTGTTTGAGTAGATGGTCCGGACAATTTCATAAACGTGAGATGAGATTAAAGAATCTAGTGTAAAAATGGTTAGTTAATGTCGCTGGATCCATCGACTTGGAGTTCTCCAGGCCATGTTTGACCACCTACCAGGCAGCTCGAGTAGATAAAGCTTCAACAGGCTAGCAACAGTCGGGACGTCAAAATCAGCAAAGGCTTCGGGGGAGACGGGCTTGCCGTCGTTAACCCTGGCGCGGAGCTTGTGGGTCTGGGTCAGTGGCACATCAACGAGCCAAACACCTCGCATCGCCGCATCATCCTCGAGATCGGGATAGTGGTTATCCAGGTAGGTAAGAATGGTGGTGACAATGCTGGGCACGCGCTTCTTATCGGCGGTTGCTCGAGCTTCTAGATCAACACCAAAGGTTTGTTGGTCGACCTTGTTATAGTAGTTTCCGTAGACGACGACCTTTGGGAAGAAACTTCCCGTGCGGTAGTTTTCAATCAAGTAACGAAGATCGTTCGCGGGCTGAACAGCCTCCTGGAACAGCATCATGTTGTCGACGGTAGACTGGAGGCTGGGGATGACGTTGCTAACGGTTCCGGAGAAGTCCAGCAAGACCGTCTTGATAGCCTTTAGCCTATCCAGCTCGCACCGCTCAAGGAATTTGAGATGGAGTATAATAGCTTCCTCAAGCTCACAACGCATCTCGTCTAGCTTCTGGACGCCGGCTTTGTACTTCTCGTCCGCTTCCCGAGCTTCCCGCTGGAGTCTTTCCGAGGGAGTCTCATTGGTATGCGGGTTGTTGAGGGGGTTCCAGTTCGATAGGTATTCGCTCACGGCACCAACCACGGGGGAATCGGACCCGTCGGAGACGGGGAAGGACATAGTCCTGGAGGTCGTGAGCTTCTTCTCTGGCACGCCGGAGATTTGGAAAGCCTTGGGGCGCCACTGGTAGAACATCCTCGAGCTATTGGCGAATGTGTTGCCAACATTGCCCACGAGACGCAAGAAGCCGTTCGACACGAGGTCCTGACCGATGCGCTCGGCGTAGCTTATGCTCGACGTGCCCATATGTCGCTGGAGATATTCGACGATATCGGTACCGGCGGAAGTGTTTTGGTATGTGCCGAGCACCGGTACCTTGGTCTCCCCGAGCTTGATGGTAGTGAGCATATGGGCGAGTATCTTCTTCAACTGTTCGGCGCCATAGACTTCGTCGCCAATCTCGTATATATCCTCATCGGCCTCTTCGATGGGTGGCTCCTGGTTCTCGGATACCTTGATCTCGGGGATGGCGGCCTTTGGACTCGACTCAGGGTCCCGGAAGGCCAACTTGTTTTCTTCTTCGAGATCTTCTACAAGACGGCACTTGTTTAGGTAGTTGCTCCGAAGCTTCTTGACGGCCTCGAACTGCCGGTCGTGGGCCTTGATTCGCGCTTGCAGCTCGTCCTGGGAATCTTGGATGCGGGCTTCGTGGGCATCGCACCATCGAGAGAAGGGGTTGACAACGAGGTCTCGGATATTCTGGGCGATTTTCTTGTGGGACTTGCCGGCGTCGTCCATGTTGGTTCGAACGCCCTCGTAGGCCTGTGGAGGGTTACGAACTGGTTAGTCAATCTGTTATTGCATCCATCAGGCTAAGGACTGGCGGTCCGTTGCATCCCCACCTTGCGAACGCTGGCTCCATCATCTTTGCTAAATCCGCCGGTGATTTTGTCGGCGGCCGGGGCGATCTCTGCTAACCGTTGACCGTAAATCTCCTCGGCCTCGGCTCGCATCCGCGCAACGGTGAGGACCTGGCGGTTCTCCAGGACTCCCTGCTGGAGCTTTCCGAACAAAACCCCAAGGCCTAGAAAGAGGGGGCAGACACCAGTTAGCCACGCAACCACAGGCGCCGTGAGCAGATAGCCCCAAGGCTGGATCAAATGAGAGTCGCAATGACGCACCTGCCGCATAGTCGGCAGACCAGAACGAATCCGCGAAGCTCGGCATGGCAAGTGGATCGCGCTGTGCTTGACAAGAACGATTGGCGAAATTTGGATAATCGCAGGTTTGGCCGCGCTGTGTAGAGGTAGCTTCTAAAGGTAGGAAAAGGAAGAAAAAAAGGTCGTTACACAGTCGGTGAGAAGTTGTTTCGTTTGACGTGTTGCGGGTCCAGGATGCAGGAGACAGGAGGCAGGACGTAGCGGACGACGAGGCTGTTGCTGACTAGGAAATTATTTTCCTCCGGAGACGCAACTACGAAGCAAGTATTGATGACGCCGGCATATGCAGACCATTGACTACAAGTATCAAAGAAGATCAAAATGGGTTTCAAAGGAGGCGCCAGGCACAGTTCTTGGGCAAGAAGGTAATACAGAATTAGAGGACGTAACAGGGCAGGAACAAGGAGACAAGGACAGGTCAGCTTCGTCTGCGGCTGGAATCCAATGGTGATGGTTGGCGTGGACTGCGGAGGCAGGTGCTAGTTCGTCGTGTACGGAGTACTTCGTGCATACAAATGTACATACAAATGTACACGAGTACGCATGTCATGTCGTTTTGGGAATCAATGGTTGGACTCGTTGGAGTCCTCATTGATGGATTCTAGCATCAGGGTAAAGTACAAAGTACGTACTTTGCAAATATTGGACGAATGGCTGTGTTCGAATAACATTGCATGTACCAAGCAGGTATCGTTGCCGCCAACAAGGAGACAGCGCGACCAGGCAGGAAAGAGAGCGTAACTCAGCATTGAAGGATCAGGCTCAACTCTGTCCGATCAGTGATGACCTCTGAATTGATTGATGGCTACATCGAATCGTGTAGTTCTGAGCATGCCCGACCGGAGATGCGAGACGTCGAACTTGCCCAATTTTTCTTCTTTTTTTCTTTTTATTCCTTTTTCTATGCCTTATGGGCGCATCATCGTCAGATGGAAAGCTAAAGTACTTGAGCCACTGGACCTGCAAAAGACTCGACTCGAGCACACTCATCAATGAACAAAGGTCAATCCTCGAACACGCCGCCTGAACCCCTGGCGTACCCACTCCCAATAAGGCGCAGATCCTGGGCCTGGGCTGGCCTTAGCCACTGATCGAGCAATAGTGCCAGCCCGTTCAATACGTGGGCGCACTATAAATATCCGCTCACCCCTGAAACACGAACAATCAATGAAGTACGAGGTACTTCGTATCTGCGACAGAGGATAGAACTGGACAGCCTTGATCTAGAAGGAAAGAGTTCTATCAACCTCCCTGGGCATCCCCAAGTCGGAAGAATAGATCGAGAAGACTCTCCAATTTTGGAACTGGCTGCTCGTGCCCGCACCCTGCCTCCGAGGAGGCCTTCCACCGTCTCGTCGACTTAGACGGAGACTTAGTTGGCTCCTGGACCCAATGGATGTCCTTCACTAATACCAGGCACCACGGACACCATTGATTGCCTCCCGGAGCATAAGACGGAAACTATGAGGCCCTGCCGATCAGTGCCGCCCGTCCTTATGCATCGAGCATCGACAAGTTCCCAAGCCCCAATGGACAGATCCACGACGATAAAAGCTGGAGCCAGAAACGCGCGGCTAATCTTCCAAGTCTTGATCCACCGCCAATTGTGACCCAGTGTGTACGTCAACCCTGACAATGGCATTAACCTCTTCTTGACTGTAGACTGTTCGTGAGATCTGGTCCGAGCGAAGACGTGAATTTCGAGAAAAGAAAAAAAAAAAGAAAAATACGACTTATGATATTCTTAAACTAAGCAGTAGTTGGAAAGATGTTTGGTATTGGACGTCGTTTCGAGATGAAAACTGTTTCGTTGTTGAGCTTGGCAGTCTTAAACTGTCAAAGTTGGTGGAATTGAGAGCATCGGTTGAACTTCACTCCGCCAAGCACGTCAATTCCTCTTCAAACGACTCATCCTTATCTTTCACCTCACTTCATATCATCAATTCCTATATCTTCATCGACGCAGCGCACAGATTGTCTACGTAGTAGATTATATATGCTTATATCGTCAAGCGTAGTCACATAATTCTTTATACAATGTCCTTCAAGGACCGTCGTTCCCATCTCCCCTTATCAAAACCGGAGAGTCCGGCTGTTGACCCCAACCGGCCCCCCGGCTCCGTGAACGGCCGTTCACAGTCTCGCCATCTCACGAAGAAGCGCGTCCTAGCGGCAGCGCTGTCCTTGCTCTCTATAAGTCTTTTATTCAGACCACTAGCCGATAATTATCGCAATGTAGTGCCCACGAGACATCGGCCATCGCCATCTTTAGACTCCAAGAACCCCAAGTCAATCGATGACCGTGTCCAACATATACTCTCCCACACCCCATTGATTGGTATCTCATCCTTCCCCCCAGTTCCCCGCACGTCGTGCTCATGGAAGAGCTATTACTAAAGAACAACTGTACTAGATGGGCATAACGATTTGCCAATTCTGATCCGTGGCTGGTACAACAACCACATCTATCAAGACAACTTCACCACGCCCTTCGAAAAGGGTGGTCTCGTTGGCCATGTTGACATACCCCGTCTAAGGGATGGATTGAATGGCGGCTTCTTCTGGAGCGTCTTTGTGCCATGCCCCGCTGATGGTGCTGATTTCTCTGATGAAAACTACGCCGAGAGTGAGTAGGCCTGCGTGTTGCGTACAGTAACTTCAAGCGCTAACGGTCAATTTTCATCAGGCGTCCAGTTTACTTTGCAGCAAATTGACTTAGCAACTCGATTGAAAGAGGCCTATCCGAGTGACTTTTCCGGAAGCGTCGATAGCAGCAATGCTCTCGATGCGTTCAAGAATGGCCAGCTCATCTCCCCCTTAGGAATCGAAGGACTTCATCAGATTGGCAACTCCGTTGCGAATCTGCGCAGGTTCCAAGCCTTGGGTGTTCGATATGCTACTCTTACCCATAACTGCCACAACAAGTATGCCGATGCCGCCCTCCTCGAGCATCCCATTCGCAAGGCAGAGCCGAAATGGCACGGCGTGAGCGCCGAAGGCAAGAAGCTCATCGCAGAGATGAACCGGCTCGGCTTAATTGTCGATCTGTCCCACACCAGGTTTGTAGCCCACGCTAGATAAAATTCCCTGTGCTCATTCACTGACACCCACCCGTTAGTGAGGACACCATGATACATGTGCTCGGCGGCAGAGACGACTGGAAGGGAAGCCATGCACCAGTCATCTTCAGCCATAGCTCGGCATATAGCGTCTGCCCGCATCCTCGAAACGTCAAAGACAGCGTCCTCCAGCTCGTCAAAGAGCGTAACTCCCTCGTCATGATCAACTTCAATCCCCCATTCATCGCATGTACTGAATCCGACAACAACAACGGCCTGCCTAAATATGTGCCCGAGGACGCCAACCTTCATCAGGTCGTCAAGCACATCGTGCATATCGGGAACTTGATTGGATACGACTATGTCGGCTTGGGCAGCGATTTCGACGGCATTGAGAAGACGCCCGAAGGTCTTGAAGATGTATCCAAGTATCCCGCTCTCGTCGCTGAGCTTCTACGCCAAGGCGTCAGTGATGAGGATGTCGCAAAGGTTGTGGGAGGGAATCTTCTACGTGTCTGGCGTGATGTAGATGAAGTTGCATCTCGCCTACAGGCAGCGGGCGCGCCTATCTTGGAGGATGATTTACCAAGTCTCTGGAGTGACTCGTAGTAACCCGACCCGTCCTCGCAATTATAACCCTGTACAGATAAGAATTTGGACTAGAACATTTGTATTCTAACAGATTTATAATCATAAGTTCTTGTATATTGAGTGCGGAAATCACCCCAGCGATATGTCCACATCCAAATCTTCCTCCATCGTCTCGATGTCCATGTGTGTTGTACAGGGGCTGACATCTATCTGCCAGCCCGAAGGTGACTCGCTCCCTTTCCAAATCGCAATCGAAACTGACCACGCAGTGAATGTAAGACGCCACGGTCATAGGTAGAGTCGAGTCGAATCAGAAAATTTTTGTTGGGCATCACCCTAGCCCAAAGATCGGCTCGATCAACCACGGCGGTCCAGTCTGTTGAGCTTCCGTGCGGTGTAAATCTGGTTCCTCGTCCTCTGTCCACGGGCCGGTAGACCCATTGCGTGTCTCCTTCCGCGGTAACTTCCCATATCTTTCAGTCGCTTTAGATTCTCGTGCAGAATTCGCTTCGCGTCGTTTTCGATCGTCATTTGGGACAGCTCTGCTGTCAGGGCTGTAACGGTCTTGGCTGAGAGAGCGCCGACCTTTGCGAGGGGGAAGATGGAGTATTTTGCCATGATGCGCGAGGATGTCGTTGGTCCGAGGGCATAGAAGCACTCGAGCGCTTTCTAAATGATTGGGAGCTCGAAGTTAGGCAAGATTTGGGGACTGGGAGGATTGCGGGAGCCAGATCCTCCTACCTTTACCGGCATGCGCGCCTTGAAGTTGACACCTAGAATGAAAACCTAGAGAGTCCAATTGTGTCAGCTAAAGATTTAGGTTTCCCGTTAGAGGGATTGGTCAACCTACCATCTTGAAGTGATACCCGACTCAGTCTTTGCTACTCTGGGTGGTGTGAGGTTCAATTCGGCATCATGAGGCGTGGTTTTGGTCCATCAATTTTTAGCAGCCCAGATTAGCCACAACTTATCATCAAGCCACAACACCAGCCTCGACAGCGATTCCATCCTGTCCTTTCTAAACTCCTAAGTACTTAGTACCTCAACACCTTGAATGAATCAGGCCATGATCAGCCAGTAATATTCTGTACAAAGTACTTGCAGGGGTCTATAACGCTCACTGATGCTCTGATACTCATTTCCACTGCTCCTATTCCTGGAGAAACTGGCTGAGAAAGGCACTTGAAACACTGGCCCACCCGCCATCGTCCAGCAGCAACAGCGAAGCTAGTGACCTGTCCTCTTGGACGCTAGCAATTGAGCAATAGCAACAGAGCACGCGTATATTCTTCAACCCCCCCCTCTCCCTCTCCAAAACACCAGGCTGAACTGCGACAACAATCCTTCATTTGAAGCTTGGAGTCTTGCAATCACCACCTCCTCACTTCGTGCAAACCCATCCACCCAACCGAAAAAATGTTCAACGTCAGGCGGATTTTCCTCTCCGCCCTGCTCCTCCTCGGAGTGAGCATGGTCTTCCTCGCCCAGCCCGCCGAAGCTGCCAAGGGCCCCAAGATCACCAACAAGGTCTACTTCGACATCACCCACGGCGATGAGCCATTGGGCCGCGTCGTCTTCGGCCTCTACGGAAAGACTGTCCCCAAGACCGCCGAGAACTTCAGGGCTCTCGCTACGGGAGAGAAGGGCTTCGGCTACGAGGGTTCGACCTTCCATCGTGTCATCAAGCAGTTCATGATCCAGGGTGGTGACTTCACCAAGGGCGATGGCACTGGTGGCAAGTCCAGTAAGTTTCCCCCGTCTTAGATGGTCTTTAATTTCTTCTCGCGGGCCACCAATGTACTAACGGCTTTCGTGTTTCCTAGTCTACGGCGACAAGTTCCCCGATGAGAACTTCAAGCTCAAGCACTCCAAGCCCGGCCTCCTCTCCATGGCCAACGCTGGCAAGGACACCAACGGCTCGCAGTTCTTCATCACCACCGTCGTCACCTCGTAGGCTACCTCTACCCCCGGAAAGCGAACACTTGTCCCCCCGCAACCCATACTAACGCACTCTTCTTGCAGCTGGCTCGATGGCCGCCATGTCGTCTTCGGCGAGGTTCTCGAGGGTTACGATGTCGTCGAGAAGATTGAGAAGGTCCAGACTCAACCTGGCGACCGCCCCGTCAAGACGGTCAAGATCGCCAAGTCCGGCGAACTTCCCGTCCCTGAAGAAGGTATCCACGTAGAGCTTTAAGTCAAGACACTCTGTCTATTTGTCATACCTGTACACTCTTCCATACCTGAAAGATGAAGATGGACAGTCAACGCATGTATATTCTCCGATGACTACAAAGCAATCAAATATGAGGCTCTCTAGCCGTGTCACTGTCTTCCTCTATTTTCTTTCTATTTTCTTTTCACTTTGCCATTGCACAAAAAAAAAGGAACTCGCTGATTCGTGTTCGCACCCACTTCCTCCTCCAGGTCTTTACGGAAATGCATCCTGGGCCTCTGGCCTAAACGGAGAAGATATCCCAGTTAAACTCGATAGCGGCTCTGGAGGCATCTCTTTCCTTGGAAAGGCTGTTATGGCGGGCGTCTTTTGCGCCGCTGTTGTCACAGTATACGCCAGGCGGATGCGCAGGAGCGCTAGTGATGAGAAGTATTCGTAAAGTGTTTGCACAAGTGCAGATTCGCAAATGGTACCCTCGAGCCTTTGATTTTCAAATTATTCTGTTGCCTTACTTTGGTGCTGGCGTTCTTCCCGTCGTCTCGCATTTCTGCGTTCTGATGTTGGCGACTTGTAACTATCACGTGCCCCGCATTTTGGACTCAAAAATCAAATCTTCAAAAAAGCTATCAATTGATCGCTTGATAACACACATTCCCAACCCAAGAACGCCAAGTCTCTCGAGTTCGAATATCTTCCTTCAGAGGAATTTTACTCTGGTTCATACCGCTGTCTATTCCGTGAAAGATATATATATCGGTGAAAATGAGGGTTCTAAATCTAAACTTCTTCTCTTGCGCCGTCAAGACCTGCAAGGTCTCCAACCAATCCTTCCCCCTCCATCCCAAGGACGCCGAACTCGCCCAGGACGATGATGCCAAGTACAGGCCCGAGATCCTCGTCGGCCTTCTTCCCCGACTTGACTGGGCTGCCTTGAGGACTACATGCACCGAGGTGAGTTTTGCGCATGTGTTCTTTTTAATTCTCCGTACCTCGCAAACCAGTTTTATTGCTGCTTTCGCGTCTACCGGGTCTCACTTCCCGGTGGTGAGAATGAGGAAAATGATATAAGAATGTGCTAACGCCGCCCTTGTTATAAAAGCTGGGGTTCCCCGAGCTTCCTGAAAACCCTCCAACCGTAGAGGCGCTCCAGGCCGATGAAAAGCTTGCAGCTGACCTGCACCGCTTGCTTATGGAGACTCATATCGTTGAGGGCAAGTTGACATGCGGGAGCTGTGGGCGGGAGTATCCCATTCGAGAAGGGATTCCCAATTTCTTACTCCCAAGTCACTTGGTGTAATGGGGAATCTGCTGGGAAAAGGGAAGACGGGAGTTGATGGCGGGGTCGGCCGTTGAAGGTTTGGGATTCACTTGAAGGAAGGTGTGCTAGTTGCTTTCATGGTTAGAGGAGAAGCATACAAATGGCGTCACGGCGTTGACTGGGGTAAAAAAAAGGCCGGCATGAATAGGGGAAGGAACTCGGGCTTGGGGATGAGGAAGACTTCGCATCACAGACGATAGAAGAGGGGCTTCGTGATCAAGCATGCGATTAAGGCCTGTTTCTAAATGATTCCCAAAATGAAACGCAAAAACTCCCACACTGCCCTACGGACGTGTCCTCGATCCAATGCACCCGTGATTCCGCCTTACATGATCTTACATCTTACTGCTGCTTCTTCTGAGCACCTGGACCCATCTCCTTCGTGAAAGCTCCGTACGAAACCTCGAGGCTCGCGAGCGCACGAATGCCAAAGCTCAGAATCGTCACGAAGAACAGGGATGCGAAAAGTGTCATGAAAAGTCCTGGAAAATTCCTTGTTAAACTTGCGGGCATCAACGAGGGGAGACATTCAGCGCATACCTTTGTTGAAGAACTCGTACTTCTCGAAAAGAGGTCTTGTATCCCTTTCAGTGTCACCCTCATCCTCCCTCCGAACAACCTGAGAATATGTTGCTCGCTTCTTCAACTCTTGATGGACAGGCTCTCTTTGCACCTCAGGAGCCTCGCCAGGTGTTGAAAGGTAAACAATTGTGTAAGATCCGCCAGATTGAACGGTCTTGATCGACTCGGCGAGAGCATGATCTATGACACTGTTAGCCACACGCCATCCAGAAGTTGTATACAGCCCGTAGTCGTGTTGACAGAAACACACCATTCTCAGCAAGCTTGCTAGCAGAGTTCTGAGATGGGAGCGCAGGCAGGTTCATCTGCTCCACAGCGGGAGTCTTGTCCGCCTTCGCGCAGGCCTTATTTATATAATCGGCAATCCCATCGGCCGACACCTCGCCAGCAACACTGGCAACACTCCAGGCCGTCGCGACATTCTCGTGGGATAGGGCTCGCTGGAGGTTCGGTACCGACTTGCCATTTGCTCCTCGGAAGTCGTTGGTGTTTAATTTCGGCTGCAGCACGACAAGGTATCGGTCGGTTGGGCATGACTCTAGGAAGCTCTTCGCGGATCCCTCGACTTGGGAAGATGTTTGTAGTTGGTTCTGGCTGGGGGCGTCGGCGAAGCTATTGGATGGGGAAGAGAGCTCGGGTTAGTAGTTTCCTCAAGCTGAGAGCTTGGACGAGGTTATCGAGTTGAGGTAATACAACGTACCGAGCAGTTGAAATGAGAATGAATGGAGATGTGTCTGAGAAAGCAAGAGCAGAGGAAGATAGCGCCAGCGCGCTAGCGACAAAGGAGAGACGCATGGCGAGTTGATGCAGATCGAGGTCGAGTTGACGCTCGGAATGTTGTCGCCTAGAGTGCTTCGACCTGTGATGTAAAGTTTCCAGGATCAGAGACCTGTTGTTGCAGGACAATTGGAGCATCATTGAAGGTGCAGATCATTACATAATCATAGTCCGTGGTCAACTGTCTGGGTCCGCAAGAGCACCGCGTCCGCCCGCCGGCAGCCGCCAAAACCTCAATAATTTTGAGCATGCTTGCATTTGATATGCAGGTGCTCCAATGAAATTTTGACGACCCTTCGATAAACGACACCGCCAACACCAAAGATAGAGACCGGTTGTCCTCAAGAAAGAAAGAAAGAACTCGTACGCATTCGAATTCACGCAAAATGTTCGCCACACCGAGAGTAAAGAAGAGCCTGCTTCCGCCCCCCATTAAGAAGCGCAAGATCGAACACACCGTGGAGGAGATCTCTTTCAACCCCGATGACCGCCAAGAGTACCTCACTGGATTCCGCAAGAGGAAGCAGCAGCGCATAAAACGTGCGCAGGAGGAGGCGGCGAGGAAGGCAAAGGAAGAACGGAGAGAATTGCGGAAACAGGTAATGAACATGCCTAAATGGTGCCACTGGAATGTATCTCATCTGCAGTATTAACACGATACGGTTTTTCAGATGAGAGAGGAGAGACAACGCGAGGTCGAAGAGCATGTGCAAAAAGTCAACGCCCTCCTGCGGCAATCGGAAGTGGCCGGTGCGATAGTCAACGAGGAATCTGACTCGGAGGGGTCAGAGTGGGAGGGGATCGAAGACCCACCAACGAACGATATTATAGACCACGAGGACGAGTACATAGACGAGGACAGATACACCACGGTGACCGTTGAATCGGTCTCGGTAACAAGAGACGGACTTCATAAACCAAAATTGGAGGAATCGGAGGACGAAGGAGATACGGAAGAAGCCAAGAGAAGGGAGGCAGAACAGACGAAAGAGAAGAAGAGACCGCCAAAGCAACCGAAGAAGAAGTTCAGATACGAGTCGAAGATAGAGAGGCAGATCACGCAGCAGAAGCTAAAGGCGAAGAAGAAGGCGAGAAATCAGTCCAGGTAGAATAACACAAAAAGGGCATCCACCAGGGAGGCGCATAATTCCCTCCTTTTCTTACTCCTGGCAAGAAGACTGTCGATTGTGGAAGATAGCCTTTGCTGCCACTGCTGATCTAACAACGAATACGTTCTCCAGCCACACATCAACGCAGCCCAAAATAATCAAGTTCCGGGACCAATACCTCACAAGATGATCCGTCTCTCCAGTAGTGCCATCTCCTTCCTCCGCTCGAGTTGGTCGAAAAAGGTCGGGTCTTGCAGGTTTAGAGAGTACCAATCTCGCGCTGGAAGTCCTCGAGCTCCTTCTGGACCTCGTTGTACTTCTTGGCCATCTCCTCATACTTGGACTCCCATTGGTCTCGCTCGTTCTCAAGGGCCTGCACCTTTCGCTCGAAGTGTCCGGCCTTCACATCGGTCTGTCGGAGCCTAATAAGGGGGAGAAAGAAAAATTAGGTTAGCGACCGTAGGGCGAGCACCGGTGATTGGGGGGAAAGGGTGAAATATGGGAGAGAAGGGTAAGGAGTCTAAAAAAAAAGGGGGTAGCTAGGCTCAAGCTTTGGTTGAGTGACGTACTTCTCGTTAGCCTCACGGAGGGTCTTGTCGGCCTCTTCGGCCTCTTCCTCGAGGAGCTGCAGTCTCCGCTGGAGCGCCTCGTTTTGCGTAAGGGAGCCACTTCCCTCATCAGCAATCTTCTTGTACTTGTCAACGTCGCCCTCGAGCTTCTCCACTTGTCCCTCAAGAACGTTATTCTTGTGCTGCAAGGAGGTGATCTCCTGCTCCTTGGCGAGATTTTCTTGCTCGAGAGTCTTGACCTTGGCCTGGAGCTCGTCGACCTTCGAGTTGGCGGTGTCAGCATCCAGACGGAGCTGGTTCATTTTCTGTCGCGGAAAGCATCACGTTAGCGCGTGTTGCGTTGGTTCGTTTGGAATATCTCAAAGGGGGGGAGAAGAGGTGAGATGACGGCGTGCCCCTCCGGTTATACATGGTGGGGTAAACCATCAGCAAGCGGAATGTCTGTTACCTCCTTGATGCGGTCCATGGCTGAGTTTTGGGCGGATAGTCTGATGGATTAGAAAAGGTGAACTGAAGAAGGACAGGTGGAAATAATTCCAAACGCGTAAAAGGTGGAACTGGGAGATGTCGAATTTCGGAATTCTGATAGATGGAAAGAGGGGAGTTTGGAGGAAGCGTCGAGAATAAAAGGTAATACTTAATGTTCCCTGCTGCCCCTCCCTGCGAAGTACTGCAGTGTACATTGCAGGATGTACAGATTTACGTACAGGTTCATGTACAGTGCCTGCTCACGGACGAAGGTACACCACAAACGGCTCTCCAATGGTATTAGGCACCTGAATTTCGTACGAGGGGTGCTGACAATGACAACCCAACCGCAACGGTTCAGCGCAACTTGTGTTGCAAGGGGTCTCAGGTCCCGCCTGATCGACATGGGTTTGGTTTCCTGGCCAACGCTAAATGGTCCGTGCATTTCAACAATCCTTGCCATAGTCAAGAGCACAGCTCGTTACTCGTCCCAACATCCATTTCAACCTTGCACGCTTCAATTTCCAGTCAAGATCGGTGACAATCATTTTGGGAATAGAATCGACATTCTCTCCACTTCGGAAAAGGGGGTCAATTTCGTGACCCCAAAAAAGCTAATTCGTGCCGGAAATATCAACTCAACAATCACCCCCGTAATTGACTCCATCCAGTTCAGCTCCCCGGAAGAAGGACATCGCCAATTCGGTCTCTAGCAACATGCTGGCGGCACATCGCGACCAGGAAAACCTGGTTCACAGTCACCAGGTTCCAACGAAGAGCGGTGGCTCGAAGCACTTTGCCCCCAAAACACCCGGGGCGCGATATCCGAAGACGCCTTTGAAGGTGCCGCTGAATGACGAGAATGGCCCTCACATCACAGGGGGCAAAGCTCTCCTGGGAACCGGCCGGAATACCCTTGGAAAGAAGCAGGCTCTGGCAACTCCAATCGGTAAGTTTTCTTTTATCTTTACTCTTCACTGGACACTGTTGGCTGCGAGATTGCGATTAGCCTAACTTCTCACGTGTAGGAACTCGGCCCCGAGCACCCTTGGGAAACAAAACCACCAACGCGAAGGCGCGCGCGGCTCCTCCAACCGGAACCGTTAAGGGCATAGTTCAGGAATTTGAGAAGAGCCAGATCAAGCAGCCGAGCATCCAGAAGCCGAAGCCAAAGCCTGCAAGTGTCTCCCCGTTGAAGTTCGCAGTCAGAAGCGACGAACAGCAGTCCGACGACCTTGATATTGAATACGCGCCACCGAAGCCTCAAGACCTGCCTTACGAGTCGGATGTTTTTCCGGACGGCGTCTTGACATTTGAAGGGTTGAAGCCTGAGAACTTGCTCAAGGGCTACTATGAACGGTACCATGACCCCGTGGACGAGAATGGAATCCGACTCAAGGACAAGAGATTTGAAGAAAATCTTCAAAAGGCGCTCAAGAAAGGCGATGAAAGGATCCTTCGAGATATTGAAAACACAGACTGGTCGGTCTCGGACGTACCCGAAACGAAGCATATGGCTCGACCACAAAAATCTGAGCAGACTAGGCCGCTCGGTCGCACATCTGCGCAACACCCCCAAACACTTAACTCCCGACGTGCTGCGAGCGCCCTATCCATGGCCTCCACCGTCAGAGAGAGAAAGCCTCGACCAGCTCTCACAACAGTGACACAGGCGAAGAAGCCGACTTCTTTCTTGCCGTCTGGACGCAAAGTCTCGAAGCCGATCGAGCCTACCAAGTCTCTTCCGGAGAGTGCCATTGGGGAGGCCGTATCGAGGAGCACGTTGGGGTACTCGAAGGGCCGCTCCGCATCCTCGGCGATCAGGGCCCGACAAACGCTCGCCCGCTCGGTATCCGGAGCATCAGTCTCATCAGACAGCTCCGATGCGACCATTACCCCTGCCAACTTCCGCAAGACTCAGGAGGCAAAGGCAAGCCAATGTGACCAATGGCCTCAGCCCCAGTTCCTCAATATCTTCGATGTTAATGCGGAGTCTGATGATGACGCCCATACTCCCAACTTCGACAATATTGTTGATGAATTCGAGGACTTCCAACTTAAGCTGGATGATAACTGAGATGAAAAATAATCAAGGCCAACCTCGGCCAGGGGGCTAGCGACGGCGGAGGAGGATTGCAGGCTTTACGTTTTATTTTTTTGACGGCGTTATCGGCGACATTAATCCTAAAGGGCTCGGCCGCATTCGTGTTGTTTCTCAAAAATGGTTACAAGAATATCGATTAGACGGCGGCACAATCGGCCATGACGGAGCCGGCGGGAAAGAGGGTATGAACGGCGATTATTTTGTGTTTTAATATGTATATTCTACTCGAATTCAACATTGATGATTATGAACTTCACATAAGAAGCTTGCACAGGTCCTAGCCAATGTTGCTCTCCTCCACTTCCGGGAGTTCGCTAATGTTCTCCAACTAGTCCGTTCGTGGTCGGCTTCTATGGACTTTTATCACTTCCATTATCTCCAGGCTAACCAATTATGAATTAGGATTAAGTTGGGTTTTATATGTGGACTAGTGTTGGCCAAAGTGATTTAATATGGATTGAAGCCCCTCCCATTCCCAGATTCTCCCATCAACCGAGAAAAGCAGTGTTGGTAAAAGCAGCAGCCAGCCCTATCCCGACGACCATCGGAATATCTAGACGCTGTCCCCGATGAGAACTTCCATCAGGTGACGACCTCGTCGTCGTCGGGCCGAGAATGGGAGTTGGATCCCCCGCAACCTGCGCCTCGGCATAGCAGCTAGCTATGGCAATAGTGGCGTGCAAGCCCCGTCCACCGCCCAAGGGATATCATCCACATGCTCCCATCAAGTAAAAGACATTCCTCGGCAAAGGCGACGGCCGACGCGATGATCTCGGATAACCAGGACGAGGCCTTGCTCGCGTAGGCTGAGTAGTCTGAGAGCACAGAACTCGAAGCCGCCGTCGAGAAGCCGCACCACAGCGAGTACTCGGGGAAGGGGTAGGCGATTCGGTCCCGGCCCGTGCGCGTGCAAGGTTCGAGGAGCTGGAGAACATAAACTATGAGCCGAGGAAACTACCGAGGGTGCCGTTCGGTTCTGGAGGTTTAAAGAATTGCCTGATATCCTTGGTCGCGCACGCCAAGGAATCGGATGCGACTGTTGGGGAGGCTTGAGGTAGGAGCCGCGAGATGAGGTCGTCGTCCGCAAGAACACCCATTCCAGGTAGTTTCTGGGTTTGGTAGTGGGAGGATCACAGAGTCCCGGTCGTAGCTTATCCCGGTATCATCCAAACCCAGGACCGTTTGGCCGGAAACTTCATTCTCTCCTGTCTAATATCGCGTTCTCAAAGTATCTGAGGATCTAGTTGGACGGATGCCAGCGCTCAGGGACTACTGCAATGTATTCCAGGAAGACCACAGCGCAAGTCATCTTCCGTCAGTCATCGGGGAAGACTGGCGGACCGAAGCCACGGCGAGGGAGGTATTGTCGAGATATATAACAAGGTTCTCTTGGACGGTTGTATCAACATGTTGAGCATTCGATGGTCAAGGGGCCGTTGATGAACTAAGTAGCACAAATAGCTACACTTTATCAGCTCTTCTCTCCGATAACTCACGCTTGCGAACTTAAATGCGCTCTCCCAGTTCACATGGATAGGTATCCTAGTGCCGAAGGACTTGTGATAAATATACGGAATACTCTTCCCGTTCTCATCATGCGAGCTTCTCTTGCGGATTCTGGTATAGCAATCGGGCATCCATCGTGGAAAAGTTCATGATGTTCCTCCTTCGCTTGCACATTATCCCTGCCGCAATAGCCCCGGAGATATCTATTTTCGCCTTGTATGAATGCCTCTTCGCCGGCTTAGCTGTTAACGGACAGCATCGTAGTATTCGACGAGTGCCGGAGACTCTTTTGCTCGCTATAGCTGCCAAATATTACCATGTCTAGGAAAGAAAGAGGAACAGCGGCTCCTGTAGACGGCAGGCCAAACGAGATGCAATTGAATTCGAGGAAGAAAGTCGGCAATAGTCGAACGGAGGCGAGCAAAGTGTGTAAGTAGGGAAGGGGTTCTGGCTGGCTGGGCTGAGATCTTGAAATCATGACCGAATCGATGTGCCTCATAGTCACGTGATTACAAAATCCCGACCAATGATGGGCGCGTTAAGGATGCCTGTATCGGTACATAAACAGAAGGTACTGTATTGGAGACTGAATAGCAGAAATGAGGAAAAGGTACTTCCACCTTAAGTATCACATGACGCAGTCTGACCCCAGCGCCCCTGCAGTTGCAATCCAAGCACTCAAAAGTGGATTGTCATCCCTGACCACTAGACAATTCTCCATCATGAAAGTCTCAAACCTCAACCTTTACTCGCTCCCGCCATTGCCCTCAGCGCCACCTATCGCGTCGCTCATTAATTCATCACACGGCTTCGGCCTCCTTTTCCTAATTTTCTCGTCCCCTGGCGTTGCGCGACTGCATTACCCGCCGATTTAGCCACCCTGCCCCCGGGTTTCCAAGTTTTCTCGACACCGTGGACATTGTCGCGTGAAGCCTTACCAGTTCGCGTACCTCCTCCCTATATCCGCCACTTTTTGCTTAAATCGGCCTGTATGGTCCTCACTACCAGTGACTATTCAGGGTATGATGGTTGGAGGACGGCGGCCAAGGTAGAAACTGCGCAATTCTCACGATGACTCGCCCGCCTGGGGGGGCGGGCTTCGCCCAGTTCTTTCCTGCGGCTCCTCGAGCGGTGAAAGACCGCATGACGGAGCGGGAAAGAGCAGAGAGGGCGAAGAAGCAATCGCACGAATCGTCTGAAACGCCATCTCCAAATTCTCAAATTTTCACCTCCCACGCCTCGTCGCGGGCCGACCAGCCAGACGGCCTCGGTCGACCCCCAGATATGCCTTTTTCGGATACCTCTTTACCCCCGACTGATGATAGCGAGTCCATTCCTGGTGATATTCCTAATGGCACCAGGTCTGCGAGTTCTCATGCTAGCACTGTCTCTTCCATCTTCAGCGCCCCCGCCTCCGCTCTCCAGGCCGCCCCAAGTGCGTCCACTCGACCACCCGCCGCCATTCACTCACCCCCCACCTCCTCAGATTCCCCATTACATTCCGCCGCCATGTCTGTCGCGAAGCCTTTGCCATCGCATCCTAATAATCCCGACATCTCCTCACGAGAAGGTTACTTCCACGCCACAGACTCTCCAGTGTCGACTAATGGCCAATCATCGGTATATGCCGGTCGCGTCTCCGCCCGAAATCCTGCTCGAGCAATTCAGGGGATCAGATGCATCTATGACCCTCTAATCGACCGAAACCTTGCTAAGTCGTCGAAGAAAGACACAAAACCACAATTCAAGGAGTTCGGATTGGTACGTGATACATATATGATACTATATACCACCCACTCTATACTGGAAGGGGGGGCGTCATCGCAATGCTTTCTGTGAACATGAAGCTAATATTTTTTCGGCAATTAGGACGATGACGCCCCCCCTGTAGACCCCCGGCTGGCAAAGGGTGGCAGGCTCAACTATATCAATGTCGACTTCCATTTCCCCAAAGCTCGCCTCCGACATACGCCCTACAACCTGAAGCCGTATCCTTTTGACCCCAAAACGTCTATCGGGCCCGGGCCGCCAACCCAAGTTGTTGTCACTGGTTTCAATCCGCTTGTATCATTTTCGAAAGTCACCGCCTTGTTCTCCAGCTTCGGCGACATTGCAGAGAGCAGTAACAAGCTGCATCCTGAGGACGGAAGTTACCTTGGATTTGCAACCTTCAGGTATCGCGATGCTAGACCCAGCCGGCAATGGCCCGCCGGTATCCCGGGTGCCGATGCAGCAAGAAGAGCCGTGAGGTCGTTGAATGGAAGCCGGCTTGAAGCGAACCGAATTCGTGTAGAATTCGATCCTGAAGGCAAGAAGAGTGGTCGCATGCTGGAAGAGGTCCTAAGCAAAAGCAGGGAGAAGGCAGAGCAGGCACTTGCAGCCTCGCGAGCGGCTTCTGCTGGCCCTCGTAATTCAGATGGCGTCCCGGCACCCCCTCCGACGGCACCCAAAGGCCCAGCCGCGCACAGGCAGGTTCCCGTGGGAACCTCGACGACACGGCAAGGGAGCGTTGCTGCCCCTTCATGGGCCCCTCTCTCTCAGTCGAAGCGATTCTCCCTCATCGAAGACCAACCGATAGAGCCGCAGGTCGCCGATGACCCCCACATCTTCATCTCGAAAACATTCGTACCCGTAATGGCGACTACTATTCCCCATATGAAGAAGCGATTAAAGGCCTTCCGATTCGAAGATATTCGCCTCGATCGATCGGGTTACTTCATCATCTTTCAGAATACGAGTCACGGAAGGCATGAGGCGGAGAAGTGTTACAGGGCCGCTCACGACACTGATCTTTTTACGTACAAGATGGGCATGAAGCTGCGACTCCCACGACCGCCTCGCCGCGAATCCGGATCGTCAACGCAAAATCAAAATCGCTCCCCGGCGCCCGACACGAAACTCAGGACCGACTCTAGCTTGAGGCATGATAAAGATCGTGAACGTCGCGAGGTCGAGGCAGATATCGAGGAAGAGAAGAAACAACGGGCCAAAAACTTTGATCCAGTGATGGAAGCCGTTGCAGTTGTCCGTCGGGAGATGGTGGAGCATCTCATCAAGCATATTCGGATGAAGGTAGCTGCGCCGGCGCTCTTCAATTACCTGGATCCCGTCAACCACAGTGCCAAGAGACGACGGCTTAACCTGGAAGGGCCGGAAACTGATCCATTAGCGGGTTCATTCGAAGATGGCGACGACAGCTCACGGGCCGCCACCCCTAATTCCCGAGCAGACCCTATCGAAAGACGCACGGGACGCCTAGGAGTGTCAGCCTTGCCTCGTATCCGGAAAGCCAAAGGCGCCGGACAGCGGAATGTCGGGTTCACGGATCCTTTCGCTCGCAAACGGCCGCCTACAGCTCGCAACGCATTCCGATCGCTCCATTATCGCCTCAAAGGTCTAGACAGCGACGTCGAGTCAGACGATGAGAATGAGCAACGGACGTCCCTTACCAGGGACACAGAAGAACCAGAATCCCGTCCCCGAAGCCGAATGAGTACCGATGATGAAGTCTCCAAGGATGATCTGGCTTCCTGGGGCCCAGGGGATGATGATTCTATGACCGAGTCCAGTTTCGTTATCAACGATACTGGCCCCGCTGTACGAAAGCGGAAATTGGGTCTATCCGTTGAGGCTGCCCTAAAGAGACAGAAGAAATCGGACGAAGAACTCTTCGGTGTAACCTTTGATCGCGTTGAAACTATCATACCGTCCAAGGATGTTTCCGAGGAGCCACCGCCAACTATCGAGATAATCGAGGACAAAGAGACACCCTCACGTTCCGAAACACCAGTTCCTCCTAGTGCGAAGGGCGCAAAGAAGAAGGCTCCAAAGACCAAGAAGAAGACGAAGAAGCAGTTGCTCGAGGAGCAGGAAGCCCTTAGAAAACTGCAAGAAGCGGAAGTGGCCAGTGTCAAGACCGAAAAGTCACTGACTGATGACGCCGCTGTAGGTGATGACCAGAGAAAGGTGACCGAAGAACCTGAAAAGCCATTTCCAGACGAGAACTTATATCCTACCAAGCCGCAACCTGCCATGGAGTTACCGGACGACTTTGCTTTGGAAATCAGCGCCTTCGAACAGCTCTCCCTTGGCTCTAGGGATGCGCCTGATGTCGCGAGATTGTGCAAAAAGCACAAGCCGAGCGATTTGGGTGATGTAGGGCTGTGGCTTTGGAAGCGCAATCGTATTAGGGAGTTGAACAACGTGGATGGCTCTGTTGATCGTCCTGTCGGCATAATCGAAGGCTATTACGTTCCCAACCCCACTGGATGCGCCCGGACGGAAGGCATCAAGAAGATTCTGAACTCGGAGAAGTCGAAATATCTTCCCCATCACATCAAGGTACAAAAGGCCAGAGAAGAGCGTGAAGCGCGTGTCAAGAAGGACGGGAAGGACCTGGCTGCGGCCGCCGCTGAAGCTGCCAAGATTGCGGCGGAGAAGCTCCTCGCGAAGGGCAACTCGCGAGCCAACCGTGCCAACAACCGACGCTTTGTGGCCGATCTCAACGATCAGAAGAAGACTCTGGGGCAGGACTCGGACGTGTTCAAGTTCAACCAGCTTAAGAAGCGGAAGAAGCCCGTCAAGTTTGCCAGGTCTGCCATCCACAACTGGGGCCTTTATGCTATGGAGAATATCCCCAAGGACGACATGATTATCGAGTACGTGGGTGAGGAAGTTCGACAGCAGATTGCCGAGATCCGAGAGAACAGATACCTTAAGAGTGGCATTGGAAGTAGTTACCTCTTCCGTATCGACGAAAATACGGTGATTGATGCGACGAAGAAGGGAGGCATCGCACGGTTCATCAACCACAGTTGCATGCCTAACTGTACTGCCAAGATTATCAAAGTCGATGGCAGCAAGCGCATCGTCATCTATGCGCTTCGCGATATAGCCATGAGTAAGTGACCATTCTCCGTATTCTTCCCATCCTATGGTAATTTGCGTTTCTTAACTAACACTACTTCGTAGATGAGGAGTTGACCTACGACTACAAGTTCGAACGGGAGATCGGAAGCTTGGATCGGATTCCCTGTCTCTGCGGTACGGCGGCATGTAAAGGCTTCCTCAACTAAGCGTTTTTTTTTTTTGGCAAGCATCTTCATCATTCTCGGCGCAGGCGAGGGTTCTACGTTTTTTCACCTCTCCCTTCCTGGGCTTCGATGTGTTTTTCTATTGTCATGACTTCTGCTTGGAAGACTTATTGTCACTTTTATTAGTGTTGTCATCGGGACTACTCTCGGACCTCTTGTATTCTCTCCGGCATGATAGGAGTTCTTTTTTCATATTTTTTTTTTCCTTTTTTGCTCACTGTGTTTGTTCATCCTGGATGAAGAAAAGACGGAAGAGGTTTCAACTAGCATAAGCAATACCAAGCAACACTTCAACAGTTGCCTACTATGCTCAAGGCTGGTTCTGTCCTCACTCCTTACTCCTCACCAACACCCTTTCTCTCTTTTTACAATTCCATTTTCTATCAATATCACGGTCACTGCACGGTCACGGTCTAGGTCAAGTTCGATGCATTTACTTTTTATTTTTCTCTTCTGCGTCTTACTTTTTATTGACGTTTGGATCATGGTTGTCTTTTCTCTTCTGACATATATACTCTGGGTGCATCATAACTCCTTTCTCTTTCTTGATCGGTGTCATGGGGTTCTGCAAATTATGGAGGGGATTGCAAAAGAGGTGTGGACGAAACGACGCACACAAAAAAAAATTCGGGGGAGGGTGATGGGTTTCATCGGGGTTTGGTGTTTTTCTGCTTTGTCGAGGGTTCTTCTGAACCCCCCCTATTCTCCCTTAATGTAGTTAGAGATGTCGGTGAGGCGAGAGTACGAAGGAGTGCTCTGAATGCGAAGAGAAAGGCACTTGTTGCTTTGTGGTCGTTGATTGATGTCCAAGTCCAAGTCTAAGTTCAAGTTCAAGTGCTCGCCACACGTAGTAGTATCCGTCCAAGCCATGTTCGTTCCAGTTTACGCGCCCATGTCCATCATTTCCACGGATGCTGTACTGCTGTCTGCCCCTCCTGGAACGAGCGTTCTTGGGGACCGTAGAGAAGCCGACGAGAACGCCAACTATCTAGTCACTAACTACGAAGGAAGAACTGGATATCGGAATCACCAGGCAAGCAATCGGGTTCTCTGAAGAGCACGAGGAGTATGGACAGTGTGTGTGTTTCTAGTCCTTCGAATTCAGGGGACGTCCTAAATAGAATATTAACGCCCGATCGGACTTTCTCTACCATGGATACCCAGGCTTGAAGTTCGCATCTTGTCGGTATCTTGACAACACTTTTCCCAAACGAAAAACTAGTAATCGAGGTCTCTCGAGCACTACCGGCCCTCGAGCTCAACCCAGTCAGATTAGCACGAGAGAAGCGCAAGAACGTATTGTGAACGAAACACAGACCGACTTTATTTTCCCAGAAATAAGAACATAAGATCCAGCTCTCCATCCAGCGTGAGTTATTCGAACCCTTCTACTCCAATTGGGTATGGCAAGCGCCTTCCTTCTCCTCGGCTCTTCCAGCGCTTCTCACCCCTCTTTGCGAAGGTCTTGTCTACAAGACACATTCGCAACTGTGAAGACCATCTGTTAAACTCCATCCCACTATCTCTAGGAGGTATCGTGAATATGCCTATCCTCAACATAGAGTGTCGGCCTCGTCGTAGTTGCCTACGCGCCCAAGAAAAAAAAAAGGAATGAAAGAAAGAATGCATTCAAATCGTTATGTTGCGGGAATCAAGTTTCCAAATGCCTTTGTTCATTCTCCAGAAATCACTCACTCCATTATTGTCGTCTCTCCTGCTTGATGTGGACTCCGCTAGCCCTGGTAATATCGGGTGCCCTCGGGCCAAGCATCCAGTCTTGCATAGCCAACCACTCGCTCCAGGTAGCTTCTGCAGATTGGATCTCCTTCTCTGTAACTTCTTGAAGAGGCTTGAGGAAAGGGACGTACTGGCCATCGGCCATATCATAGTCGGCCTTGACCTTCAGCCAGTTCTCGCTCTTGGCAGCGAAGAGGTAGTTCTTGCGCTCGGTTTCGTGTATTGGACCGATGCCCTCAGCCCAGTCATCGCCGAAGAAGCCGTGCAGGACGGCGGGGAAATCGAAACCGGTAACTATGAGGCGGCGGACGTATGGGATCAAAGTGACGTTCACGGGGACGAGTGCGCGCTTTGCGGGGGCCGGGCCGAGGGCAGCTGGTCGCGGGGTCGCGGCAGGGCCTGGCGCACCCACCGTTGGGCTGTAGGAGTAGACGGGATGGATCGGATGCTGGAAGGGAAGTTGGATGTTGATGAAGGAGGCTACGACCTGAACGGGCGGGGTGTATTGGGCTTCATCTAGGAAGTAGCGAAGGCACGACTGGAACTTGGGGTGCCATTCGAAGAGATCGAATTGAGTTCCCTGTATGTTCTGTCAGGATAGTTAGATCGAACAAGGTTAATGCACCGCGGACCTCGGTGCATGGCTGGGTTGCATGACTCGCCACGGGAAAGGAAAAGGATCAGATGGCAGTCCACCGCCTTTGTGGAGGGTACGTCACTTCGGCGGGGTTCGGACATACCTGGTGGAATTGCTGTTGGGATCCTCCCGGAACAGCCATGTTGGGTGATGAGCTAGCAGGGGTGGATGGAAGTCCGGAGCACGGATGAAAGCGAGTAGACTAAGGCAAAGTGTCTAAGTGTGTAGTCCAAAGATGGTGGTTTGTCAGAATCGACTCGGAGACGAGGACCGGGTGAAATCAATGTACTTGGAAAGGTTGAGCGATGGGAACATTGAAAAGATTGAGTACATTGATCAAGGTCAGGCTGCCACATTAGTGGTCCGGTTGGTAATAAACTGGACCACCACAAGCAGAGTTGCTGCGAGACAGCTGCAGAGGAACCAACATTGAAGGATTGTGGTTCGCCTACGCAGCGGTTAAGCAGCTAAGCAGCTAAGTAGCAGGGGGGCTCCGCTTAGTAGAAGCTGAAGGTGCAGCTAGTGACGGAAAGGAGACAGAAGGGACATACCAGACTAGTAAACTGGAACAGCCAGTCAGAACGTCACATGCGCAAAGACCAAAGAGTGAAACGGAAGTCGTCGGGGTCTAGATCCAGCCGGAAGCACGCCTGGTCTTATGGATAACGGCCGTGTCGGCTTTGAAAAAGAGGGATACAGTCGACGCAATGCAACCGCGGAAGGTGTGATGGCCTAATACCTTAAAGCCAAGTAACGATTCGCACTAAAATGTACGCTAGGATAGAGGCGCCTTCCTAGGATGCAGACACAAGGGAGAGCTGGTGTTGCCTCGAGCTTAATGCAGAAGGGACCACTGCGAGCGACCTGACAGCGCGGGGCCGGTACGGACTAGGCTAGTACCGGGTTAGTCCTGATACGTACGAGGCCGAAGCGAGGCAACGGATAGTGGCTGTGAGGACTGAGTTTGGTAGTTTAGGTAGGGAGGCGAGCTCCTAGGCTGGAGAGTATAGATAAGACTAACTGATGATGGCAATTCGTGGAGGAGATACGATAGACGAGTGCGGAGGTTAGTGACTTGAGGAGGCCGGGTAAGGTCAGCACCGAGGGTATTAATATATACTCTCGAGAGACGTCCCTAACCAGCTTGATCTAGACAAGACTACTCTGGAGCGTTGAGCCATTGCGACGCTGGCGCACGTCAGTGCTGTGTGGGATATCTACGCTCGGCATGACAAGACGTTAGGTGAACGTAGGGTGGAGGCCGTCCCAGCTCAGTCGGGGTTGGGGGACTTGGATGGGGATAGAGCGAAATGCGAGTGACCTACTATCTGGGTGTAGACTTGTATCGTTTCGAGGTTCCCGTACCCGACTGGGTTGGTGTAGATGCAGGTACACCCTAGCACCCCCATGCCCAGCTGGCTACTTCCTACCTCGCTCACTGGATCGGCTGTCGTCGCAACGGTGCGACCATCAATGCTGTACCATGTACCATTGTACCACTGTACCATTTGGGAATCCGCCATCAATGGACTTGTGGACTCGCAAAAGTTGAGATTGCTTGGAGTCCAATGAATCAGATGCAATGTTGAATGCCATTGATGCTGAATTGCAAAAAGTGAGGTGTCAAAGTTGAGGTACCTCGATATTGATGTCCGGAAATGGCCCCCAACACCGACCACCACCGCTAATCTCAGGTTGTCTGACTTCAACTGTTAGGGCCACAGGTCTTCCCCGGTTCGTCTGACATGTTCGTTCCACATTCACCTGTGTACTACGATTTTGCTTTTTATTTCACCCTCATTCTCTCTTTCACCTCGCCTCGCGTACGAAGTAGTCCGCTTCGGTATAATGATACCACAATCTGATCGACCTCGTTTGACTTTGATATGGCCTGGGCGCTGGCAACGACCCTGGACTTGGAGATTTTAGGCCTTACAAGGGCCTTAATAAGCACAACCTAAGAACAAAGTTTAACCAGGGGTATTGATCTGTGCAGAAGACTAACAATACCCTGGATGAAAAAAATAAATAAATAAATAAATAAATAAAAGAAAATAAAATAAGAAAAGAGAAAAAAAAATATAACTCATGGATCATTCCTTTAGCTACCATACAGTAGGCTCATGATAGCGTCGGTGTATCGCAGGGTCCTCCTCTTGCAGAGACCTGATGAATTGATCGTGCAATTTTGCAATGGCTGAGGAGAGCTGAATGTGGACCCTCCACAGCTCGAGGCGCCATGGAACAGAAGTCCTCCTGCTGTCGATATCACATCAACCAAGGTTTGCTAATGCGTCCCCCAAAGGACTGCAATATAGCCAGGAGAAGGCAGAGGGGTCAGAAAGGGAAGAGGAAAGGAGAGGAACCAGCTCGAATGACACATTCCCCTGGTGATAAAGTCACGGGAAACTACAGGGCGGCATAAAAATCCTTGAGTGGACAGAAGCTATAGCTAATTGATACTCAATTCCTCCATGTGATAGAACAATTGAAGTGCATGAGGCGGGAGGTAGGTGAGAAATATCCATAGCTGGGTTCACGGGATGGGGTGTGGTGAAAACTGGTCTACTGACAACGACTGGGCTTGTTGGAAGTGTCTCCAAAGTTGCCACGGAGTCTGGCTGGGCCCTTGTCTTTCTTTTCTGGACAATACTCACTCTCTAACCTACCTGCGTTTGGCGGGGATTTTGAGTCTGAACCTCTTATTGGAAACTGTACGATGAATGTAACCAAAGATACATTTCAAGAATATAACTCTAGCCAAGGAAAATGGAAGATTGGGGTGTACGTGAGTGTGAGAAATTTACGAAAGTATGAAGGAGTCTCCAACTCAACTTGTGAAGTACACAGCATATGCGGCTCCGAGGTGGCATTCGGGAGGGCGGCCGAATCGACCCAAGCGGCCCCACCTTCGATCGAGGTGGACCATGCAACTCTGTGGTCACCAAGCATATCCGGGATCCATCAAAATTGAAAATTTGTTCCCCTCCTTCACGCAGCGACGTTCAGGTGCTTCCTCCCAGTGCGAGCCGCCTTCACCCCTGTCCAGAAACGGATAGCTCAACGATTCAGATCAATGAATGATTTCTCATACGTAAAAAATACTCGGCGCTTCTCGGATTTTTCTATTTTCTTTGGTTGCTTTGCCACGCGTAGCGTAATTTAATTGCAGGAACATTTTATCATAAAGGAAAGTGGCTAAAATTTGACCCCTCTCTCCGGGAACATCAAGGCTCTTGGGCGTAGCTACCACCGCCTGGATCAACCACATTCATTTCCAGATGCCGCCGGTCCATGGTGATCAAATGCACCTGGGGGGGAACATCAGTGGGGTCGGCAACCCCCCTCCTCTGCGCAGCAGGCTACGACCTGCAGCCAACAAGCCACTACGTCAGGTGGGATTGGGTCACCATGCAGGAGAGACGACCATCAATACTCGCTCTGCAATAGTGAGAGGATCTGGCATGAGTAGATGTTCGGCAAACATGACGCATCTGTGGCGTCTAGACTGGATGCCAAGAGACACCGCACACTTAGGCGTGTTGACGAGGTACCCAGCGCTAACTTGAAGCACGTTCCAGCCCTGCGCTGTTAAACGGTCACCCACATGTGCGCTTGTCGAGTCGGGATCCGGCGCACTTGACATCAATTGCCAGCCCACGACAACCCTAGATTACGTTATTAACACCTCAGCCCAGCTGTTAGTCCCCTTTCCCACCCTCAAGTTCAGCAGGTATTGAAGCGGGGGCTGCAGACTTGACGGCGGTCACCAAGCACCAAATATCGGACGAAGCAAGGTTTTCGGGATTTATCAGCATATTTGATGAGTATTACGATGCCGTTTCTCGTCCTCAAAAACCAAGCCAAGGACAAGAGGTTGAAAAATTAATGTTTTGGATAATACTCACGTAACCGAGCCGAAAAGATTAATTGTCGCCAGCTGCAACAATTGCGTCCCCCGTAAGAATTAGGTAAACGATCGGCGTGTCTTTATTGGGCGATCGGGTAGTGTTCCGGAATGGAAGGAGACCAACAGGAGTTCGCCGATAGCATGTTTAGGATTTTACCAAGGACCCGGGACAGCACAAGCCCCAGGCTAAGCGGGGGGCGGTGAATGGTGGGTGAGATCGGCGGCGTCGCCGTACCTTGTACCTCGTACATCCTTGGCAGCAAGACTAAACGCGTCCGACTCCTATCATTCAGCTCCAACTCTGTGTGCTGGTGTACTTGTATGAAGCTATAACCTCAATACCTGCATCAATCAATTGATCAATAACTCGATAGATTAGATTCACCCAAAGGATTGATCGGTCAACCTCAGTAAAGGACTTCATAGTATGTACCCTCCGAAGTAGTGGACAGGGGTTTCCACCTGCCGCAGCTAACCTGGAAGCGGCAGTTGAACGAAGCTTCCACGCCACGCACCCGGTTAGGAAGAGCAAGGACATTTACTGGGGTCCCAATCTTATTGTTCCTGCTCAACATTGCTTTTCGAGGATGAGACACACTGGAGAACGACCGTTCTCGTTCTTTGATCAGGCTTGACAAAGACATGACTGAAGAGACTCTGTTTTACTTCATAAGTGGAGCGAGATTTTATTTTTTATTTTTATTTTTTATTTTTTCTTTTTTTACCCTCTGCAAGTGTTATTTTACGTTTTGATACACTTGATACACCCAAGCCTTGCCCACTTCGCTTCCAGTTCCGAACCCGGACACTTGAGCGATGACGCCCTGATCGCAGAAAGTGACGTGTCGCCTTGTCATTATTCAAGACGTTGCCAAGAACCATTTCTACGGTGAGGCCACTCCTACACCTCAGCTCAGCTCTCATGGACAAAAAGACCGAGTCGGTAAACCTCGGAAATTTTTATTCTCGTCATTTATTCAAGGAGCTTTCGTACGACGACATGTGATACTACCTTTCGTGGTCCTGAAAAGTTTTCTGTGTTTAGTGAATGTATGAGATCGACATGTCATTTGCTGATCCTTTGCCGGCCGGCAGAGTAGTATTGTCACGCGGCTGCTCAATCAGCAGAACCTTACCAGACTAGGCTAACAAGGACAGATCTGTGCGGAAGTTGCCCCAAAAGGCTAATTCCCAAACTAATAACTAATAACCACAATATTAATACTGGGTAT